CGGCCATGTTGGCTGCGTGCAAGGCAAACGCCCTACCGCTGTGCTATCGCTCCAGCCCACACCAAGATATAATATGTGGAAAATTTTGTAATGTGGATCTTAGCACACCAACAACCCTGACCTAGAGACACAGCAGCAAGTCCCAGAAAACACCACAATGCCGAAGATCTCTCCGGGCCCCATACCGAGCCAATATCACCAGGGCACCCCAGGTGCAGTCTCCCCACTTACTCCAGATGGAATCCCAGCAACCAAGAGCTTCCACAAGCAAGGTCCAGATACGCCGGTTCCAGGATTGAATCTCCAGGCCACATGGTGGCAGAGGACCTGGGCTGGTCCTCCCTGGGTCCCTGCCCACCCAGCAGACTGACTGTCGCACGCAAATTTGCCTCCGGGTGCCATCTTAGCACACCAATAGCCCTGGCCCAGAGACTCCCAATTGAATCCCAAAATGGATTAGTGCCCTACAGAGATGTCTCTGGAACCCAACCATTTACAATCTAGAAATTCACATTTACAATTGTGGCCGTGTGAGCTCTCATGACATTCAAAATGAGCAATGGATAATAAATGATCTAGCGGCTGCCCCCGGCAGGTAGGCTTGAATGGTGGTGGGAAATTTTGAGTAAAACATAATGCCCAGGGGCTGGAGCAATAGTACAGCGGGTAGGGCGTTGGCCTTGCATGCGGCCAACCTGGCTCGATTCCCAGCATCCCATATGGTCCCCTGAGCACTGCCAGGGGTGATTCCTGACTGCAGAGCCAGGCGTAACCCCTGTGCATCGCTGGGTTTGACCCAAAAAGAAAAAAAAAACATAATGCCCAAAATTAGAGAGTATTAGGGAAATTGTCTGCCACAGAGGCAGGGTAAGGACTGGGATGTGGGCAGTGGAAAATGTGCACTGATGGAGGGATGGGTGTTTCATCATTGTATGGCTGAATCTCAAACGTGAAAGCTTGTAACTCTATCTCATGGTGATACAGTTTTTTTTTAAAAAAAAGCAATGTAGAGTTCATGCCCAATTCAATCAGCTTAATCAATGGCTGAACAAATAACGGTACTCCTACATTATTAAACACAAAATTTAGTTAGACACAAGTTAGATGGAGAAAAGAGTTCAAACCCAACCCCATCCCAATGAGAGACTGAGGCACGGGCAACGTTTGGAGGAAAGATCCTTTTCCCACAGATGGTGCTGGAGCAAAGGACCAGGCAGGTACCCAAAATGAGCACAGACTCAAATCTCCTGGTCTGTGTAAAAATTAACTATGCATGTGTATGTGTGTGCATGTGTGTGTGCATGCATGTGCGCATGTATGTGTGTGCGTGTGCGTGTGTGCATGTGTGTATGTGTGTGCATGTGTGTATGTGTGCGTGTGTGTATATGTTTGTGCGTGTATGTGTATGCATGTGTGTGCGTATGTGTATATGTGTGCATGTGTGTATGTGTGTATGTGTGTGCGTGTGTGTATGTGTGCATGTGTGTATGTGTGTGCATGCGTGTGTATATGTGTGTGTGCGTGTGCATGTGTGCGTGTGTGTATATGTATGTGTGTGCGTATATGTATATGTGTGTATGCGTGTGTGTATGTATGTGTGTGTGCGTATGTGTATGTGTGTGTGTGTGTGCATGACACGCTCTCTGGGAATCTACTCCATGTTCCTTAAACACAGGCTGGGCTGCCATACAGCGCCCCTAGTTATACAGGGGCTGCAGGCAGGGAAGTGGCTGGGGGTCCTGTGGATCCATGACGCCAGGCACTTCTGTGGACGGAGAGTCGCCTCCCCCCAAGACCAGCCGGGGCTGTGGGTGTGCTTGGAAGGACTAGGGTGCCCTCTGCAGCTGGACGGGAATAAGCACAGCAGCGATGGGGAAGAACCGCCAGAGATGCAGCCTGACAGCCCTCCCCACCCCAGGGAAAGTGCCAGGCAGAGGTGCCACTGCGGCAGGGGACAGGAGTAGGGGACAGGAACAGGGGACAGGAGCAGGGGACAGGAGATAGGAGGAGGGGACAGGAACAGGGGACAGGAGAAGGGGACAGGAGATAGGAGGAGGGGACCGGAACAGGGGACAGGAGACAGGAGCAGGGGACAGGGGACAGGAGCAGGGGATAGGGGACAGGAGCAGGGGACAGCAGCACCAGACACACGGAGGGAAAGCCCCAAGAGTGCTGCCGAGTCTGGGCCAGACACTCCCAGTCACAGCTGACCCACATCTGTGACTCCCGTCTGAGCTCCCCCCTTCCTGAGGGGGCCGCAGTTTCTGGTCCCTCTTCTAGAGAGGCATGTCCACGGCTGGGCTCTGCAGAAGTCCCACCCCACAGGCGGGCTGGCCCTGGTCTCCCGAGCTGTCCCTGGCACCCCCAGCCCACCTGAGGCCCTGCCTTGGGGTGGCAAGGGGAGGACGGGGGGCGGGGCAGCTTTAGGGCAGGCAGCCGCCCCAGCACAGGGCATCATCCTGCTCTCCCTTGGGGCCAGCACCTCCGTGTCTGGCTACAAAATAGCCAGGCTGCTTGGGAACCCTCCATGGGAAACTTTCCCTTACAGTAACATGGTTCCAATACTGCCCCCTCTCCTGGTTTCAGAGAACATAGTTTCTGCACATCCCCTTCACCCGCCCCCCCACCCTCCAGTGACCCAGACCCTTCACCACTGGCCTGCGGTACCCCCAGCCTCCCGCCCTGCCTGGCAGTCTCTGGTAAACTGCAGCCCAAGGCCAAGGGTTACTCACCATTTAATAGTCTTTTTGTTTGTTTGTTTGTTTGTTTGAGGCCCCCATAACCATGCCACTGGACTCCACGCTAGGCTGTTTTCACTCAGGGAGCCCTAGAGGGGGGCGGGTGAGAGCCCTCCCCGCCCCAAGGGACCCAGCCCCGGAAGTCGACCTCTACTACCCACCCGCCGTCACACTCCAGGCCGCTTTCCACATGCTCGGGCCGAGCCTCACTTATGAATGAACATATTCCTGGACGCATCATAAGACACTCCTTACCCATTTTCCATAATTACCACACCATATTTGATAGGGATATATATATATATATATATGTATATATATAGTGTTTGCCTTGCATGTGGCCAACACGGCCGACCCAGGTTCGAATCCTCCACCCCTCTCGGAGAGCCCGGCAAGCTACCGAGAGTATCTCACCCACATGGCAAAGCCTGGCAAGCTACCCGTGATGTATTCGATATGCCAAAACACAGTAACAAGAAGTCTCACAATGGTGACATTACTGGGCCCGCTCTGACTTGTCACTGTTCTCTCATTGTTCATTGATTTGCCCAGTAATATCGTAAGACTTTTTACTGTGTTTGGCATTTTGAATAAGCCATGGGTAGTTTGCCAGGCTTTGCCGTGCGGGCGAGATACTCTCACTAGCTTGCCGGGCTCTCTGAGAGGGGCAGAGGAATCGAACTCGGGTCGGCCATGTTGGCTGCGTGCAAGGCAAACGCCCTACCACTGTGCTATCACTCCAGCCCATATATATATAAATATCAGAGAGCCCGGCAAGCTACCAAGAGTACCCCGCCCGCACAGCAGAGCCTGGCAAGATAGCTGGCCATGGTGCATTCGACATACCAAAAATAGTAATAATGGGTCTCATTCCCCTGAGCCTGAAAGAGCCTCCAATATATTGGGAAAGACGAGTAAGGAGAGGCTGCTAAAATCTCAGGACTGGGACGAATGGAGACGTTACTGGCGTCCGCTTGAGTAAATCGAAGAACAACAGGATGACAGTGATACAGTGATAGTTTTTGTTTGAGGGCCACACCAGGCGATGCTCAGAGGTTACTCCTGGCTCTGTGCTCAGGAATCACTCCTAGAGGTGCATGGGGACCATATGGGATGTCTGGGATTGAACCTGGGTAGGCCACATGCAAGGCAGCTGCCCACTGCACTATCTCTACAGCCCCAGTCACCTGATATTGTCTTAACCCTTGTTGACTCTCCACAGGCCACGGATGAGCGAGGCCGATGTTCAAGTCGCAGTGATATGCAAGCTTTCATCTTCTCTCCACATGGCTTTCCTTAATTCAAGCTGGGAAACCGCTAGCAGTGGCTGCTAATATAAAATCAAATAGAGCGAAAGGTAAGTCTATTTCCAGGCTGACCCTCCCTTCCCACCAAATGAAACCATCTGTTCAGAAATTACGTCTGTATTTCATGAGCGCTTGAATCTGAAACTTTTCGTTTTCAAGCCAGACCCGGAGGTGCTCAGGGATCAGCTGCAGGTGCTTCCAGAACTCTTTGGGTGTCTGGGACGAGCTGGTTGGTGTGTGGAGACGAGTGTCTTCCTTGCTGTCCCACCTGCCTAGACTCGCAGTATCTATTTTTGCTCTTGGGGGTCACACTCCTGGCTCCACACTCCAGGCCTCACACCTGCTGGGCACGGGGTCGAACCCGGGTGGGAATATGTGATGTTCACTGCGAGCTCGCCCCTGGTCTCCTTCTGCACACTGCAGGGCATACGGGGGGGGGGGGGGGGGGGCAGTGGCATGGCCGGCCCGAAAGTGGACGCGTGCTGACCCGTGCATGCTGTCTGAGGGCAGCGGTGCTTGGCCAGGGCGAGCGGAGGGTGCAGCTGTGTCCCGCAGGGCGCTGGGCTGCAGAGAGGGGAGCACCCGGGAGGGAGGGTGGGGGAAGCAGGGACCCGGGACCCTGGGGAGGGCCGGGGAGAGGCCCGGGGAGGCCTGTCCACTCCGCGAGGCGAGCGGCCAGGCGGGAGGCGGCTGCTTAGGGACCTCCAGCCGGCCAGGGACCCTGCCCAGGGCCCGGCGCCCGCGGGAACGCGCCCCGCCCCGCGCGCTGCCCTCCTCGGGGATGCGCCCCGCCCCGCCCCGCCCAGCGCGCCCCGTCCTCCTCGGGGACGCGCACGCCGCCACGCGCACGCGCCGCCGCCGCTGCCGGCCGTGACGTCACGCGGCCCCTCAGCCAATCGGGCGCCGCGCCGGGAAGTTTAAACTGGGCGCGGTGGCGGCGGCGGCGGTGGGCGCGATGGCAGAGGCGAGCGCGGTGGCCGTGTGCGTGCGGGTCCGGCCGCTCAACAGCAGGTGGGCAGGCCGCAGGGGTCAGCGCCGTCCTCCCGCAGGTGTCCGGTCCGTCCCCGCCGGAACCCGCCGGGCCGGGCCCCGAACCAGCGCAGGGCCGCGGAGAGGCGGCGGGGCTTGCGGCTGCCCCGCGGGGGTCCTCGGCTCCGAGGAGCTGCTAGTGGACGCACGGAAGCACCGCCGCGGTGGCCAGCGTGGCCGGGAGCTGCTGGAAGCGTCCCGCCCGGAGCAGGCGGCTTAGGGGGAGGCGGGGCGGTGGGCCCTTGGGTGCAGGGTGGGTGTCTGCAGGCGCCGGGCACTTGGATGCCGGCTGGGTGTCTGCAAGAGCCGGGCCCTTGGGTGCAGGGTAGGTGTCTGCAGGTGCCGGGCCCTTGAGTGCAGGGTGGGTGTCTGCAGGCGCCGGGCCCTTGGGTGCAGGGTGGGTGTCTGCAGGCGCCGAGCCCTTGGGTGCCGGCTGGGTGTCTGCAGGCGCGGGGTCCTTGGGTGCTGGGTGGGCGTCTGCAGGCGCTGGGCCCTTGGGTGCCGGCTGAGTGTCTGCAGGCGCCAGGCCCTTGGGTGCTGGCTGGGTGTGTTTCAGGCCCGGGAGCAGCGTGTCTGTCTGTGTCTGCTGCAGCTGGCCCAGATGGGGTCCAGCTGGAGAAGGATTGAGGGAAACTGGCCCAGGAAAAGAGAAATCCCACCTCTAGCGGGGCACCTCACAAAGCACCTCGGTGGGGTTAACCGGACACTCGTGCAGCTCCGTCTGTCTGGGTCTCTCCAGCTGCAGCATCTGGCCGGAGGCTGTGAAGAGGGTCCCGAGAAATGGGGGGGACTTTACAGGGGACCTGAGCCTCCCTTTAAAGGGTGTCCCCCAGCTCAGTTCCCCTCCAGGGCTCTCTGCCTGCCCCACTGGAACATGGTGTTTCTCTTTCAGAGAAGAAGCTCTCGGAGAAGACACCCAGATTTACTGGAAAACTGGCAATAATGCTATTTATCAGGTTGACGGGAGTAAATCCTTCAATTTTGGTAAGAACATCAGGATGTTGCTATCCAGGGCCGGGAGAGAGAACCGAGGGTAAGGCGCTGGCCTTTATGCGGCTGACCCCAGTTCTGTCTCCGGCACTCATATGCTGCGACCCAGAGCCAGGGTCAGCCCTGAGCGTGTGTCTCATCGGGACCCTAACCTGCTCGGTGCCCGTGGGCTCCCGCGCTGAGGGGCCTAAACTGGCAGGTCTCTGCAAAGCACAGGTGGGAAGCAGAGGAGGTTCAGTGGGTTTAACGTGTCTTTTAAGAAACTCAACCGCAGGTGCCAAGGTTGGGAGTCAGGAGGGAAGGTGCCCAGCTCTCAGACCCAGCCTTCGACCCTCCCCCAGGCAGGGGCACCCCGCCCACTGCCCACTGTCTCCGCATGTCGCCCCTCCAAGGCCACGTGTGGGCTCCCAGAGAAGCGTGTCCTCAGGCCCCAGCCCGCGACACGCCTCGTGTCTCAGCTGCTTTATCAGGCCAGAACCCGAGGTGCTCTACCAGGACCTGGTCAGGGAGCGTGAGGACACACGTGACCCTGGCTGTGTCACTGTTGCTTCAGATCGCGTGTTTGGGAGTGAGGAGAGCACGAAGAACGTGTATGAAGAGATCGCGATGCCCATCATCGACTCGGCCATCCAGGGCTACAACGGTCCGTGCCCCCGCCTGCACCCCCTCAGCCCTGCCTCTGCACACTGCCCAGCCGGCCCGTGCAATGCCCGCTGTGTTTTGCAGGGACCATATTTGCCTATGGGCAGACTGCTTCCGGGAAGACCTACACCATGATGGGCTCCAAAGATCACCTGGGAGTCATACCCAGGGCCATCCACGACATTTTCCAGAAAATTCAGAAGGTAACGTGGAGAGTTTGTTTCCCATTGAACAGCGTGATCTCCGCAGCCTCTGCCTCTACCTGGGGCTGCACTCCCTCCCCCAGTGCTGCAGAGCTCAGGATCTCCTCGTTCTCATTCTACCCGAGTCCTGTCCACGTGACTCAGAGCCAGGCACTTGCCAGCGAGCTGGTCTTTGCTCAGCTGCCAGGATCATCGAGGGGCCAGGAGGGGCTGCAGGGCGGGCACTGACCTTGCAAGCGCTGACGTGGGTTTGGTCTGGGCACCCCGGGGGCCCCCTGAGTCTGCTGGGAGCGACCCTGAGTGCAGAGCCAGGTGACTTCGAAACACAGATGAGAAGTAGCTGTGGGTGATGGGAGGCAGGTGAGGCCGGCAGGGCTGGGAGCCGCGAGCTTCCCGATGCCACGGGCCAGTGCCCGCCCTCTGCCTTGTGCCGGGCTCAGCTGGCATCTGCTCTTCCTCTAGTGACCCAGCCCCCTTATTGCAGAGACGAAGCTTTCCTAGCCACAGGGACGGCCTCGAGGCAAGGGGTTGGCTGTGGTTTCACAGAGGGGACCTTGCACTCAGCCTGAAGGCTGAGGGTCGGAGCCCCACGGTCTGACCGCCCCCTCCCCTCCTGCCCCCAGTTTCCGGACAGGGAGTTCCTCCTGCGCGTGTCCTACATGGAGATCTATAACGAGACCATCACGGACCTGCTCTGCGACACGCAGAAGGTGAAGCCGCTCATCATCCGGGAGGACTACAACGTGAGTGGACGCCGGCTGCCCTCGGGGGACCTCTGATGAAAACGTAGCTGGAGCCATTGTTCTTTGGCATTCGCCTTTGGCGTCTGTGTCTTTGAAAGTGTCCCTGGTGCTCTAGTTCAGGGGGCTGTAGTTGTGTTCTGATGGTGGGCAGGGGTCAGGGTCCTGTCCCGGGTGCTCACGCCCTCACTGCTGTGCGGCCTCTGACGAACAGGGTCCCGGGGACGTGATGCTGGTGGGGCTGCCAGGGTCGTGCCTGGTGGGGCCAGGAGCTTGCGGGCGTGGACCGGCTTCGGGAGCTACGCCGAGAATGTGGCGCTGCCGCCTCGGGCCCACGCTAGTTCTCAGGCATCCACACGTGGGCCCGGGCATCCAGAGCGAGTCCCCCTCACCTTCCCGTCTGAGGGAGGGGCAGCCCCTGAGTGCATCCCCCTGTATCCTCCGCGCAGAGGAGCGTGTATGTGTCGGACCTCACAGAGGAGGTGGTCTACACGTCGGACATGGCCCTGAAGTGGATCGCCAAGGGGGAGAGTAAGGCCAGGCCCCGGGGTTGGGGGGGGGGAGCTCCCCCCCTCCGAGCCCGCCCTCACGCCCACCTTCCCCACAGAGAACCGGCACTACGGCATCACCAAGATGAACCAGAGGAGCAGCCGCTCACACACCATCTTCAGGATGGTACGTGGGCCCGGGCTGGGGCGGGTGGGCGGGCCGGCGGGCATACACTCACATGCTCACACGTGCTGTCTGCCCAGATCTTGGAGAGCCGAGAGAAGGACGCCTCGAGCTGCGAGGGCGCCGTGAAGGTGTCCCATCTGGTGAGCCCCAACCCTCCCCAGGGGTGGGGGAGGGCTTGTCTCTCCCCGGGACTGAGATATGGGGGCTGGACCAGCCCGTGTCTGACGGGGGAGACCCTGGGTCCCGCAGCCCCTGATGAACCCCAGGGGCTGAGCAGCGCTGGTCTGAGCTCTAGGGACCCCCACCCCCACCCCAGGGACCACCAGCTGGGTCCCCCATGCCTCAGGCTCTCTGAGGCTCCTTCCCGCCCTCCCTCCCTCCCTCCCTCTCACAGAACCTGGTGGACCTGGCGGGCAGTGAGCGGGCCGCCCAGACGGGAGCCGAAGGTAAGGAGGGCAAGGCGTTGTGGTGAGAACCTCTCTCCAGCCCCTCTGGCCCTCTCTCCCCCTTCATTCCTCTCCCTCCTCCTTCCCTGCTCTCCCCACCCACCTCTGTCCCTTCCTCCCTCCCTCTGTCCCTGCCCCCTGGAGAGTCACGTCCATGGTTGCCATGACTGACCCTGCTCCCATCTGCTGGTCCTTAGAACCACGTTCCTGGTGGTCCAGGACCTTGGGGCCCAGGCAGCCAACCTGCGGGCCCAACTGGTGGATGCCCCCATCCCCTGGAGCACAGGGGGTTGTGTCTGAGGGGAGGAGGTGGCATCATGTCTGTCTAGTTGCAACCCCCACCCCAGGCTCTGAGCGCCCCCAGCCCGGCCCCTCGCTGGTCATGAGCAGGTCAACCAGCCACTCGCCTGAAGAAGCAGCCATGCTGCTGGGCGCCCGGTGGGAGAGAGCCAGACGGCCAGCAGGAGGCAGCAGGGCCAGGACTGACTCTCAGTGACCTCCGCTGACCCCTGTCTCCTCTGGTCCCACCAGGGCTGCGGCTGAAGGAAGGCTGTAACATCAACCGCAGCCTCTTCATCCTGGGCCAGGTCATCAAGAAGCTCAGTGACGAGCAGGCGGGGTGAGTGCCGGCCCCACCCGTGGACTGTCCCCCTCGGCAGGCGCCCACCTGAGCAGTCCTTGAGGTCTCGTGGCCCTGAGTGGCCTGGCCCTGTGTGACCCTCCAAGTCTCGTGGCCTGGCCCTGGCCCTGTCCATCCTTCTGGCTCCCGGCCCTGCACTGTCCCTCTCGGGCTCAGCAGCTGTGGAGGCCGCTTCCCATCCGGGCCCCAGCCCTGCCTGGCGCCTGTCGGGGTGAGCGGTGAGTGGCCCCACTGCTGTGGCCTTGTCTGAGCCTGCCCCCCCCTCCCCACCCCACCCCCAGCGGCTTCATCAACTATCGGGACAGCAGGCTGACACGCATCCTGCAGAATTCGCTGGGAGGCAACGCCAAGACCCGCATCGTCTGCACCATCACACCCGCCTCCTTCGACGAGACACTCAGCACCCTGCAGGTGAGCCACTGCCGGTCACCCAGAGCAGCAGAGCGAGAGGTGGGGTCCCGGTCCCCAAGACGCGGCCTAGAGTCGGTGTGCTGCCCGCTGAGCAGTGCTCCCTCCAGCTCGGCCCCCGGCTCCATCACCACATCCCGGCCCGCAGGGGCACCCATGACCGGCCTCAGTCCATGTAAACTGACTGACTTTTCTCTGAATAACTCACTTTTTTTTTTTAACCTCTGGAAGGAATCTGGCTTTCTCACGAATGAAAACTAGCACCACTTTCAAGAAGTAGGTGATCAAAGAAAAGGGGTGTGTGTGTGTGTGTGTGTGTGTGTGTGTGTGTGTGTGTGTAGAGAGAGATGGTTGCCAGCTTCTGCTGCCAGCCTGAGGCCTCTGTTCTGTGTGTGAGACACACACGCACGCACACACACATGAACATGCATGTACATACATAGGTTTTTACTGACCATTTGTGTGGAGAAAGTTCCTCGCGACTTGCCAACAGTCCCAGGGACCGTGCAAGGTGGAGGATGGAGGATGTGGGGGGGGCTTGGTACTGGGGGCCCCAGGCTGCTCCCGGCCCTGCTGCGTGCGGGCATGCGTCGCTGTGTTGCCCCCTGGCCCTTCTCTCTGTTTTCCTTTGGGGGGGGAACAAAGGTCAGTGAGAAATGCCAGTCGTAGGACAGTCTGTTCCCAGCGGTCACTCGTGCGCCCACGACAGTCAGAATCCCGGGACAAGCAGAGCTTCTGGGGTGGGAGGGAGCAGGCAGGGCCTGGGGGCAGTTGGCCGTCCCTGGGCTGTGAAGGCGGTACTCGGAGCGGACACTCTCTCCTGGAGCTGGGGGCCAGCGGCCCGAGTACCCGTTCATTAGTTGTCCCTGGTTTTCCCGGCGAGTGGCCACCTGGTGCTGACCTCTCTGGCTCTGCAGTTTGCCAGCACGGCCAAGTACATGAAAAACACCCCCTACGTGAACGAGGTGTCCAGCGACGAGGCGCTCCTGAAGCGGTACAGGAAGGAGATCATGGACCTCAAGAAGCAGCTAGAGGAGGTGCGGGGGGACCAGGGGGGTGTAGGCCTCACCCTCCCTCCCAGCCCTGCTGCCTCCCGGTTCGCCCGAGAGTCCTACCTGAGGCGGCGGTGCGCTCTCACCTGGGCCCCGGGAGGGACTGTCCGTGACGCTGTCCTTGCAGAGGAGTGGCTGGGCAGAGCTGCTTCTGAGCGGACCCCAGCAGGCCCCGGCACTGAGCCCTGCCCATCTGAGCCCGCTGGCCCCATGTCAGGGTTTCAGCCGTCCCTGATCCCAGGCGATGGGAAGCTCGAACCCGCCACCATCCCTGCTGGGGTGACTCCTGTGGCCTCGGCCCCGAGCGGGAGCCTATCTGCATTCGTGTGGCCGCAGCGTCCCCTCCTGGGAGACTCCTCGGGGGCCCAGACCCTCCCTCGCTCCACAGACACAGTCCCCGGTTCCCCCTGCAGGTGTCTCTAGAGACTCGGGCTCAGGCCATGGAGAAGGACCAGCTGGCCCAGCTCTTGGAGGAGAAGGACTTGCTCCAGAAAGTGCAGATCGAGAAGATCCAGAACCTCACCCGCATGCTGGTGACCTCCTCCTCCCTCACGTCCCAGCAGGAGTTAAAGGTCGGCGGGCAGGGGCGGGGTCTCAGCAGGCAGGGGTAGGGGTCTCTCGGCAGGTAGAGGGTCTCAGCGGGCAGGGGCCGCCTGAAGGGCAGTGGCCTCCTGCTGCATGGCTCACGGGTCAGCGTCTCGGACTGCAGCGTCTTCAGACACCCAGTGCTCTGTGCATTCCCTGTTCCAGCACCCAGGGGCTTGCCAAGAGCACTGAGCCCGGACCCCAGATGGACAGACCTCCACTGAGGACGCATGTCTGCAGCACAGTCGGGCATGGCTGCAATGTGCTTCCTAACGAAGGAAGGAGGGGCGGGGAGGTGCTGGGGAGCGTCGGTGATGCTGCCGCAGCTCTGGGTAACACTGTCAGAGCCCAGACCTTGGCTGGATAATCGACCGTTGACAGGTTGTGTCACCCAGCTCCCATCAGCCAGGTCCCGGGACAATACCGAATATAGACCAGGGAAGATTAATAATCCCTTTATGGGGTATCTCAGGATCCACACAGATCTGAGAAGCCGGGGTTGGTTTTCCTGGCTGGAGTACCTGTAGATTGGTAAGAGAGTAAGCTAGGCTTCACGATCGTTCCAAACCCCCCTGCGATGGTTTTCGAACACGGGCACCAGCTCCATCACTGTCCCGTGCCCGGCTGTAATGTTTCTCTCCTCCAGGCTAAAAAGAAGCGGAGAGTCACTTGGTGCTTGGGCAAAATTAACAAAATGGAGAAAGCCAAGTTCGGGGAAGAATTTTCCTTGCCGGCGAGCGTGACCACGAAAACAAACCGCTCGGCTCTCAGCTCCGTGGGAGAGATGGACGAGTGTGAGTGTCCTGCTCCTGTCCTGGGAAGAGCCCCTGGGGGCGGCCAGCAGACCCCAGCCCCACAGGGGCCCTGAGCACAGACCCACGAGCAGCCCCTGAGCACGGCCAGCCATGGCCAAAGGAGCGAGGGCCTCAGCTCACTCGTAAACACACTTAGCTACGGCACGTTTGTGGTGCCAGGATCCAGCCCGGGGCCCCCCATGCAGGCAAACTCAGGTGCTGGCCGTCCTCAGCCCTGCGACTGCAGGGGACGGGGGACAGACAGTACCGTCCTGGAGTCACTCCCACAGTCGCACAGAATGCCGGCAGATGATTTTGTTGTTTGTCTTCTTTCCTGTAATTTCCTAAATAAACCCGTCTTTGGGGCCGGCTGGGGGTGCAGCTGAGCTACAGTGCCCCGCCCTGGCCGGGTCCCAAACAATGCGCCCAGATAGCGCGCCCTCAACTCTGTCAACCCGGAAGGGAGTGTGTACAGGAAGGGGCTAGAGAAAGACAGGGTCAGGCACTGCCTGGAGTGCAAGCCACCTGGCTTCAGTCCCCGGCTCCCAGACGGCCCCCGAGCCCTGCCAGGAAGTAACCCAGAGTGCAGAGCAGGAGTCAGTACTGCTGGGAGTGGCCCCAGGAAGAAGCAAGAAGTCACATTTCCAGTGTTAAAGCCGTTTTTCCAGGGAATCGTGATCTATCCAAACCTCGGGTATAGGAGGTGTCATCGTCACCTGTTTCAGTCCTGATTCCAACATCCAGCCTTACCCAAGCAGCGCCCTAGACAGGGGCCCCAGTGCTTCTCGCCCCCTCACTCAGGATTCCTGAGCGGTGTCGGGGACGGTAGGAGGCTGTGGGCACTTCTCCATGAGTCTCTCCGCATTCCAGCCCTCTATTCTGAGGCCGACCCCCTCAGCAACACTCTGGACATGTTAGCCGAGATAGAGTGGAACCCAGCCACCAAGCTCCTGGCCTCGGTGAGTGTCCCCGGCCCTCCCCTCCCAGCTTCCGTGCTCTGTGCCCACAACACCACACATGTGTGCACACACACATACATGCACACAAATACACATATACACATGCACATACACACGCATGCATGCACACACATACATGCACATATACATAGGCACACACACACATACACACAGTCTTGGGAAATCCTGGGAAGGCAGAAGGCATGGAGTTGTCACTGTCACTGTCCTCCCATTGTTCATCAATTTTCTCGAGCGGGCCCAGTAACGTCTCCATCGTGAGCCTTTGTTGTTCCTGTGTTTGGCATGTTGAGTACGTCACGGGGAGCTTGCCAGGCTCTGCCATGCGGGCGAGATACTCTCAGTAGCTTGCCGGGCTCTCCGAGAGGGGCGGAGGAATTGAACTCGGGCCGGCCATGTTGGCTGCGTGCAAGGCAAACACCCTACCGCTGTGCTATCGCTCCAGCCCATGGGGTTGTAAAGTGCCAAAATTCTCAGACACTGGGGAGGGATAATAGCAAGGAAAAATAGCAATGAAGAGGCTGAAATGATAGCACAGCGGGGAGGGCCTCTGCCTTGCATGCAGCCGACCCGGGTTCGATTCCCAGCACCCATATATATGGTCCCCTGAGCACTGCCAGGGGTAATTCCTGAGTGCAGAGCCAGGACTGACCCCTGTGCATTGCTGGGTGTGACCCAAAAAGAAAACAAAAAAGTAACAGTGAAAAATAAGAGCAGAAATACTGTGTTGCCTCTGGAGGCCTGTCCAGGGAGTGGTCAGAGGCGCTGTGGTGAGCACAGGGTCCCACCTGACCACAGCCACTGTCTTCATAGGGCCATCGAGCAGTCCTCAAACTCTCTGGTCTGGTTAGGTTTGGAGGGCCACACCTGGCAGGGCTCGGGGGACTATGGAAGGTGCCAGGGGTGGAGCTCAGGTCGCCCACCTGTAAAGCAAGTGCCTTCCCCCCTGCCCTACCGCCCATCTCCTTGAAATGCACTTTTACAAGCACGTTTCAGGAGGCCAGAGCTATAGTACACACTTGCCTTGCACACACCTGACCAGGGTTTGATCCCGCCCGGCACCCCATGTGGTCCCCCGAGCACCACCAAGAGAGGGTCCTGAGTCAGAGCCAGGGGAACCCCTGAGCATCACCAGGTGTCCCAGAAACAAACAAGCAAAACTTTTTAAATTAAAACACATTTTAATTCTGAAATAAAATTATGCCGTGCTTCTTGGAAATCACCCTTCATCAACCACTAAAATTAATTATCATTAGTTAATCAGGCAAGTATTACAGGCAGCTTTTTTTTGTGGGGGGGGGTAGACTTTTTGTCTTTTTGGGTCACCGGCAATGCTCAGGGGTTACTCCTGGCGGTGCTCAGGGACCAAGCCCGGTCGGCTGCATGCAGGCAAATGCCCTCCCTGCTGAGCGGTCACTCCGGCCCAGGCAGCTTTTTCATCTTTGTCTTTCTGGTCCCTGGACCTGCCCTGGAAGGTTCCTGGGCATTTTGGTGTTTGGTGTTTCTGTCTCCGCACCATGGGGGAGGCAGAGTGAGGGTGGTGACCCCCTCCCTGGTCGCCCAGCACTCAGGAAACAAGGCAGGAGGCAGCGTGGACAGCTCGCGCCTGGGCCTGGCCACTCAGCCTTTGTCTTTGGTGTGATCTGTCCACTCTAATGTAGCCGCCTGTCCTGTGCTCCATCATCCACCCCAGAGGAAGCTTGACTGCTGGGCAGATCGTGAAGGAAGAGAAAGTTTTGCCCAGTGGCTTTCCACACACCCTGCCAGGTCACCGATGTGCAAAGGTGACAAGCTACTGGCAGGTGACCCCGGGGAGGCCGATCGCTTCCCCAGCACAGCGGTCAGTGGAGGAGGCAGAACTGTCCACGGGTGGTGCTCTGACTCGACAGCGCTTCTCTCTGTTGCAACAGGACAACTTTGAGAGTGAGCTGGGGTCACTTCGTGTGGAGTATGACAATCTGGTACTCGACTATGAGCAACTGCGGAGAGAGAATAAAGAGCTGGAGATGAAACTAAAGGAGAAGAATGACCTGGATGAATTCGAGGCTCTCGAAAAAAAAGCTGAAAAAGAAGATCAAGAGGTAAGCAAGAGGGAGACACAAGTCAGGCCAGAACCGCACTGAGAGCTCCCCCCAGAACCCACCGCTCTGCCCGGGTTGGCCCAAAGCCAAAAAGAAATCGGTCATTTCTAAGACCGAGAACCCAGCCTTCTTCCACGGGAACACGCACCTCAGAGTTTTAGTGAGTCATTCCTTTATAGTGTTTGAAATAGAGCCTAGCAGCCAGAGCACAGCCCAGCGGGTGGGCGTATTCTACCTGGGGGACAGCGCAGCTCATCTCCATCCCATACGGTCCCCCAAGGGACCAGGACTGATCCTGAGTGCCGAGCCAGGAGGAAGCCCTGAGTATGCTGGATGTGGCCCCAAGCCAGAAGCAAATGAATAATAAGATAAATAGAGGCCAGATGGTACAGTGAGTGGTGAGGGCCATGCCTAGCATGCAGCCTCTCTGACCGATGCCGTTTGTATGCCCAGAACTGCATCTGTTTGGGTGCCTGGAACTGCATCTGTTTGGATGCCCGGAAATACATTTGGTTCCCTGAGCACCACCAGATGTGGCCAGGCCCACCCCCAACACAAATAGGTGAAGTTTGCTTTGTGTATACAGAAGGAGGAATAAGTGACCTGTGCAAGGCTTTGGTGGATTTGCCATGAGATTAATGTGTTGGGCCTGGCAGAAGTGCCGCCTGGGGCTCAGGCGCCCGCACGCACCTGTGTGTGTGTGTGTGTGCGCGCGCGTGTGTGTGGGTATGTGTCTGTGTGTGTGGGGGGGGGGGTTCTGAGTGTGTGTGTGTGTGTGTGTGCGCACGCTCGCGCGTGTAAGTAGGGTGTGTGTCTGTGGGGGGGGGGTTCTGTGTGTGATGTGGGTGTAGGGGAGGGTCTGGGGGGGTGTGGTTTGGGGCTCACACCTGTGGTGCTCAGTGATCACTCCTGGCAGGGCCCAGGGGAGCCTATGGGTTGCCAGGGACTCCTGAGTTCCGCTCGGGAGGTGGATTTTTTTCAAATGTAATTGAACGTATTTCGATTGACCAGAAGGAGCAGGGGGCTGAACTGCCTTCAGACTCGGGGGCAGGATTCAGACCCTCTGTTGGCAGCGGCCCCCGCCCCCCGCTGACTGCAGGGCAGCTCTGCCCCCAGCAGGTGGCTGTGTGACCTGGGCTGCTCCGTGGGGAGGGTCCTACCTGCCCTAAGGCCTCCCCTGCTGCCTGTGCCGCTCATCCAGCAGCCCTCCCCCACCCCGCCCCTACCCAGCAGGCCTCCCCTACCCCTCCCCAGCAGGCCCTCCCTCCACTGTTATGCCAGGACCACCCCTGGGTGTCTTTGTGCCTTCAGGTGGGTTCTTTGTTTCAGCCTGAGATTCCTTGCGTCAGGGTTAGGGCAAGGAGAGAGAATACAGGTGGGACCAGATTCCTGTTTTGGAGGGGTGAGGGGGCTTTTGTTTGGGGGCCACATCCAGTGCCATTCTGGGCTTACTCCTGCTCTGCACTCAGGGATCACTCCCAGCGGGCTCAGGGGACTATATGGGATGCCAGGGATCAAACCCGGGTTGGCCGAGGGTAAGACCAGTGCCTGCCCCCTGTCCTCTCTCCAGGCCTTGGGAGTCGGGTTTGGTGGAAGTGATTGGCCTCATTCAGCAGTGCTGGTTCTGGTCCTCCTGTGACTGACCAGCAGAGTCACTGCCTGTCGGGGGGCCACATGGGGACGGCCCCGTCCTCACAAGCTGCCCAGTTCCACCCCACCGAGAGTGTCCAGGTAGGGTTGGGTCAGCGTCCGTGTGAAGGAGGAAGAACTGACAGGCGAGCCCATCCCTGCCCCACACATCCCCAAACAGAACTCTTCTCACCGAGAGGGCTGGCCGGCCTTGTGCCATGAAGGAGTTATTCTGAAGACAGGCATGTGCCGTGGCGGGGTCATTTCGAGGACAGGCGTGTTCGTGGGTACTGTGGGGCCTGGTTCTGGTTTGCTGCTTCTCTGGGCCTTTCAAGTATTTTGACCTGGCTGGTTGAGGCAGTCTCTCTGTTCTGTGTTTTAATAATTGCAGTAGCTTGGACTGTTGGCCCTTCTTGCCTTCCGGTGCTGGGGAATTCTGAAGCAGGAAATGAATACCTTTTTTTTTTCCCCCTTTTGCTTTATTAACCTTTGATTTGCTCTGTTGCCTGTTCACATGCTCTTACAGATGCAACTAATTCACGAAATTTCCAACCTAAAGAATTTAGTTAAGCATGCAGAAGTGTATAACCAAGATCTTGAGGTGAGCGATTATGTTGGCATTCTCTTGATACGGAATCGTTAACTGTAAAATGCACGATGTGCATCCTAGAACATGCGTTATGTGTAATTATCAAACGTGATTTTAGAGCTCTTGGCTTTCCTGTGGATTTAGACTTGAAGTGTGAGCTCTGCCGGTCGCTCAGGATGCAGGTCAGGTGTGTCACATGCCACTCCCTCTGTCCCTCAGAATGAGCTCAGTGCGAAGGCAGAGCTTCTGAGAGAGAAGGAACACCAGATCGAGCAGCTGCAGAAAAGCCTGGAGAGTCAGCAGCCGGAGGGCCCCACGCTGGACCTGTCCTGCTCAGCGGTAAGGCTGGGTCCATCTTGTCATGGATATGCTAGCCCTTGGGGTGCACCGTCCAGCCTGGCTCTGTACAGTCAGGGGGATGAGGGTCCCATGGGCACCGTGACGTGACCTCGTCACCTGTGGACTGTACTCAATCTCATACGCAGCCTCTGTGGCAGGGAGTGGAACCACAGCCATCTCACCTGGAAAGAGCTAGTTGTAGAGTTAAAGAGATCACTTTTGTGGACCATCAGCAATTAAAGATTAATTTTTTTTTTCAAATTTCCATCTTTTTTTTTTTTTTTTTATTGAATCACTGTGGGAAAGGTTACAAAGCTTTCAGGTTTATGTCTCAGTCATGCAAATATCAAACACATTTCCCTTTACCAATACTTATTTTTTACCCTGAAGAACCCCAATAAAACCCCACCCCCCACCCCTCCCCGTCCCTGTGAGGCAGATGAATTCTAGTTAACACTCTATCTGCTTGATTAGATTCATTGTTTCAATAAGATTCACCACTATTATTTAGAGTTTACCCCCCCCCCCCAAATCAGACATGCTGAAAAAGAATTGTGAAGTGATTTGCTTTCTACAGCTGGGTTCAAGAATTAAATGTTGGTTTTGGATTTCTGCTATTTTACCTATTGACCCTGGAAGTATTTCTACTGAAAGTCAGATAGTTAAGAAATTGGTTTCTGTGTTCTGGAGTCGTGGCCGTGCTGGAGAGCCGCTCGCGGGGGGCAACCAGTGGCCTCGGTAGGGCGTGAAGGGCGGACCGGAACGCCCCCCTTCCCATGAGGTTTTAGTCGCCCCCACACTCCCGGCTCATACCTGCTGTCCACAAGGCTCCCATGTGGCCGCCATCTTTCTTTCCAGAGAGGAGAGGGCGAATGGGGCAACACCCTTTCCCCTCCGGCAGACTTGATGGGCTGGATCAACGCATAGTCCGTTCACTTTTCTGCTCCAAGCTGCTGGGTTCTGCATTAAGTCCTTGTGCTTCTGGGGCCATGGCCGTGCTGGAGAGCCGCTCGCGGGGGGTGACTGGTGACCTTGGTAGGGCGTGAAGGACGGACGGGAACGCCCCCCTTCCCATGAGGTTTTAGTCGCCCCCACACCCCCGGCTCATACCTGCTGTCCACAAGGCTCCCATGTGGCCACCATCTTTCTTTCCAGAGGGAAGAGGGCGGAAGGGAGCAACACCCTTTCCCCTCTGGGCAGAAATGATTGCCTGGATTAACGCATAGTCCTTTCACTTTTCTGCTCCAAGCTGCTGGGTTCTGCATTAGGTCATTGTGCTTCTGGGGCTGTGGCCGTGCTGGAGAGCCGCTCGTGGGGGCAACTGGTGGCCTCGGTAGGGCGTGAAGGGCGGACCGGAACGCCCCCCTTCCCATGAGGTTTTAGTCGCCCCCACACTCCCGGCTCATACCTGCTGTCCACAAGGCTCCCATGTGGCCGCCATCTTTCTTTCCAGAGAGGAGAGGGCGAATGGGGCAACACCCTTTCGCCTCCGGCAGACTTGATGGCCTGGATCAATGCATAGTCCGTTCACTTTTCTGCTCCAAGCTGCTGGGTTCTGCATTAAGTCCTTGTGCTTCTGGGGCCGTGGCTGTGCTGGAGAGCCGCTCGTGGGGGGCAACTGGTGACCTCGGTAGGGCGTGAAGGACGGACGGGAACGCCCCCCTTCCCATGAGGTTTTAGTCGCCCCCACACCCCCGGCTCATACCTGCTGTCCACAAGGCTCCCATGTGGCCGCCATCTTTCTTTCCAGAGGGAGGAGGGCGGAAGGGAGCAACACCCTTTCCCCTCTGGGCAGAAATGATTGCCTGGATTAACGCATAGTCCTTTCACTTTTCTGCTCCAAGCTGCTGGGTTCTGCATTAAGCCCTTGTGCTTCTGGGGCTGTGGCCGTGCTGGAGAGCGCTCTTGGGGGGCAACTGGTGACCTCGGTAGGGCGTGAAGGACAGACCGAAACGCCCCCCTTCCCATGAGGTTTTAGTTGCCCCCACACTCCCGGCTCATACCTGCTGTCCACAAGGCTCCCATGTGGCCGCCATCTTTCTTTCCAGAGAGGAGAGGGCGAATGGGGCAACACCCTTTCCCCTCCGGCAGACTTGATGGCCTGGATCAACGCATAGTCCGTTCACTTTTCTGCTCCAAGCTGCTGGGTTCTGCATTAAGTCCTTGTGCTTCTGGGGCTGTGGCCGTGCTGGAGAGCCGCTCGTGGGGGGCAACTGGTGACCTCGGTAGGGCGTGAAGGACGGACCGGAACGCCCCCCTTCCCATGAGGTTTTAGTCGCCCCCACACCCCCGGCTCATACCTGCTGTCCACAAGGCTCCCATGCGGCCGCCATCCTTCTTTCCAGAGAAGAGAGGGCGAATGGGGCAACACCCTTTCCCCTCCGGCAGACTTGATGGCCTGGATTAACGCATAGTCCTTTCACTTTTCTGCTCCAAGCTGCCGGGTTCTGCATTAAGTCCTTGTGCTTCTGGGACTGTGGCCGTGCTGGGGAGCCGCTCGTGGGGGGCAACTGTTGACCTCGGTAGGGCGTGAAGGACGGACCAGAACGCCCCCCTTCTCGTGAGGTTTTAGTCGCCCCCCACACCCCCGGCTCATACCTGCTGTCCACAAGGCTCCCATGCGGCCGCCATCCTTCTTTCCAGAGAAGAGAGGGCGAATGGGGCAACACCCTTTCCCCTCTGGGCAGAGATGATGGTCTGGGTTAACTCATCGTCCGTTCACTTTTCTGCTCTAAGCTGCTGGTTTCTGCATTAAGTCCTTGTGTTTCTGGGGCTGTGGCCGTACTCCAAACTTAACTCTGATTTTCAGGGAGAAAGATTGGGTGGTTTACTTCTCATTGATCACTTTGTATATAGAGAGATGTCTTCTGGTCACCGGGGTTCCATCTGGGGGAGGCGGGATGCGGCGCCTACTCCATCTGGAACTTGCTGGTGATCTCGGCTCTTTTTGGAACCTGTTTTTTCTTTTTTTTTTCCTCCGGGATCCCGCACCCTCCATGTGTTCCTTCTCTTATGCTGAACGCTTCAAAGATGGCGCTGGGGGGCGGGCTGTGGGCGTGACTTCTGGAATCAGAGGTTACCTGGGAGGTGTAGTCCAGCAGATTTGAGAAAAAGTCCTCGTTCCCGCATACGCGAGCTGTGTTTGTAGAGGCTTCTGGTCACCGGGGTTCCATCTGGGGGAGGCGGGATGCGGCGCCTACTCCATCTGGAACTTGCCGGTGATCTCGGCTCTTTTTGGAACCTGTTTTTTCTTTTTTTTTTTCCTCCGGGATCCCGCACCCTCCATGTGTTCCTTCTCTTATGCTGAACGCTTCAAAGATGGCCAATTTCCATCATTTTTTAATGAGCTTTGGGGGGGGGGGCTGGGGGGGTTATACCCAGCAATGTTCAGGACTTACTCCTGATTCTGCACTAAGGAATTACTCCTGGGGGCTGAAGCAATAGCACAGCAGGGCGGGCCTTTGCCTTGCACGTGGCCGACCCAGGTTCAATCCCCGGCATCCTTTGTGGTACCCTGAGCAACACCAGGAGTGATTCCTGAGTGCAGAGCCAGGAGTAACCCCTGAGCATGATTGGGTGTAGCCCCAAAAGAAAAAAAATACTCTTGGTTTGGCCCAGGGACCATATGGGATGCCGAGGATCGAACCTGGGTAGGCAGCATGGAGGCAGACGCCCTCCCTCTGTACACTGCTGCGGCTCCATGAGTTCTCACCTTTCTCGGGGTGTCCGCTGTCCAGCCTGCTTTAGGACTTCATCTGTTCTGTCCACCACCACCTCCCGAGACACGGGAGCATCCCTGATGCGCCGGCCAGCAGTTCGTTCACCCAAACAATGGCCGGTGTCTCCAGTCTCCACATGGGGCTCCTGTGATATGGACGAGCAGCCGGGATGTGAGGGGCTCGGTCAGGGACGGCGTCGGCTGTGCTGGCCAGGAGGGTGGCCTGACGCAAGCTGTCTCTGGTACAGGAACCCACAGCAGACGTCCAGCAACTGAGGCAGAGCCTGCAGGATGCCGAGACCGTGTTGCTGGACGCCAAGCGGGAGTCAGCCTTCCTGCGGGGCGAGAACCGGGAGTTGCTTGAGAGGCTGGTACGTGTGCCGGTGCTGGTGGCCGTCCCGGGGTGCCCTGGCACCCAGGCGTCAGTGGCAGCCACTTACTCCCCGCTGCCTGGCGTGTCCTCCGCAGAGAGAGTTGGAGGGCCGGTGCAGGCAGCTGGAGAGTGACCTGCAGGGCTCCCAGCGGCAGCTGGAGGCCAAGAGGCAGATGCAGGCCGACCTGGAGAAGGAGCTGCAATTCTCGTTCACGGAGATCGCCAGGCTCACCGCCGTCCCAGGCGGCCAGGGGCCCCGAGGTACGGGGGTCTCCTGCAGCATCCAGAGTGGGCAGCATCCAGTGGGTAGGCACCCCGCCCCCCAAAAAAAGCACGAAAGATTTTGCAATATTCCAGTGGTTAAAAACCCAACCCCTGGGTCCCAGGGGGACAGTCCCATGGGGAAGGCCTTGCCTTGCTCCAGGTCTGTCTCCGGTGTCTAGAGGGTCCCCAGCACCGTCGGGTGTGGCCCAAAAGCAAACAGACAAAACACCAGCAAAATGAAAGCCCGTTCCCTGTTTCCCAGCAGCTTCGTAGTACGTTTCAAGGTCTAAATTAAACATTTTTATCTTTGAACTCCAAGAGTTGAACATTTTCCCCTCGGTCACTAGACAGACCTTGGCACGGTCACAGCCCCTGCCCAGACGGCCGTAGTGTCCAGTGCCCGCCCGCAGACCGTCCCCGTGCACTTCCCTTCCTAGACGCGCTCCCCACCGCGGACCTGGAGAGGAAGGTCGAGGAGCTGCAGGCGGAGCTGCGGAGGGAGGCGCAGGAGAAGGCGGCGCTGCAGGAGGAGGCGGCGCTGCTCGCGGCGCTCAAGCCGCTGCCCTCGGAAGTCGAGACGCTGAGGAAGGAGGTAAGCCAAATAACTGGGCCAAATCACCTCTGCTGAGAGGGAAATGCCTCCAGCTGTGCCTTGAGTATTTGCCGGGGTTCGTGCTGAGGTGGCAGTGACAGGTGTCCACGTGGACCGAGTGGCTGGGACATGCTGTCCACGCGGACCAAGTGGCTGGCTTACAGACTGGCCCTGGGCTGTGGGGGAAACAAACGCCAGGTCACGGCCTACGCGGCGGCACCCTCGCCTTGTCCTGGGACAGACGTCTCCGGGACCCCCCAGGCCTGTCTCTCATCTGTCCCAGCTCTGCGCTGAGAGGAGTGGGGGGGGGTGGGCGGTCCCCAGCCTGTGTGTGAAGCCAAGCGTCGGCCCCGCTCTGCGGCACACGTTGTTTTTGGATCACCGTCTCCCACCTGAGGAGCCCTCTCGGGGTGGGGGGGGTGCACAGGGCACTGCCCGCTCTGGCGACCTTGGCCTGGGGCTGCAGCCCCTGGGCCCGCCAACCGCCCCCGCCCCCCGCCACTGCCTGTTTCTCAGTGATGAGCCCCAAGCTCGCCACTTTGTTTCAACTGTTTAAGTGACCACTGAATGCCGGCCACCCGTCCCAGGATGGACAGAGTCTGCTCCCAGACGAGCTCCAGACCCTAAGGGCCCAGCACTCAGGGCTGGGACAGCACCACACCCGTAGGCTCAATTGATGAGCCACCCATCCCAAGTGACCCCGATCCCGGTGACCAGATCCCGAATGACCCCGATCCTGGTGACCAGGTCCCGAATGACCCCGATCCCGGTGACCAGGTCCCAAATGACCCCCGATCCCGGGGACCAGATCCCAAATGACCCCCGATCCCGGTGACCAGATCCCGAATGAGCCTGATCCCGGTGACCAGATCCCGAATGACCCCTGATCCCGGTGACCAGATCCCGAATGACCCCTGATCCCGGTGACCAGATCCCGAATGACTCCTGATCCCAGTGACCAGATCCCGAATGACCCCTGATCTCGGTGACCTGATCCCGGTGACCAGATCCTGAATGACCCGGATCTCGGTGACCAGATCCCAAATGATCCCTGATCCCTGTGACCAGATCCCGAATGAACCAGATCCCGGTGACCATATTAGCAGGAACGGGGCGTCCCTCCACACCCCCCACCCCACTCTAGAGTACCTGGCCCTGAAGGCACGTCCCAACCCAGGTTTCCTTCCACTTCCTGGGTAGCTTCTGCTAGGACACAGAGAAAGGAAGGTGGAAGTAGGGTGGAGACTCAGACAGGCTTGCAGGTGGCCGGGGACGTGGCCAGAGTTGGTTTCTAGAGGTCCATTTTCAGGAAGATCTGGACTTCATCTCTCCTCTGCAGAGAAAGCGATTTCCCCCCAAGACCACTCCTTTCATCTGCTCCTTCTCCACAGATCCTTGAGAAATCCGAGGAGGTGTCCCTGCTGGCCTCGGAGAGGGACCGGCTGCTTTCCGAGCTCGCGGGGTGGGAGAACGGTGCCCGCGAGGCCGTGCCGGGTCCTGAGCATCTCGGTGACGAGGACAAGTGCCGGGCGCTCCTGGAGGACCAGGCCGCGATGAGCGAGCAGCTCGCAGCCCTCAGGCTCAGCCTGGCCACCCTGGAGGCAGAGGTTGGTCCCGGCGGGGTCGGGGTCGGGTGCCCAAGGCTCCCCTCCATGTGCTGTCGTCCCTCCGCAGCTTTCCGAGAAGACCCAGGAGCTCCGGGAAAGGGCGGCCGAGAGCCAGGAGCAGCGGGACAGCCACGAGTCTCAGCTGCGGGCCGTGGAGCAGGACAGGGCGCAGGTGGCCGAGCAGCTGGAGCGGGCCCTAGTGGACGTGAGGACCTTGACCCAGGAGAAGGACGCCCTCCGGGAGGCACAGGCCAGCCTGCAGGCGGAGTGCGACCAGCTGCGGGGCGACATCCAGGACACGGTGAACATGGTGAGGCCTGGGATGGACACTGCAGGCCCCCCCCCACAGCCGCCCCTTACCCCTGCCCCTCACGGCCTCCCATCACCCCTGCCCTCCGTGGCTGCCCTCACCCCTGCCCTCCACGGCCACCCCTCACCCCTGTCCTCTGCAGCTACCCTCATCCCTGTCCCTCTATAGCCACCCCTCCTCCCTGCCCTCCACGGCCCCCCACACCACCACCCCTCCCCCCCCACGTCCCTCCACAGAACATCGACACGCAGGAGCAGCTGCGGGACGCCCAGGAGGCCCTGAGACAGAGAGAGGAAACCATCAGCTCCCTGAGCAGGAGGCTCGCCTCGAAGGGCGCCTCAGTGGGCTGCCCAGAGCAGGTGGGAGGGGGCTGGGCTGGGGGCGGTGTCTGTGCTCACATAGGCGGGGCTTGCTGGTGGCCTGTGTTCACGGCTGTCCTCTGGGCATCACCAGCAGGAAGTCATGCACCAGCCTTCTCGCCTGCATCCACACATTCAGACCCAGCGCGCTTTGGGGTTTCCTTTTGATTTTGTGTGTGTGTGTGTGTGTGTGTGTGTGTGTGTGTGTGTGTGTGGTCTCTATAAGTGCCACACCTGGCAGTGCTCAGGGATCACTCCTGCTGGGCTCAAGGCCCAACTGGTTGTCAGGGGTCAGACCTGAGTCTGCCACTCCATGTGGACTCCCTTCCCTGTGTGGGTCCCTCCATCCCTGCTGCAACCCAGCTGAGGCGTCGGGCGTGTGTGGCTCTGGCCACAGCGGGACTGTGCGTGTGTGGGGTGTGGTGGCTCTTTGACCAGCTGGGCGGCATGTCTCAGCATTTCTCCCGTCCTACACCTCACCCCGCAGCCTTGGGGACGTGGCCAGCCTAAAGGGACATGGCCTTGGCCGCAGGGTGTGCCATCTGCCGAAAGTGCTTAGCCAGTGCCCTAGGCCGGCCCGGGCTGCCCACTGTGGCCGGCACAGAGCATCTGGGGTCCGGGCCCAGCCCGGTCCCACCGTGAGTGGCTCAGCCTCTCCACGGAGACAAACACAGTGTAGCCCGCACGCTCGGGTTCTGCCCAGAGCATGGTGACTGCAGCCGGCGTCTCACTCACTCTTCACTCTTCCTGCTGGTTGGACATTGCAGGTGTCCGGTGGGGATGAGCGGCCACCGGAAGCCAGCACCGCCCCAGTGGAGGACGAGGAGTCGCAGAGAAAGATCTTTGCTCTGACCCAGGAGAAGGAAGAGCTGCAGCAGATGCTGGAGCTTGTGAGGGCGGAGAGAGAGCAGCTCAGGAGTGACCTGCAGGAGAGCATTGAAATGGTAGGCGTGGTGCTGTGGCCTGCCGTGGCTCCGTGGTTCCATGGCCCGGTGTGGTTCCGTGGTCCGGCGTGGCTGTGTAGCTCCCTGCCCCTGTGTGGCTCTATGGCTCCGTGCCCCGGCGTGGCTCCGTGTGTCCTGCTCACTGCCCCTTGGGGTGAATGTGCTGTGTACCCCTACCCCCCAGCCTGTCACCAACTGGGGTGTCGCCTCGTCACCTGACATCCCCCACATGTGGCATTGCCGAGCTCAGAGGCACCGTCTCGTGGGCCTGGTCACACAGAGCCTGGGCCTGACCCCAGTCTCGCGAGGCGTGGCGCAGAGCAGTGGCAGGAGAACGCTTGCCTAGTCCTCTCCGGGAGCGCGTGCAGGTGTTCATTGAGCCTGCGGCTCTCGCCCCGCTGGCCCAGGTCTTACCTCTCAGCTCCCGGGGCGTTTGGACCTGGTGTCAGGAGCGTGTCGATCTTAGTCTCCACTTGATTTGTTCTCGTTCTCTGACTCCAGACCATTGAGAACCAAGAGGAGCTGAGGGAGCTCCGGGAGGAGCTGAGGAGGCAGCGGGAGGAGGCGCAGGGCCACGCCGTGGGTGGAGGAGCCCTGGCCAGCGCCCAGCAGAGGCTGCAGGAGCCAGTGAGCGCCCCCCCCCCCCCACCCGTGGCTCTTTTCAGACTGGGAAGCTTTGGGTTTGGGTCTGGGGGCTACCCCCGGCGGGGCTCAGGGGTCACTCCTGGTGGGGTTCGGGGGACCCCATGGGATGTCAGGGGTGAACCCAGACCCGCCCTGGCGTGTGTGTGGGGTCTCTGGGTGGGCGCCTGACAGGCCCAGTGAGCATCTGCAGAGCCCAGACTGATGGCAGGGATGTTTCCTGCCGTCCCTCTATCCAAGTGTCACGGGCATGGTGGCTTCCCCACGGGACCAGGGCGTCACCCGAAGGGAAACACGCCAGAGGCTCATGGCACGTTGCACTTGCTCAGAGCCAGCAGCTGGCGCGGGCCCAGGAGGAGCTGGGTGGCCGGGTGCAGAGCCTGGAGCGGGAGCCGCCACTCCCACACAGGCCCAGGCCTCGACACCCGACTTTTCCCCATGGGGGCGGGGGGCAACAGGGCCTGGGGATCCCAGCGCACAGCATGGCAGCTGGAGGCATCAGGCAGGGGGGGTCATCAGCCGCCAGCAACCTTGGTGGGGTGGGACCCCAGAAATGCTTTCGGGTCCCGCTGGACTGCAGACGCTGCCAGGACGACAGGCCCCCCATCCCTGGGTGCTCTGTGGGCCTGAGCCCCTCCCCACATGTGCTGATGGCCACATGTGTCCTAGGAATGTTCTGGAACTCCAGAGCCTCTCACAGACAGCACCCAGGAGGCCACAGGCGCCTGGGAGGTGCCGGAGGAAGCAGAACCCCAGAACGGGGCCTCCCGGAATCCAGTTGCGCAGGGGTTGGCGAGCGCAGAGTGGGATGTCCAGGCCTGTCGCCAGGAAATAGAGTCGCTCACGGAGGAACGAGATCAGCTCAGGAGCGCCAGGGCCAGGCTGGAGGCCGAGCGTGACCAACTGAAGGAGGAGCTGAGCCGGAGGGGGGTGCCGGTGGGTTTGCTGGAGACCCTGGGAGCCAAGGATGTGGATGGCGATGGGAGAGAGTGAGAGACAGAGAGTGAGTCAGAGAGACAGTGAGACAGAGACAGGGAGAGACAAAGACAGACAGAGAGATAGGGAGGGGAGTGAGACAGAGAGACAGGGAGAGACAGAAAGACAGAAACAGGGAGAGGAGATAGAGTGAGACAGAGATAGGGAGAGAGAGACAGACAGGGAGAGTCAGAAAGAGACGGGGAGAGGAGAGACAGAATACTGAGACAGAGAGAGAGACAGGGAGAGGAGAGAGACAGCAAGCGAGGAGGAAGAGGGAGGGGAGTGGCCCGACCCCGTCCATCCCCGAGAGGCCCCTGGGTGTGGCGGAGCTGGAGCGGCCACCGTGCGTCTCTGCGTCTCTCCTCAGGACCAGCCCGAGCAGCCGTCCTGCGAGTCAGAGGGTGGCGACGGCCAGGAGGCGGCAGTGGAGACTCAGCCCTGCGCAGGCGAGGACGGGGTGGTGCCGGCGCAGGCCGAGGACCCCCAGGGGCTGGGGGAGCGCCTGGGATCAGCCCTCGCCAAGGTGGGTCCCCGGCGGGCATGTGGACAGATGCCCGCAGGCCGGGGGCCGCAGCGCTGTCCCCCAGACACGGCCGGGCTGCCCCCGTGCAAGCGGAGGCCAGGGAGAAGCAGCGGCTGGGACGCCTCACCCCTGTGCCCGTCACATTTCTCCTCCGTCACAGCTCCAGGAGGCCGAGGAGCAGCTGGCAGTGGCCCGCGGTCACCTGCGGGCCCGGGAGGCCACCGAGGAGGAGCTGCGCGCGGCTTTGTGTAGCCAGGAGGCCCAGGCGGCAAGCCTGCAGCGGGAGCTGGACTCGGCCAGGGCGGACTTGGAGAGCCGGGTCAGTGTGGTGCCCGAATCCCGCCCTGCCTGGGAGTTGCGCATGGTGGGAGGAACCGTCGTGGGGTGCTATGGCGTGCACCGTATTAGGGCCGCTGCTGCGGGCTCTCGGTCACAGTGCTCCTGGGCGTGGACACAGGCAGACACAAGTGCCCGGCGTCTCGGTGCCCGAGTCCCGGCTGGGGCAGGCTCCACTCCCGCCACTGCCGGCCGCAGCCCAGGAGAGAGAGACAATGATTGGGTGTGCGCCTGCACGCATGCTGACACGCGTGCGCAGGTGTGTGTACATGAGGGGTTGTTGCATGGCTTTACTTCCGGCGTGTCTTGCCGTCATGTTCAGATCCAGGAGCTTGAAGAGGCCCGGGAGCAGTGTGGCACGGCAGCAAGGGAGGCCGAGGGGCCGGCGGCGGAGCTGCAACGGCTGAGGGAGCTGGTGGCGGCCCAGGACGCGGCCCTGCAGGGCGCAGGGCAGGAGAAGCTGCAGCTGCTCGAGCAGCTGGACGAGAGCCGGGCACAGGGGGACGCCGGGCGGCAGGAGCGGGCGGCCCTGGCAGCCGAGAGGGACCAGCTGGCCGCGAGCCTGAGGGCCGCGGAGGCCGAGGTGAGCCGGGCAGGGACACGGCGCAGGGGCTGGCGTGGGCCCTGGTGCGGGGTCGCTGGGCCTCTCACTGGCACGAGGGTCCCGCAGCTGCTGCAAGAGCGCTCGGCGGCCCTGGAGGACGCGCAGCGGGCCAGGGGGCAGCTGGAGGCCCGGGAGGCGGCCCTGGAGGCGGCCCTGGACGGTGCGGAGGCGGAGAAGGCAGCGTTGGTGCAGCAGCTGCAGGAGCATCTCAAGGAGACGGCCGCAGTGACCAAAGAGCGGGACGGGCTGAGCGCGAGCCTCCAGGAAGCCACAGTCCGTGTGAGTGTCCGTGCGACCATCTGTCCTGTCCACCTCCCGCCCTGTCGGTGCGGCCTGCTGGCCGGGGGGGCCTTCCCACTGCGCCTCCAGTCTCGTGCGTGTTATCCCGTGCTGGGCCAGCCTGGCACACACATGCCACATGCATGCAGACAGCCTGAAGCCCTGGGGGTCAGGAGTGAAGCCCACCGGGCATGCTCAGTGGGACCCCCACCCCCCAGCTGGCAACAGAGGGGCTCAGAGTTCAGTGCTCAGGCCTGGACCTGGGTCTGGGTCCCGGCTGAACATGTCCCCAGGGCGAGGCAAGTGGTGCCGTCGCCATTCAGTGTTCCCCTCTCTGCTGCCCGCCAGGCCCGGGAGAGGCAGGAGGAGCTGGACATGGCCCGTGGGCGCCTACAGGAGCAGGAGGACACTATGCAGACCCTCCAGGCGTGTGTGGCTGAGGGAGAGGCGGCGCTAGCCGGCGTGCGGGCCCAGCTGGAGACCACCCACGCCAAGCTGCACACACAGGTGCCCCAACCTGCTGGCCCACGGAGGGAGAAGCCACGGGGACGGGGGCCCTCGGCGCAGCCACTCACCAGTCAGCTCTCCCCCACACCTCCATCTCTCTCTGTCTCTCTGTCTTTCTCTCCATCACTCTCTGTCTCTCTGTCTCTTTCTCCATCTCTGCCTCTCCGTCTCCGTCTCTGTCTCTCTGTCTCTGTCTCTCCGTCCGTCTCCCTCTCTCCCCATCTGTCTCTGCGCAGGCCCTGGAGCTTCAGGAAAAGGAGCAGCGTCTGTGCGAGGTGACACGCGGCCTGGGCGAGAGCGAGGCCCGGGCGGGGCAGCTGGAGGCGGCGCGGGCACAGCTGGCCCAGCAGCTGCAGGAGGCGCGGGAGGAGGCGGGCCATGTGCGTGCCCAGAGAGACGCCCAGGAGGGGGCTGGGCGCGCCAAGCGGGAGCGGCTGGAGGAGCAGCTCAGGGCAGCCGGGGCCCAGGTGAGGGGCTGGGGGATGCCCCCCGCCCTCCATCCCCACGGGCAGAACTGGCAAAGGGGGGGTTCCTTGAAATAAGCGGGTGCGTGCACTGAGAGGTGGGTGGCACAGTGGCTGGTGCGGCTCAGGTTCTTCCCCAGCCCGGGGCCGTCAGCCAGAGCACACAAACAGGGTCCACACGGCCCAGAGCCATGGGAACTGTGGGCAGGGCGGGATGGCGCTGGGCGGTGCTGGAGCCGGCGCCCACGGGGCCAGCCAGTGCCTGTCCTCAGGAGCGCTGACCGTGATTCGGCTGCCCGCCAGGCCCGGGAACAACAGGAGGAGCTGGATGCAGCCCGAGGGCGCCTGCAAGAGGAGCAGGAGGCCGTGCAGACCCTCCGGGCGCACGTGGCCAAGGGGGAGGCGGCACTGGCCAGCGTGCGGGCCCAGCTGGAGACCACCCACGCTGAGCTGCAGGAGAAGGTACCGGGGCCGGGCTCTGGGCAGCCTGTCGGCCCCCCGCAGGCGGCTCCTGAGAGAGCAGGCGGGTCCGGCAAGGGTTCCCCCACCAGGCTCTCGGGACAGAGGCAAGGTGGGGTCGGGCAAGGGGAGTAGGGCCTCTGCCTCCCTGGGGACCCCCGCAGGAGCTTCTCCCGCCCCACCGCGGGGCATGTGGGTCTGCAGCGGAGCGGCCGGGGTTCCAGAAGCTTCCCTGCGCCCTCCCTGAGGCCCTCGCTTTCCTGCAGACGCAGGAGCTGCGGGCCCGCGAGCAGCAGCTCGGCCAGCTGAGGGGGGACCTGGCCCAGATGCAGGAGCAGCTCTCGGAGACGCAGCGGCTGCGGAGGCGGCTGGACGACCAGGCCCAGGCCCTGGACACGCTGGAGCAGCAGAACCTGAACCTGGCCCAGCAACTGCATGCTAGCCAGCAGGAGGCCCGCACCCTGGCCGCCGAGCAGGACACGCTGCGGGACAGCCTCCAGGCGGCCACCTCCAGGGTGAGGGCACCCTCTGGGGGACTCGGCCCGATGGGGGCGGGCGTGGAGCTCCACACTTGCCACAGCTCCCCTCCCAGGAGAGGCCCCCGGAGGGGACGCGCGGACCCTGCCCCCTCCCCACCCTGCACAGCTGACCAGAGCCGTCTCTCCGGGCCACTTGTTCCTCCAGCACGGCTTCATTCCATGTCCCCATCCCCCATTCCCCCCCACCCGGCAGCACCTGGAGGTCCAGCAGGAACTGGACATGGCGCACACACATCTGAAGGAGCACCAGGAAACCATCCAGAAACTCAGGGAGAGAGTCTCGGAGAAGCCGGCTAGCATCCCACGCATCCAGGAGGAGCCACAGAGAAAGGTGCGGACTGGGCCGGGGCCGTCGTAGCACAGTGGGGAGCGCGCTTGCCTTGCACAGGGCTGACCCCGGTTCGATCCCCAGCATCCCACATGGTCCCCCGAGCACCGCCAGGAGTGCAGAGCCAGGAGCTAACCCCTGAGCAGCGCCAGATGTGACCCAAAAAGCCAAAAAAAATAGTGAAGTCCGGTTCTTTTCCCCTGGGACAGTTGCTGATTGCAGACCCCCGTGTGTGGGGGGAGAGAGAGTGTGGGCAGGGAGGTGGGACGTGCAGCTACTCCCTCCCGGAGCCGTTCTGCTTGCGCTCTAACTCGCTTAATCATCTCAAGACCCAAGAGCTTTGGCACAGACAGCGTCAGCTTGAAGGGGCGTGTGGGAAGCATGCAGAGCAGAGGAGGAAGCGCGGCTGGCCCGGCCCGCGGGGCCCCGGCTGCTCCCGGCCCGGACGCCAGGCAGAGCCGAGAGGAGCCCCAGAGCTGTAGCTCGGGATGAGAGACGAGCTGAGGAGGAGGAAGGGGAGTGTGGAGGCGGGCCGAGCACACGGAGAGTGCAGTGAGCTCAGGGCCAGGGCCCACAGCTGGGGAGCAAGACAGTCCAGGAGCGGCTGTGTGAACGCGGAGCCCAGGGGCTGCTCCGCGGTGTGGGACTCATGGCCCAGTGCTCCCATGGGTCAGAACCCAGGCCTCAGGCAGATCGGGAATCTGAGCCAGCGGCTTCCAGAGCTGCTCTTCCAGGGCTGCGGGAGCTGTAGGGAATCCTGTCCATGGTGGTCAGTCTGGCGGACACAGCGGGCAGCAGGTCTGGGCTCGGGCCCCGCCTCCCACCCACCCCGGTGCAGCTGTCATTTCCCGCCTGGTGGGCATGTCACTGAGATGCTGGCAGCTGACCCGCCCGCTGCCCGTGCACGACCCCCAGGACCACAGCCAGGGGACTTCGAGGGGTGACGGGGAGTCGCCATGTGACGGGAAGCAGCCGCTGACAGAGAGCCTCCAAGAAAAGTGCTCCCGCATCAGAGTGAGTCTGGGGTTCTGGGGGAGCAGGCGGGACCCAGGGAAGGGCAGGACCGAGACCCCTGTGTCAGGGAGCTGGGCCAGGAAAGGGGTCAGGGAAGGGGTCAGCTGGTGGGGACGCTCGTGTTATCTGCAGGCCGGCCCCACCCAGAGCAGCAGGGTTGGGTCTGCTGTGGCCCCAGGGGCTGCCAGACTCTGGGAGGCCCCTGGACATGCCCTGAACTTACAGCAGCCTAGGCAGGACCCACATCATCAGCAGGTACACTCACACCGCCTGTACACGGGTCTCACACACTCACACCAGCCCATACACATGGTCACACACACACACGCCCATGCACATGGTCACACACACACAAGCACGTACACACAGTCAAATACACTCACACCGGCCCGTACACTATGGTCACACGCACTCATATGCCCGTACACACGGTCACACACACAAGCACGTACGCACAGTCACATACTCACACCAACCCGTACACAGTCACACACACAAGCACATATACACAGTCACCCCAGCCCATACATGGTCACACACACAAGCACATACGCATGATCACACACACGCCCATACAGTCTCACACACACACAAGCCCATACACACCATCACACATACACTCACACAAGCTCGTACACACTGTCACACATACACACACATATGCATGTACACAGCCACACATATACTCACATGTACACAGTTGCACATACACTCACACATGCCCATACACACCGTCACATACACCCACACAGACATGTAGAGAGTCACATGCAGATACAGTCACACCTATACTCACTCATACATGCTCAAATGTATAGTCATACATAAACAGAATCACATTCTCAAACATACACATAGCACACACGTACTCACAGCCTTACATACAAACACACACATGCTCATACATATACATGTTGAAATGTGCTGAAGCACATGCATATAGTCACATGTTCAAACACATGTAGATGTTCAAACATACCCATGCATATAGTCACATGCTCAGACACAACACGTACACACACAGTTGCTCAAACACACACACGCACATGCATAAGAGACACGTAGGCATATGAGCAGTCACCTACGCCCCACAGACACGCGCTTCATGGACACGCACTTCTGCTGGGTGCCCATGACTCGCCTATGACAGGATGTGACAGGATGCTCTGGGCCTGGGGCGGGGCCAGTCACCGTGACCGGAGCTGGTTCCGGTGTCCTCTCTCCTGAGTCCGCGGCGGTCACTCCCGGCTTGTGTGGCCGCGCCCCCTGACCCGCCCGTCCCCCAGGAGCTCCTGAGGAAGTACGCGGAGATGAGCGGCCACTACGAGTGCCTGGACAGGCTCGCCGAGGACCTGGAGAGGGACATCGGGACCCAGAAGGAGCTGTCCGCCCGCGTGAAGGCCCAGCTGCCGCTGCCCTACGCACAGGCCAAGCAGGTGGACAAGGCACTGACCGGCAGCCTGCGCGGCTCCATGGAGCTGCTGCGCATCATGAAGAAGCTGAGGGTGAGGGGCCTGCAAGGCCGGCCCTCCCCCCGTCCACCCCCACATCCAGGGGCCTGTCCATCCCCCCATCCATCCCCCGCAGGGCCCGTCCATCCCCTGTCCAGGGCGCACGGGCACTGCTGCTGACAGGAGGCACCCAGGAGGCCCGGGGTGCCCAGCCCCCATGGGAGCCATCAGGGTCTCCCGGGCCAGGGCACTGGCCTTGCTCACCGCTGACCGGGTCGAGCCCCGCCCCCACGGCCCCGTCCTGTCCCGCAGTATGTGCTCAGCCACGTCGCGAAGACCAAGGAGGAGCAGCACGAGGCAGTCAGCAGGCTGGAGGCGGCGTCCGTGGAGGAGGCCGAGAAGCAGGACGAGCTGCTGCGGCAGATCCGGCACCTGCAGCAGGACTACGAGGCGCCCGGGGGCCTGCGGGGCCCGCAGCTGGGCCGGAACATGGACCTGCACCTCGAGGTAGCACGGGGCGGGCGGGCGTGGGGGAGGGGAGGGCGGGGGGAGGTTGGGGGGGCAGGGGGCGGCTGAGGGCTGCATCCATTGCCCTCCTCTCTCCCTGCTGCGCCCACCGAAGGGCCAGTCCCGCCCTGCTGGGATCAGCGCTGTGTGGCGAGCCCCGTGGCCCCTGATCTGGGCCGCCTCTCTCGGGGTCGTGTCGGGGTCAGGGGAGCTCAGGCTGTGGAGATGGGGCGCGACCAGGGGGGTCTCCCCTTCGCGTGGGCCCCTGCGAAACCGAGCTGCCGCCGGGGCCCTGGTGACTGGGAGCCCCCTCCTGCCAGGAGCTAGCCCGTGACCTCTCAGAGAACGACTTCCAGAGCGTGCGGGCCGAGGTCGAGGGCCTGCTGCAGAACAGGAAGGAGGCGCTCGGGCTCCTGCAGGAGTGGCTCAGTGCCCGCTTCGACCCGGAGACGCTCAGGACCAGAGTCCAGGAGGCCAGCCACCGCCTCTGCGCGGGGAACAACCTGTACAACCGCAGGATCCTCGTGAGACACCCCCCACCCCCACCGCACGCTCACAGATGGGTCCCCCGGGCCAGTATCCAGCCCAGCCCCCCCCAGCCAGTGTCCAGCCCAGCCCCCCCCCCCGGGCCAGTGTCCAGCCCAGCCTCCCCAGGCCAGTGTCCAGCCCAGTCCCCCCGGGCCAGTGTCCTGTCCAGCCCAGCCCCCGACCCCCCCCAGGCCAGTGTCCAGCCCAGTCCCCCCGGGCCAGTCTCCAGCCCAGTCCCCCTGGGGCCAGCACCTGCCATCAGCCGGCCCAGAGGCAGGCCTTGCCAGCACAGCTAGGGCAGTCACCTCCAGCCGCTGACCCCTCCCGCCCCGCCCACCAAGAATCGCCCCCACCCTCAGAGAGCAGTAGTCCCCTTCTGGAACCGTCTATCAGGGTCTCGGCTTCCCCTCCACCTTCCCTACAGCGCTTTCAGGGTTCAGGGTCCCCTCGGCCCCTGCCTGCAGCATGACCTGTCTCTGCCCGGCACAGACGATCCTGAACGAGTCCACGGAGTTCGAGGAGAGGAAGGCCGCCGTCGCTGGCCAGTGGGAGCTGGACCTCAGGGCCCTGCGGGAGAGGACGGAGGCGCTGGCCCGGGACCACCAGGCCCTGCTACGCGCCCAGCCCCCAGCCCAGCCCCGGGGGCCCCCAGCCCAGCCCCAGGGGCCCCCAGCCCAGCCCAGAGGGCCGCCACCCCAGCCCGCCACGGCCCCTCCCAACTCAGAGGCAAGTGCTCGCCCTGGGCCTTAGCAGAAGGGGCCTAGAGGGTTCCAGGACAAAGTGAAAGTGATGGTCCTGACACTTTGTGAAGGTGTGTGTGAAGGAGTCTGGTGCTGTCGTGTGTGTGTGTGTGTGTTTATATGTACCTCTATGGTGACGCTGAACCGACTCTGAGGTTAGACTTTCTGTGGGAGTTTCTCTTTGTCTTGCCATCAGGAGTGGTGGGGATTTGGGCGTGACGGATGCCCGCCCACGTACTGCCTGTGCGTTGCTCTCCTTAGAGTCTAAACACCTCGGCATCAGTATCAGTACCTCGACTCACTTCCAGAGGGAGTCGCTCGCTCCCTCTCGCTCCCTCCCTAGCTTCGGGCTGTGCTCAGAGCCCTCGGAGCGAGGATGTTTCTTAGGCCCGGCTGTGCTGGGACACCCAGCGCCCACTCACTGCCCTTTCTTGGGGCTCCGTGAGCTGCTTGTCTCACTAGCACACCAAAAGGCTTCGTAGGCATCCTGATTTGATCATAATTTATCATTTTTACAAAAATAAACTGACTGAAGCATCAGGGCAGTGACAGGAGTGTCCTGGGGTTTCTGCCATAGCCCCGCCCCTGCACTCAGGTCTTGAGACCCCCGCTGGGCCTGGGGGGGGTTGGGGGCTGGGCATCCCGCACCTCAGGCAGGCCTGAGGGTCTTTCCACAGACCGTCAGCTTCAAATCGTGATGTCGGGGCCGGAGCGACAGGCCGCGGCGAGGGTCCTGGCCTCACAGGCCGACCCGGGCTCTGTCCCTGGCACCCGCGGGGTTCCCTGAGCCCCGCCGAATGTGGCCCCAAGCAGGAATAAGAGAGCCTTCCCCGTGCTCCCAACGAGCGGAGCCAACACTGCCTCTCCGTGTGATGCGGGCTCTTCCTCCCAGCGGGAGGGACGGTGGTGCTGGCCGCGTGGCCCGTCCCTCTGCCCAGCGCCCACTCGATCTCCTGCAGCAGGTGCGGGAGCGGGAGCTGGAGACGCGGTTGCGGGAGGCAAGGGAGAGCATCCGGCGGAAGGACAGCCACGCAGCCCAGGTGCAGCGGGAGCTGGAGGCCGCCCAAGGCTCCGTGGCCACACTGCGGGGCCAGGTCAGCCAACTGCAGGACGCGCTGGAGAAGGCCCAGGACACCGTCCAGGCACTGCAGGTGAGGCCAGAGCCCTCAGGCGCCCCAGCCCTGGGGCACCATCCAGAGGGGAAATGGGGTTCCAACTGCCACCTGCCCCGCTGCGTTTGGGAGGACCTGGTGTTTCACCTGGGGAGGACAGGGAGTTAGTTGTTTAGGGGGCGTTGGCTTGTTTTTCACTTGGGGGCCAGACTCAGGGCTTTCTCTTGCCAGCCCCCAAAATCACTTTTAAGAAGGGAGCTCCAGGGGCCGGAGAGATAGCACAGCGGGTAGGACGTTTGCCTGGCACGCGGCTGACCTGGGTTCAATTCCCAGCATCCCATATGGTCCCCTGAGCACCGCCAGGAGTGCAGAGCCAGGAGGAACCCCTGTGCATCGCCAGGTGTGACGCAAAAAGCAAAAAAATAAAGGGGGAGCTCCAGGGGCCGGAGAGATGGCACAGTGGATAGGGCACTTGCCCTGCATGCGGCCAACCCCAGCACCCCATATGGTTCCCTGAGCCCCACCAGGAGTGACCCTGCGCCCAGCTGGGTGTGGCCTTAAAAGGAGACTCCAGGGCGCAGGATGCTGGCCTGGATGTTGGAGTAAGGCGCCCACCCAGCACTCCTCGCCCCTGGCACTGGGAAGTGCTCCCCCAGCAGCAGTCCTTAGAGGGCGCCCCAGATGTGCTCTTGCTCCGTCTTGTCTGCGAGCTTCAAGGGCCTTTCTAGCCGCCATCGTTGTGGGTGACGAGTATCCCTGGGGAGTGGAGCAGGGCCCGGAGCTGTGGGGTCCTTGATTCCACCCCCAGCTCCACAGTGACCCCTGCCCTCACCACCCCCAGGCCCCTGAGCGCTGCTGGTGACGCCCAGAAGCAAAGGCTCGTATTCCTGTCTCAGTCACATGTGTGCGCCCCTCCCCCCGCTTCTCAGAGCTTTGGAGCAGGCATTAAACCGTCCCCCTGGGCCAGCAGCGTAACTGTCCCCGCACGGCCTATCGGACCCTCGAACCCTCCTGGGCGGGCCATGCTCAAGGCTTGACAGGTCGGCTCTTCCCATCCCCCAAACGCTGCAGGACAGAGTGGCCGCAGGGGCACAGCCCTATAAGGAGGAGATCGAGGAGCTGAAGACAAAGCTGGTGAGGAGAGACCTGGAGATGCTGACGGACAACAAGGAGCTCAAGAAGGAGTACGTCTGTCCATCCGTCTGTGTGTCCAGCCCGCTCACCCTGCAGGGGTTCCTGATGAGGGTCTTGCACTGCTTTCTGAAAACAAAGTCACTCAGTGCCACTGACTTCTTTAAGCAAAACGCCTGTGCCCAGTGGTCCCGGGTTACTGCGGCCCCGCTTGGCACTGTTGCCCGCCTGGCCGTCTTGCCGGGGCTGCTGAGAGCACTGTTCAGGCTCCCCTTTGGTGGCGGGCCAGCGGTTTTCTTTCCGTGACGGGAACATGACTCAGGACTGAGCTCGCCACGGTGTCTGGCTGTGTGGAGAGCGAGCGGCCCTGAGCCTGGAGCGGCTGCATGGCCTGCCGGGGCCCCGTGCTGCCCATCGGCACACAGACGGCGGGAGCCACAGGGAACGCCGGCCTGGGCCTGGCTCCAGGCCTCACATCCACACAGGGCGCGGCTGGGCGGGTGCCCGTGGCCCCTCCTCGCTCTCTCCCTCCGCATCCCTCCTGTGGGGTCAGACACGCAGGCGGCACCTAAGCCCCAGCCCCTGTGACCGCCACAAGCCGCCGGGGCCTTCGCCGTCCCCTGAGAGCTGAGTCGGCTGCACTGGTGCTCCTCACCGGGGCCGGGCAGGGGCCATCCCGCTGCCCATCCCCGGGGTGGCCCCCGTAACCGGCTCCCTCTGTCCACAGACTGACCTCGTCCAGGGCGGCCGTGGAGCACCAAAAGGAGCTGATCAGGGTCCTGAGGGAGAACCTGCGGAGGGCCCAGCAGGCCCACGACACGTCCAGTGAGTACCACAGGTGCCCAGGGCGGCGGGCAGCTGGCGAGGGATGGCAGCGTCTCGTGGCAGTGGAGCCGGTCAGGCACAGCCTGCCAGCAACCCTGTGGGCAGGAGTTGCCCTTTGCCCCAGCTTGGTGGCGGGGCAGGTCCTCCCAGCACTTCCGACAGTGACTTAACGACTGAGGCAGCATTATCCGCAAAGACGGGAATAGTCTGACGGATTTTAACCGTGTGCAGCAGAAGGAAGTTAGAGGCTCCTTTGGTTTGGGGGCCACACCCAGCTGTGCTCCGCGCCAACAGCCGGCTCCTGGCGGTGCTCAGGGGACCATGTGGCATGCTAGGGATCGAACCCAGGTTCTGCCACACACCAGGCCAGCACTTGGGCTGTGCTATCTCTCCGGGCCCGGCCTTATGTTCCTTAGAGCGGGCATTTTCCTAAATTGTCCTGACTGTCCTCGGGACTGAAAATGCCAAAGGGGCATGTGCTGCCTTGACCTTCTGCTGCTGTGATGTGCAGGGCCGCCCGCCATGGAGCCAGGATCAGTCATCAGGAGAGGGAGGGAGGGAGGAAGGAAGGGAGGGAGGGAGGGAGGGAGGGAGGGAGGGAGGGAGGGAGGAAGGAAGTGTCCTACAGGGGCTTGCCTTGGGGCCGGCGCTGCTGTCAGGCAGGAGCCAAGGGCCTTGACCCGACTTGTCCGGGGTCTGTGGCCAGTGGTCTCCAGGTGCTTGAGGGCCCGCGCGGCTGGGCCTGCAGGGGCGTGTTCAGTGGTGGCGCCACTGGCCTTTCCGCGTCCCCCCACAGTGGCGCCGGAGCCCACCGAGACGCAGCCCCCAAGCCAGCCCCTGACTTGTGGCGGCGGCAGCGGCATCGTGCAGAGCACCAAGGCCCTGATCCTGAGGAGCGAGTACACGCGGCTTGAGAAGGAGAACTGTCAGCTGAAGCGGCAGAATGCGCAGCTGGAGAGGTGAGGCGCGCCGGGTGGCAGGTGGCAGTCACGGACACGCCACTTGGGCCGTCCCCATGCATGCACCCTGCGCCCGACGGGCCCCATCCTGGAGGCCAGAGGGCACCTGTGTTGGATGCAGGTTCCGCACATGCCCAGACCCATGCCCTCTGCACGGGCCCCTCCTCAGGCAGCGGGCGTGCAGTGTGACTGTCAGAGGTGGAGGCCAGCCCAGGTCTCGGGAACTGTGAGGAAGTTGGGGGGTCTTGGGCGGGGAGGACTCTGCCCCGGGGATGCTCTCGATTTCCAGGACCCCCGGCGGGTACAGACTTGCCACTGTCTAGGAGCTGCTTGGCCTGGGCCAGAGTCCTCAGGGGCCAGGATGAGTGACGGCCAGAGGGAACCGCAGAGGGGCCATCTCCTGAAACCAAGACTGAGCCCCAAGTGGGCGCGCAGGCACGCACACACTCATCACTCATACTCACACATACACACACATGCGCACACACATACACACACTCCTGCTCATACACAGTCAAACACACTGGTACTCAAACACACACACACACACACACACTCTGCCCCCAAGACTCATTCTCAAACACACACACACTTGGACTCACACAGACACTCATGCACACACGTGCACACTCAACACTCACAATCTTTCACATACGTGCACACTCAACCTACACACATGCTCGCAGACGTACACACCTACGCGCATGCTTGCGAAAACACTCGTGCCCAGACACCTACGCGCACACACGCTCACACGCACTCCTGCGCGGCAACCTTGCCCTCCCAGCCCCGCCCCCTCACCCCATCCCCGTCTCCGCCCGTGTCTCCACAGCAGTAACCAGCAGCTGTCCTGCGAGGTGCGCGCCTGGAAGGAGCGGAGCCTGCGCCCCTGCCCGAAGCCCCCTGCGGACCCGCGTGCGCCCACTCCGTCGCCCACGCGCTTCCGGGAGCGCAACGCGGGGCCCCTGGGCCCGGGCTCGCCAGGACTGCTGGACGGCCGCTGCCGCTCGCTGCCCGCGCGCTACTTCGACAACTCGGGACTCGGCCTGCCAGGTGGGTGCGGGGGTCCCGGCCCGGGCACGGGGCCACTCGCGGGGGACCTGTCCGGGCTCACACCGGCCTGTTCCCGCCCTCCCGCGCAGGGCCGCCCAGCACCGAGGACGTGGACAGCGACGCGCAGCCCCGCCCCTGGCTGGCGGAGACCAGTGTGGACGTGCCGGAGTGCAAGACGCAGTAGCCGCCGCCGGTGGGCTGAACCGGACCCTGGCTTCCGCTGGCCGCCAGGGCCAACCCGCCCTTTTATTTATTTATGTGTACAGAATAAAGTTGTTGGTGTCAGCGTCAGCCTCCCACTCTCTGGGAAATGTGCAGGTGGTTACCCCAGCTGCCCCCTTCGGGTAAATCAGTGTAGACCTGTGGATCAGTATAGACGTGTAATCAGTATAGATTCATGGATCAGGATAGACGTGTAATCAGTATCGATGTGTAGACGTGTAAATCAGAATAGATGCATAATCAGAAGTGTAAACCGGTGTAGCCGTGTAGATCAGTGTAGACATGTAATCAGACGTGTAAATCAGTATAGGCATGTAGATCAGTGTAAATCAGTGTGTAGACGCGTAGTCAGATGTGTCAGTGTAGACCTGTAATCAGTATAGATGTATAGCTCAGTGTAGACATGTAGATCAGTGTAGACATGTAGATCATTATAGAGATGTGATCAGTGTAGACGTGTAGATGAGTGTAGATGTGTGCTCAGTGTAGACGTGTAGATCAGCGCACACCTGTAGGTGAATGCACACCTGTAGATCTGTATAGATGTGTAAATCAGTGTAGACGTGTAATCAGTGTCGACCCCTCATTCCGTCCCTCTGAAGAGCAGCGCCTGTGAGTCGTGGTCACGGGGCAGGCGCAGGCAGGCGCTGGGCCGGGGGTCCCAGTCCTGGGAGGGCTGCGGGGACTGCCGGGCATCTGTGCAGGCAGCGCCCCACTCCAGGCTGAACAGCCCCCGTCTCGGGCGCACTCCCAACCCTGGACACTCAGGGGCCTCCGCGTCTCCGCCAGCGGCCCCCGCCCGCGCGGAGCAGTGACCCCACGCTGGGCGCCCCCGACCCGGGTGCAGTTCCCCAGCAGGCCGGCAGGGGGCGGCAGTGGCGCGGGGCCCCGCAGCATCCCGGCGCCGCCCCCGCTGCCCGGCCCAGTGGTCACGCGTCCGGCCGCCCGCTGGCAGGAGTAGCTGGGGCGGGAGTGTCTGGGCAGGTGTCTGGGCGCGGGACTCAGCGGCGCGCACGTAAGTTCTGGCGCCTCTGGGGGCGCCCGGGGGAGGCCCCGGGGCGGGGGGACAGCGAGTGGACTCTTGGGAACCGGGGAGGTTCCCCCAGAGTGGACAGACGAGGGAGCGGCCTGACCAGCCCGTTGACCCTCCCCGCAGCCCCGCGCCCACTCCCCCGACCTCACTGTGGCGCCAGCCCCACCTGCTCCCTTGGGGACAGGCAGCCCCTGGAGGGGGGAGGCTCTGTCTCTCGCGCTGTCTCTGTCTCTGTCTCTGTCTCTCTCTCTCTCTCTCTCTCTCTCTCTCTCTCTCTCTCTCTCTCTCTCTCTCTCTCTCTCTCTCACCCTCCTCCTTTCCCTTTCTCTCTTTCCCTTTGCTGGAACACAGCCGTGACGCTGTGGCCTGCTGCAGCCACTCTGTGATTGGTGTGCGGCAGGCTCTGGGGACAGCAGGGCAAGAGAAACAGGGGCTCAGCCCCGAGAGGTAGCTCGGTGGTTTGAGACCCTGGCCAGCCCTCGGGCCGGAGACTCCGGGGATGGGGCTGAAAACATGCATGGAGAGAGCGTCTTCACCCATCTGCCTTTGCCCTGGCCTGGGGAGCCCAGGCTCCGTGGAGGGGCCCAGACAGGCACAAGTGTCCGCTGGCCAGCAAGCAGCAGCCTGGGGCCAGACGCCCTGACAGTGGTCAGCTGGTTGCCCTGAGGCAGGGTGGAGCCGTGTGGCCCCATCTGCAGCCTGCTGAGTCTCCTGCCACGGAAGGCTGGGCCCCCTCAAAGCTGCCCTTTGTCCCCCGACACCCCCATGTGCCCCTGCCGCCAACACAGAGCTGTCTGTGGACCCTGTCCATCACAGCACTGTGGCTGGAGTGGCCCAGGGCAGCAGCCAGGCAGCACCGCCCAGGGACTCTGAACCGTGGAGTCCGGCGCAGGGACAAGGCCCGTGTAGCTGCGCCTCGTGGGCTCTGGCCGTGGGGGACACCAGCTCCCAACCCTCTGTCCATCCTCAACCCCTTCCCTGGGCCATGCTCCGTGGCTTCTGCGTGCAAACCTGGACTCCCGGGCCCTGTACAGGCATTCGCAGGGGGGCTGCCTTGGCTGCGACGAGAACCGAACCCTCGCTTGCGGGGAGCGTCCGCGATGGGCCGCCTGGACGGGAAGGTGGTGGTGCTGACCGCTGCAGCCCAGGGCATCGGCCGCGCAGCTGCCCTGGTGAGAACAGCAGGACCAACCGCCGGGGGTTGGGGCTGCGCGGGGGCGCACCCACCTCTGCAGGGGGTCTGGGCTTCCGGGTCCCCAGACGCCCAGGGCCTGGGTACCAGCCACAGCAACTAGCTGGCCCCCGGCCTCTCGATCCTGCTCGCTCTACCACCCTGGCCATTAGCCCTGCCCCCACTCGCCCCGCCCCCTGGTCATTAGCCCGCCCCTTTCTCAATGGCCCCGCCCCTCTACTCATGAGCCCCGCCCCTTTGCCCATTAGCCCCGCCTCTGCCTGTTAGCCCCATCCCTCCTCCTTGTCCTGCCCCTCTGATCATTAGCTCCGCCTCAGTGGCCCCCTGGCCCCGCCCTCACTGGCCCCACCCTTCCCTTCCTGGATCTGCCCTCCTCGCCCCACGCCTTTGACCATCAGCCCCACCCCTCCCCACTCACCCCTGCCCTGTGATCATTAGCCCCGCCCTCACTGGCCCCACCCTGCCCTTACTGGCTCTGCCCCGCTTGCCCCGTCCTATGATTATTAGCCCCACCCACTATTCTCACCCCGCCCACACTGCCCTGCTCACCCCGCCCCCTGGCCATTAGACCCGCCCCTCCTTCCTCGCCCCGCCCTGCCCTTACTGGCTCTGCCCCGCTTGCCCCGCCCCTCTCTCATAAGCCCCGCCTCGCTCGCCCCGCCCTCACTGGCCCCGCCCTCACCACCCTTGAGCTGCCTCCGCCTCCACCCTCCTCTGGCCTGCAGAGACTGGTCTCCCCGGTTCCCCCTCTAAAAGGTGTTGGGGGGCTCCTGTTCAAGTTTTGGGGTCAGACACGGGCTTCAAACGCCAGGAGCCTTGACCCACGCTCTCTGAAACCAGAGCTGAGTACACCCGGCACTAGGGGCCCAGTTGGCCTGAGGCCCCGTGACCGGGCAATGTAGGCCGGGCTGTCCCCAGGGCCCGGCAGGAGCGTGGCCTCATCTCCAGCCCACAAAGGCCGGTTTGTGCTTCTGCCGAGCAGGCGTTTGCGAGGGAAGGCGCCAGGGTGATCGCCACTGACATCAATGCAGCCAAGCTGCAGGAGCTGGATGGGCACCCGGGTAAGTGGCCACAGGCGAGCTTCCAGGGCAAAGCCATGCGGGAGGCTGCCGCCAAGGTCTTGCTGACCCGGGCCTCGCCCGCAGTGCTCCAGGCTCTGGGGATGCCCCTGATAGATGCTCGGGGGTCATTCCTGGCACTGCAAGACTTGCTTCTGGCTGAGCTCAGGGGTGCGGGGCCCTCTACACACACAGCCCGTAGCCACTGACTGTCTCAAGTCAAGTCCTCACATCGCAGAGCTCCCTTTGGGCGCCAGGCCGCGGGCAGCACCTCAGACAAGCTCTGTCCACGAGACCCGAGAGGTGGCCCCTTCTGTGTCCCCTCAGGCATCCAGACCCGCGTCCTGGACGTCACGAAGAAGAAACAGATCGACCAGTTTGCCAGCGAGGTGGAGCGAGTGGACGTGCTCTTCAATGTCGCTGGGTGAGTCGGCATCACGCTGCCATGTCCAGCGTCCCGAGGTCTTCATCAAAGGGGGTGGAGGACATGGCAGAGTGTTATTGGGGGCCATGGCCTGGGCACAGCATGGCCAGGATGATGGGCAGGCACCGTGGCGGTAGCCACGGGCACCCCGGGGCCTATGCTCCTGCTCCAGGCCACCTCTCCGCCCTCGCCCCCACCCCCCGCCGGACTCTGAACCGAAACTCGGGATTTTTCTTGTCTTGACTGTGGACTTGCATCCTTTCCAGAAAGCAGGGCTGGGGGGTTGGGTGCAGGCGCCCCGCGTGGTTGGCGGGAGAGGGCAGAGAGTTCTTCATGGCTGACAGTTTGGAGGCACCCCCAGGGGAGCTCCCCTGGCCACCACCCCCTAGGGGCCCCAAGGAGTGTGGGGCAGTGCAGATCTGTGCCCAAGCCTGGCTTCCCGCCCCGAGAAGTGCAGCATCTGCACATGGGTGTTTGACCCAGGGACCGGGAGACTGGCCTCGCAGGGGGTGGGGCAGGCCGAGTCTGTGGAGTGCCATAGTGCAGGCCAGGCAGGGGCCATGCCAGGGAGGTGCAGCTGGGAACAGCCATGACGGACACGGGAGACGGAGCAGCACATGGGCACCCAGGCCACATTTGCATCACTCCCCTAACGTGAAGACCAAGGCCTCAGAGTCCCCACCATGTTCAGGACACGTGTGCCCTCCCTCACACACACACACACACACACACATGCACACACACGCACACACACACATGCACACATGCATACACACGCACGCATGCACACACACATGCGCACATACTTACACACAAATGCACACAAACGTGCCCACACACACTTGCACGCACACACACAGGCACAGCCTCTCAGCGTGTCGTAGCTGATTGTGTGTGGGGACGTGCAGAAATTCAGCCATCGGTGCCGTCTGCTTTGTGAACAACCCGCCGGAGCCTGGTAGAACAGATTCGGGGCCAGCAGGAAGACGGCCAGAGAGGTCCTTCGAGGCCCCACGGGTTCTGCTCAGAGGCCTGGAGGGTTCTGTGACCAGCGGAGAGGGAGGGCCTGGCTGTCCTGGGGAGCATGCGAAGGAAGCCAACACAGTGGGTCTCGGCGGCAGCTTCAGGGAGACAGCTCAGGGGCACTGTGTGTGTGCTGCCTCACACACGCTGCCCCCCCTTGTCCCCGTGTCCCACCAGAACTGAGCCCTGAGCAGTCAGCAGGAATCTGCGCCTGCCAGGTGTGGCCCAGACCCTGCCCATGCTGCTCCTCATTGTGGGGTCCGCAGGGCCCACTGTAACTGTCCCTCAGCTTCCCCAGGGGACCCCCATTTTCCCTGCCATTTGGATGCCCCTTGACATGCCCCGTCTTTGCCACCAGGGGGCACTGCTGCCTGGGAAATGGACCCCACCCACATCCGCAGGCTCTGGGGCCCTTCCCGGGTTTGTTGTTTCTGGCTTTGTGTTTTGCTTCATTTCAGTTGGTTTTTGGTTTGGGGGTCACACCCAGTGATGCTCAGGACTTACTCCTGGCTCTGCACTCAGGAATCACTCCTGGTGGGGCTCGCAGGGGACCATATGGGATGCCGGGGACCGAACCCGGGTTAGTGGTGTACAAGGCAAGCGCCCTTCTGGTTTTATTACACCCACCTCCTTCCTGGGGGGAGACAGGTGATCGCTGGGGCTGTTTGTACTTAAGGTCTCCAGTTCTGGTGACCCCAGTTCCTTCCCTGGCACCACACAGGCCCTCAAAACAACAGAGCACCACTGGGATGGCCCATAAGGCAGGGAGGGAGGGAAGGAGGGAGGAGGGAGGACGGAGGTAGGGAGAAAGGGAGGAAAAAAGAAACGAGAGCGGGAGAAACACGGATCTGGTCCGTCTAGGGGACAAGGGAAGGGTTGGAGCATGCGTCCGGGCCCAGGCCAGGCGCGGCCCTTTCTGATGCCCATGAGCCTCTGGGCTGAGCGCCAAACTCTCTGGCCCCGCCCCCACCCGTTGGGGTCCCACTGGGGGGAGAGGCTGACGTGGCGCCCTGCAGGTTTGTGCATCACGGCACCATCCTGGACTGTGCGGAGCAGGACTGGGACTTCTCCATGAACCTCAACGTGCGCAGCATGTACCTGATGATCAAGGCCTTCCTGCCCAAGGTGACAAGCCCAAGCCCAGGCCCACGCCCAGGGAGGGCCCGCACCCGCACCCGCGCCCAGGGCCCACACCCGTGCCCCACGCCTGCATCCCTCACCCCACGCCCCGCGCCCGGACCCCAGACCCCGGACCCCCGCCCCGGACCCGCGCCCGCGCCCACTCCCCGCCGTCTCTCACAGATGCTGGCCCAGAAAGCCGGCAACATCATCAACATGTCCTCGGTGGCATCCAGCATCAAAGGTAATGGCTAGCCCACCTCCGGGACACCGTAGAGGGGGCCCCAGGGCAGAGGCCAGGGCATAAATGAGGAAATGGCGCCCACATCCCTCCCTGCAGCTGCCTGCTGTGCCCCTGCTCGGCCCCAGATTTCCTTCTCGCCCCATTTTTCTGGTGTCTTGGCCCAGGCTGGTACCCCTGGCAAAGGAGAAAGGGACACCACCGGTGGGAGGGGCGGCGGGCGGGGCGCACCCACCCAGGCCTGCCCGCGTCCCTGCCTGCAGGCGTGGTGAACAGGTGCGTGTACAGCACCAGCAAGGCGGCGGTGATCGGGCTCACCAAGGCGGTGGCGGCCGACTTCATCCAGCAGGGCATCCGCTGCAACTGTGTGTGCCCGGGTGAGTGGCCCAGGGGTCCCACAGCCCCGCCCTGCTGCCGGCCCAGGTTCCTGACTCAGAAAGAACCTGGGGAGGTTTGGGAGGGAGGGAGGCGGGGGGCAGGGCAGGTGCGGGGCATGGGGACCTTCTCTGCGCTCTGCACCCCAGGGCCTTCGCCCACGATCAAGTTCAGCACAGCCAGCCCTGTGCCAGCTGCAGGACCCGGATGGAGGCGGGGAGAGCGCGGGCACAGGGGCCAGGACACCCCCCCCCCCACCATCGGGGTCTCCCGGGACACCACTGCTGTGGGGGGTGGGGGGAGGCGAAGTCAGGAAGGTTCTGGAGACTGGTGTGGCCCACGCTGACCCCTGGCGTGGGGCCCCCCGAGAGGGAAGCTGGTGACCCCATGGCTGGGGGTGGCGTTTCCTGGCCCTGGACCAGGAAGGTGAATGCAGGAAGAGGCGGGTCCCTGGGCCTCCGTGCCACTGAGTCAGTGGAAGGGATGACGCGGGAACTGGAAAACGGGGCCTGGTTCAGTGACCGGCCCCCTCTGACGGCTGGAACCGTGACCGTGCACTCGGGAACAAGGAACTGGTGGCCACAGGAGCCTGCCCAGGACAGCTTGGCACACATGTGTCTGGGGGGGGGGGGGGTGGGCAGCAGCCATGGTGCCACATCACATGGCCATCTGACTGGGCATCACTGTCAGCCCTGCAGGCTAAGTGTTTCCGGAATGGTCACGGGACCCTCTGAGCCTTTCCTGGGGTCCCCGCGAAAAACAGAAAAGAAAAAACTATAAAGTGTCACAGATAAGACTTTCAATACTTGGGGCTCCGAGGGACAGTGGAGGAAAGGCACTAGCATTGCAGCTGCTCTGGATTGCACCCCCCGCACCCCACAGGGTCCCCTGGTCCCGTCATGAGTGAGCCTGAGCACAGAGCCAGGAGTATCCCTGAGCACAGAGCCGGGAGTCACCCTGAGCACAGAGTCAGGAGTGATCCCAGAGTGCAGAGCCAGGAGTGAGCCCTGAGCACAGAGTCAGGAGTCAGCCCTGAGCACAGAGCCAGGAGAGATCCCTGAGCACAGAGCCAGGAGTAGCCCTGAGCACAGAGCCTGAAGAAGCCCTGAGCACAGAGCCAGGAGTCATCCTGAGCACCAAGCTGGGAGTCAGCCCTGAGCACAGATCCAGCAGAGAGCCCTTAGCACAGAGCCGGGAATAGCCTTGAGCACCCCTGGGTGTGGCCCAACACCCCTCCCTCCGCTCCTGACCACAGAGACTTTGAACATTTAAAGCCAACATGGGAAGGACAGAAGTACCCAAGCTGAGGACTCTGACAAGCAGCCGTTGTCCCGAGGTCCCCGACAGCAGCTGTGCTGGTGGTCAGCGACAAGGCCCCAAGGTCTCTGAGAGCCATCAGAGCCACGGGGAGGCGCTGTCCACTGCATCCTGGGGACCCACAGCAGTGGCCCCCTGCTTGGTTCTCAAGTGGCCAGAGAACCAGTCTGGGGGGATCCTTGGGGCTAAGACGGTCACTGCCTGCCGGGACCCCGGCACCACCTGGCTGCTGGGTGTGGCCCAGAACCACCCCCGTCCCCAAGATCGCAGCCTGTGTTTGTCTGTGAAGGTCATCGCATGTGTGGGGTCAAGTGCGGCTAAGGGACACTGGCGCTGTCCCCAGGAGCCTCTGGAAAGGGCCATGAGGCCTTCCTGGGTTTCTCAGCATGCGAGTGACCAAGCTCCGTGTCGCCCTGATTCCAGGAACGGTGGACACCCCGTCTCTGCAGGAAAGGATCCAGGCCCGGCCGGACCCCGCTGAGGTGCCCACTCGTGGAAGGGAGGGGCTGCCCGGGTCTGAGCAGGGGGGCCGGGAGTGGCTTTTGGGGGCTCTGCCTCGGCCTCACAAGCTGAGAAGTGTCCAGGAGGGCTGCACCCCATTGACATCCCAAACCCCGGGGAGCTGGGCACTCGAGAGGCAGGGGACGGCCACGCCGAATGGCCAGCCCAAGAGTGACCTCAGGGCCTCTGAAGCATCACTTTTCATCCCCCCATGATGGAGCAGTAGCACAGCGGGTAGGGCATTTGCCTTGCATGCGGCCGACATGGCCGACCCGAGTTCGATTCCTCCGCCCCTCTCGGAGAGCCCGGCAAGCTACTGAGAGAATCTCGCCTGCACAGCAAAGCCTGGCAAGCAACCCATGACATATTCGAGATGCCAAACACAGTAACAAGTGTCACAATGGAGACGTTACTGGGCCCGCTCGAGCAAATCGATGAACAACGGGAGGACAGTGACAGTGGCAGTGACATGCCCCACTCTCAGAGAAGCTCAACATGGGGTCATGTCACTGTATCTCCCACGAAATGCTCCTTGGATATCCTCCTCCTGGCATGTGCCATGGGGTCATGCTGCAGACATCTGTTGGATGTCTGGGGGTGACTGAGGGTCAGCATGCCAGCATGCTCATGGTCACTGTGGCCTCCAGGACCCCTCCGGCATTGCCTCTGGCTGCGGGAGGGGAGCGGCCCCAGTGCCAATGCCTCACGCTCTCATCACAGGCGCTGAGTGATTTCCTAAAGAGGCAGAAGACCGGACGGTTCGCCACTGCGGAGGAAGTGGCACTGCTGTGTGTGTACCTGGCCTCCGACGAGGTGCGGCATTCCACACTCTGTCCTCTTTGAGTTTCGAGTCTGGGGTCGGAGGGATAGCACAGAGGGCTGGGCACACCCATAGGGTCCCCTGAGCTGCACTAGGAGAGATCCCAGAGCGTGGAGCCAGACTCAGCCCTGAGTGGGGTGTAGACCCAACCCTTTCCCCCCCCAACACGCACACGTGCGCACGCACACGCGCGCACACACACACACACAAAACCCAAAAGTAAAGTCTGCGGCTCAAAACTCAGCAGGAACTATGCTGAAGTGAAAGGCTCTTTCCCCCGTACTTAGCTCTCTGGTGCAAAGCCACTAGACTTGCGGATCTTCTGATTCTGACCCTGAGTACGTGGCCAGTTCTGCTTAGAATGGAGCCGGTCTCACCAGCCGAGCACCCGCGTGCCAGCAGCCCCCCGAAGTACAGAACACACCTCCCTAGGTGCTCCCTGGGGACCCACCCAGCTCCCAGCTAACCGCATGTGCCCCTCTCTGCTTCTCCCAGTCTGCCTACGTCACGGGGAGCCCTGTGGTCATCGACGGGGGCTGGAGCCTGTGAGCCCAGGTCCCTCTGTCCTCCCGCCCACCCTGACTTGCCGGCAGGAGCCACATTCCGCTCAGCTGTCCAGCACTTTGTAGACGAGACCAACGGTGACCCTCACGGTGGCCGCCGGGCACGTGCCTGCGTGTGAGACCCTATTCCCATCCCCGGCGCTGCCAGGGAACTATCACAGCCCCAAGAATCATCTTAAGAATAACCCTTGATTTGTAAGAACAGTCACTGCAGAAAGAATCGTTTTTAAAATAAACCCTGATTTGTCAGCGTATGCAACTAAAATGTAAGCATAGAAATAACGGAAATGTTTTACTCTGTTTAGGGGTCGGGGGTCCTCTCAGGTGGTGGTGAGGGGACCTGGGGTCAAGCCGGCTGCTCAGTGAGGCCTGAGGACGAGGTGCAGGGAGTGGTCCTCGAGGCCTAAGGGAGGGACAGGGCCACAGCTGGCGGGGCTGGGGACCTCCAGGGCTGTACCCACAACACTCAGGGGACCCTGTCTCAGCCCATGAGCACGGACTCCTATTCTGTCTCCGTGGCCCAGAAAAAAAGGGAAGGTTTTTAAAGGAGAAGAGATTAAATCTACTTTGTCCATGTCCCAGTGCTCGGATATTTCTGCACAGTTCAGCCCTGGTCCATGTGTGACCCCAACTGAAATGCCTACACTTTCCTATAGGAACACCAAGGCAGGAAGGGATTTGGCTTCAGAACCTGCATAATAGGAGTTTCGATTCAAAGTCACATTTATTTTCTACTGTTTCGTCTTGTGGGCACAGCTGGTAGTGCTCAGGAAAGCACAGCATTGGATCGAGGCCCCGGTCAAACCCGGCACCTGGCCCACTGTCCACTCCACAGAACAGGGGTCTCATCTGTTACGTAATAGAAAACCCATCCTCAGGTTTGCATACTAGACAGAGGTATTCATTTATGATGATCTCTTTCTTAGTCTTAAAAAAAATCATTATTAAAATATGCCTCATTCCCCTGACCCTGAAAGAGCCCTGAATACGTCATTGGGCTACACTAGCACGCGACAGGGACAAATGGAGTCTTTACTAGCGCGCCCGCTCGAACAAGTCAATGATCAATGGGATGACAAGGGACAACTGATTAAAATGTGCAATATTTGTCATGGGTCTGAGACATAGTGAAATAGCTGGCCTTCTTCCTCATTAGTTTGAGGAACATCTTTAGACTAAGTGTAGATTGGTTTTCCCACCTCCAGGGTAGCCATCCAAGAGGGCATGAAATTCAGAAATCCTCTCTGGATAAATAAGCGTAAGTGAAGTATATAATGGGAAACACTGTCACTGTCACTGTCCTCCCGTTGTTCATCGATTTGCTCGGGCGGGCCCAGTAACATTGTGAGACTTGTGACTGTGTTTGGCATATGGAATACGTCACAGGGAGCTTGTCAGGCTTTGCCGTGAGGGCGAGATACCCTTGGTAGCTTGTTGGGCTCTCCGAGAGGGACAGAAGAATCGAACTCCGGTTGGTCATGTTGGCTATGTGCAAGGCAAACGCCCTGCCTCTGTGCACACTAGAAGAAAATCGGGTTTTCTAGGGAAAGGCTAAATATATGGGTTTGCTAACTCAGCTGTGCCCTCAGGTCCCAGGCCTAGCAGCAGCGAGTTTTCTCCCTCCACGGCAGGCCCAGGGTGGCCCTGCAGGGAGGTCACTTGCCTTGCACGCAGCTTCCTGGGTTACTGCCCGAGCCCCGATTGCCCACTTTGGAAAACATTCTTTTTGCCTTTTCTGTCCACCTGAATTAACACCAGGCAGGCCCTGGACTGGACAGTGTTTGGGCCCCGTGTGATGTAGCGGGGTCAGGTGGAGGCGGTGAAGTGAGTTAAGGCTGAGACGGAGGCCGGCTGGGGAGGAGGCCAGGAGCCAGGCAGGACCAGGCAGGGCGGGACAGAAGCAGGGCTCAGGCGCTCTCTGACCAGGCTTGCGGCTCGCCTGATCCCCAATGCCACATAGGGGCTCCTGGGATAAGTCCTGAGCTTGGTGGCCCCCCAACAAAGCAACAGTCCCCAGAGCCATCGGCCGCAGGGCAGGCCAGCTCTAGGGGCAGGGGCACTCCAGAGCAAGCCCGGGCGCCCAGCGAGCGCGCGTGGACGAGGCTTGGGAGGATGCCCGGATTTCTTTTGCGGTGTTGAAATCAAGCTGCGACTCCCGGTCAGCTGCGGAGAGGCCCGGAAGCCCGGCCGGCAAGCGCCAGACCCCCGACAGCCCCCACCCGCCAAGTGCACGGGCGCGCTCCAGAGCAAGTCCAGGCGTCCCGCGTCAGTCCGTTTGGCGCGTCCGTGTAGGTCCCAGGCAGGAGGGAGGGAACCCCAGGGCGCTGGCCGGCGGCCGGGCTGGAGCCCGGGCACAGGGCGGGGCGGAGGAGCCGCGCGCAGGGATCAGGGTGGACGTGGGCCAGCACGAGCGGTCTCAGCAGGAGGCGCCCCGCGGGCGTGAGCGGGTAAGGCGGGAACGTGGGCGCGGGCAGGCGGGGCACGGTCGGGCAGGGCCTCCCCCGCGGCCCCCAGCGACGGGTGGTTCTGTGGGTGCCCCTGCCAGAGGCGGGGAGGACCCTGGACACGGACCCCACGGCAGTAGGCGCATGGGGTGCGCCTGTAGGAGCCGGGGTAGCACCTGTGGGAGCCGTGTGCGCGCCTATGGGAACCGGGGTACACGCCTGTTAAGAGCAGGGGTGTGCCTGTAAGAGCCGGGGTGCGTGCCTATTGGAACCGGGGTGCGCGCCTGTGGGAGCCGGGGTGTGCCTAAAGGAACCGGGGTGCTCGCCTGTCGAAACTGGGAAACTCCTGTCGGAGCCGCGATTAGTGCCTGTAGGAGCCAGGGTGCGTCTGTGAGCGGCGTGTGCAGCCGTGAGCACCATCGGCTCATGTCCTTGCAGTGTCCCTGGTTTCTCTACCTTTTCATACACCCCCGACACGCCTGTGACCCCAGTGATGAAACCTGCCCCAAGGATGCTGCCTTCCCCGGACAGACCATAGTACAGCGGGGAGGGCACTTGCCTTGTACTCCACTGTCCTGGGTTCCATCCCTGGCATCCCATATGGTCACCCCAAACTTGCAAAGAGTCAGCACAGAGCACAGAGCCAGGAGTGATCTCTGAGTGCACAGCCAGATCTCTGAGCACAGAATCAAGAGTCAGCCTGAGCACAGAGCCAGGAATGATCCCAAACACAAAAGCAGGAGTAAGCCCTGAGCACAGAGCCGGGAGTGAGACCTGAGCACGGAGCCAGGAGTGAGCCCTGAGCACAGAGCCAGTAATGATCCATGAGCACGGAACCAGGAGTAAGTCCTGAGCACAGAACCGGGAGTCAGCCCTGAGCATAGAACCGGGAGTGAGCCCTGAGAACAGAGCCGGGAGTGAGCCCAAGCACAGAGCCGGGAGTCAGCCCTGAGCACAGAGTCAAGAGTGGCCCCTCTTTGCTCCCTGACACCCAAGGGTGGCCATGCATCAGTTCATCCTCAAGTGTCCACCGAGTGCCCAGGTGTCAGTGGCCATCTCCTGCCTGAGCAGTGCTGAGAGACGCCTGCCCCCCAAAGGAAAGATGTCCCTGAGCCCAGAGGAACCCAGTTCAGCCCCACCCAGCACTGGCAGGGTGGTAACCCCCGGCAGGGCTCTGGGGGAGCCAAGAAGTCTGAAAAGTGTCAGGGACAGCGGTCAGGGAGGGACATGCAGGGCTCCCTCGTGCTGGGGACAAAGTCCACGTGTCTATCTCCCCTCCTGCTTGCCTGGCCGTCAGTCATTCACTCGGTGATTGGTTTTCCAGTTTTCCCCTGATAATGAGGTTTGGCCGGTACCTGCCGCACCCCAGCCACCCTGAGTCATTTCCATCCATGACTGTCACAGAGAGGGAAGGGCCAACTGCGTGGGCTGAGACCTGGGGTCAGCGCAGAACCGGCAGAGGCCAGCAGAAGCCCTGTGAGACCATCCCTCCATGGAGCGCGGGAGCTGGAGGGGGCTTCACTAGCCATTGCAGGAGCGTCTCGGCCATCCGGTGCACGCACACAGAGACCCCCCCAGCTCCCTGGCCCATCTCGGCAAGGACACGCCATTAGGGTGGGCCTGCCCGGACCCGAGAGAACAGGCCTCACCGCCTTCATCGGAACCCTGCTGAGGTTCAGCGTGTTGGACTTGAGTGTCTGCTCCCTGAGAACCCTTGATTTCCTCTGCACTGTTGCAGAAAGCCCCGAACATCAGGCTAATGAAGCAGCCAGGAGAGCAGGAGTCTGGCCTCACACGTCTCTTCCGTTTGTTAGAGCTCAGGGTGAGGCTGAGGATCTGGGGTTTAAAGAGCATTTGAGGGACTGCAGCAATGCAGCAGTGAGACCTTGCCTGGCACCAGTCAACCTGGGTTTGCCCCCAAGCATCCCACGTGGTCCTCCAAGCTCTGCGGAGTGACCCCTGAGTGCAGAGCCAAGAGTGAGCCCTGAGCATCACTGGGTTTGGCCCAACCCCCTCCCCTCACCCCCTCCACCCCCGCCTCATCCCTAGGGAAAAAAAAAAAAAAAGGAATATTTGACAATTACGTCTATGGAAGGTTCTAGGCAGCTTCCCAGCTCCCCGCATTTTCTTTGTAACCCACAGGAATAAAAAATAAATCAAAGGTGACCTGAAATCAGGGTGGGTGGATTAAGTTGCCTAAAATCAAAGGAAATGACGTGAAGTCTAAACTCTAAGGTTAAAGGTCAGGCTTTGTACAAGGACCTAATCTCATCCCCGGCACTGCTTGGCCCTGACCTCTGCCTGGTGACCCCGATAGCACTGGGACCAAGGATTGAACCATCCGGCCTGATGGGTTGAATATGGCTAGCAATAACCCCTTCCTTGGTCGGGGCCGGAGCAATAGTACAGCGGGGAGGGCGTTTGCCTTGCACGCGGCCAATCCAGGTTTGACCCCCGGCATCCCAAACAGTCCCCTGAGCACCTTTTAGGAATGATTCCTGAGTGCAGAGCCAAGAGTAACCCCTGAGCACTGCTGGTTGTGACCCAAAAAGCAAATGTAAGTAAATAAATAAAAATAACTCTTTGGTCCCTGACTGGTATGTGCGACCATTCCCAAAAACTTATAAAAAATAATCTTACTTCCCACATTTCTATTTGGTCAGACCTTGCAGCTTGGCTGGTAGTGACAGTCAAGAAGTTATTTGGAGGGGCTGGAGCGATAGCACAGCGGGTAGCGCGTTTGCCTTGCACGTGGCCAACCCGGGTTCGATTCCCAGCATCCTATATGGTCCCCCGAGCACTGCCAGGAGTAATTCCTGAGTGCATGAGCCAGGAGTAACCCCTGTGCATCGCCGGGTGTGACCCAAAGAGAAAAAAAAAAAAGAAAAAGAAGTTATGGCTTCTTGAGGCGGGTTCTCACACTAGTGTGGAAGCGGTTGTGGGAGGTTGTTTCTGAGGATTCCCTCAGACTGATTCTGCGATGCAGAAAACATCCACTTTCTGGGGATTTGCTCCATGTTTTTCCCTCCCAGCCACACACTCTGCGGCTCAGGTGACTGAGAGCTCCTCCATCTACTTGGGGCTAGACCTTTGATGATGTTCTCGGATGCAGTGAGAAAATAAGTCCCACAGCAAGAGACTTCCACTTAATAGCACTGCGGGGAAACAAAACTCTTTACTTAAATTAATTTGCTGCATAACAAATACCAATTTTATTGGGTGTTAAATTTTTTATTCTCTTTAAAGAAAGGTTCTAAATTATGCTATAGGCTTCATAACTTATAAAACAGAAAATATCTCCACCTCACTTTTTTTTCTTTCCATTTTCGTGAAGATGCAAAATCACCCTCCCACACCCATCTCCTGCTACCCAGAGCACCTCCTGGATATCAAGATCCTTTTTTTTATTATTATTATTTTGCTTTTTGGGTCACACCCAGCGATGCACAGAGGTTACTCCTGGCTCTGCACTCAGGAATGACTCCTGGTGGTGTTCCGGGGACCACATGGGATGCCGGGGTTCAAACCCAGATTGGCTGCATGCAAGGCAAATGCCCCTTCCACTGTGCTATCGCTCTGGCCCTAAGATTCTTACAGAGTGTTCCTTTGGGTCTCCAGTGATCCAAACTCACCTGTAGCTCCCCAAAAGAGAAAAACAAAAAAAATACCATTTTAATCGCGTACATAGATACAATCATATCTATTTCTTGGCTATTTAAAATTAGTCTTCAGTAGTACTGCTACTACTGTAGTGTCCCCGCATCCTTGGTTTGATGTCTGCCAGCGCTAACATGGGTGAAAGTCGGGATCTAACAAGATGGTCTTGAGACAGGGCAGGGAGGTGGGGTCCGAGAAGGCAGGGACTGGAACTAGAGTGATAGCACAGCAGGTAGGGCATTTTCCTTGCATGTGGCCGACCCTGGTTCAATTCCCAGCATCCCATATGGTTTCCTGAGCACCGCCAGGGGTAATTCCTGAGTGCAGACCCAGGAGTAACCCCTGTGCTTTGCCGGGTGTGACCCAAAAGCAAAAAAGAAAAAAAGGAACAACCGAGAAGGCTGGTCTCTCAGACTGGCGCCCTGGCCATGCTTACCAGAGAAGCGAAACGGTGACCACCAACCCCATGAACTATCATAAACACGCGCCTACACCATAGTACATTTTCTTAAAAGAACAGGGAAATGAGCGAATCTCGAGGCTGGAAAGTGTGGCCAGTCCCCTGAGCCATGCCTCGCTGCTTCCCTGGAGAAGGAAGCTCCGGGTTCCCTGACAAGGAGGGTCCCCATGAGTTCCCGGGGGCGTGACTCATGCTCGTGTCAACACTGGAAAATTCCCTCGTGCTGTCCACCTCATCAAACTGGCCATTAGAGAGAACAGCTTATCAGCCATGTGGCTTGGAAGATTTAAATTATAACCAAAAGTAGGGTGGAAAAGAAATTATGTAAAATTAGGATGGCCAATGGGAGGATCTGCCTGTTTCCAAGAGAGGCCAAAAGAGAAGAATGGAGAGCCAGAGACGTGTCCAGCAGGTAGGGCTGCCTGGGCGCAACCCCCACCTCCAAATACGTCCCCCGAGCCAGGAGACTCCCGAGCACAGAGCCAGGGGTGATCCCAGAGCACAGCTGGGGGGGACGGGGCAGGAAGGAGCTAAGAATGGGGCTGCTGTAATCAAGGGAAAGATTGGCAGTTGAAGCTGAAACTAAGAAGACAGCGTCCAGGATCCCAGGGCGTTGGGAGCAAGGATGCTCAGCGCTGTGTGTTGTCTCTCTCCTCAGAGCAGGCTTCCTCCTCGGCCCTCAATCCTCCGGTTTGGAATCGCAAGTCATGGGAGATGAGACAAGAACCTCAGGACATGAGGAGCTGGCGCCGGGCGCTGGGCCAGACCCTGCGGTCTGTGGCCGCAGAGAGATGCAGGTGGGTCCCCGGAGAAGACGCTCTCGCCCCTGTGGGAGGCGGACTCTCATTTCCCGCAGGCTCTCGCTGTCTCCGCCCGAGCTCAGGCGGTGCCTGCAGGTTTGTCCAGGAGGGACTCTGTTTGCACTGGGCTCTTGTTTGTTTCATTTGGGGGCCACACCCAGCGGTGCTCAGGGCTGACTCCTGCCCTCGTGCTCAGGGAGCACTCTTGGCGGGCTCAGGGGACCTTCTGGGGTGCCAGGGATGGAAGCCAGATCAACCACGTGCAAGAGTCTAGCCTGCCTTTCTCCAGCCCTGTGTGGCCCGTTCTTCGCCACAGAGGGTCCTGTCACCTCTCTCTGATCACTGGCGCTTCAGCCCTTCCTGCTGTGGCGGCTCAACCCTGTGTTGCCAAGTGGAACCGACTTCCTGTGGCGAGCAGGCCCCTGGGAAAGGAACAGTGACTCCGAGCAGAGCCTCCCCGCAGTTAGCCGATAGGCGGCTGATAACACTTTCCCTCTGCACCGCTGGCCTTGGAAACTCACTGTGACAGCAGTCAGAACCTGTGACGGTGGTTGGCTTTAAGGGTTCTTTTCCACTGTTTTCATGCAGGAGGAGACAGTTCTGGACCTCCCGGGTGCGTGTGGAAACGACTGCGTGGAAGGACGCACCCTGCTCGGGAGCGACGAGAAGCCTCAGGAGGCATCCGCAGCATCCGGCCGTTGGCAGACCCTGAGGGCAGCGCTGGCCTGGCCCCCGCATGGCCTGCTGAGCAGACTGGTGACCAATGGTGCGTACGGGGTGGCCCAGAGAGTCAGGGCTGCCGTGGGTATGAAAGGAGTCCAGAACAATCTGACTGAAAGGACAAAAGACACTTAACTTGTCTCATAAAAACTCCCAGCGGGAGAGCGCAGCTGGGCGTGAATGGAGACTGGGTTCCATCTCCGGCACACAAAAGGCAAAAAGAGAAACACTAAAACCGCCCCTCCCGGTGGGCTGCTCACAGAGGCCAGGAGCTCTGCCTCCTGCGCAGGCTGTGATCGAGGGACCCCGACCCACAGAGGCGGTTGGGACAGAGCCTCCCCTGGCCCAGGACAGGGTAAGCACACCCTGGAGGGAGTGAGTGAGGGGTCACCTGTGGGCGTAGAGCACTCAGCAGCGTGTGGCTCATGTGGGCACAGCCCTGTTGCACCGGCCTGGCTGCCCTGAGGTTCCCAGAGGGTCCACCCCCAGGAGCAAGGCGACCACTCGCAGATGCTCCCAAGATGCTCCCACGGATGCTCCGCCACCCTGACACATTGCATCACCCAGTGGCGGGCGAAGGGGGAGCAGGAGCAGCTGAGGGGACAGGTCAGGGCTCGCTTGCCGGGAAAGGCGGTCCCCACGCTCTGTCCCTCACCCCTTCCCCACGCACTGTTCGCTCACCCCTTTCCTGCTGCCCTGTTCCCCTCACCCCTTCCCTGCCACCCTGTTCCCTCACCCCTTCCCTGCAACCTGTTCCTCACCCCTTCCCCGATGCCCTGTTCCCCTCACCCCTTCCCCACACCCAGTTCCTTCACCTCTTCCCCACCCTGTTCCCTCACCCCTTCCCCATGCCCTGTTCTCTGACGATGCTTCCTCTGACACCCTGTGCCCTGACACCTGTTCTCTGGCATGCTCTGACGCTGTGTTCCCCTACCCCAGCTCCCGACTCTCGCAGGAAGGGCAGAATCAGAGAACTCCCCCGTGCGAAGAAGACACCCCCACTCAGCTCAGTGTTTGAGATGTATGTGGTGTTGGGTTCATGGAGAGGCTGCCCTGTGCCAGCCACACTGTGGGTGTCTTCCGCTGGACAGGTGCACACCTGCTTCTTGTTTTAACCTCAACGGGGGATGTATTTGTGGTAGAATCACTGAGGAAGATAAGGCCATAGTTTTAACTGTAAACAGCGGTGGGTGGGACAGAAGCCAGGGTCCAGGCAATGTGTGCTGAGCTTCATGAGACGAGGGCCATCCCAGGCCCATGTCCCTGCTGCGAGGTCACGGTCACTGCCCTTCTCACACCCGGGGCGCCTACGGGCACGTGCTGACGGACCTGCTTTCTGTTTCAGCGGCCATGGCTCTGCTGCTGTGGGCTGTGGTTTGGTCCATCACGGACCGTGAGTGTCTCCCGGGCGGAAACCTGTTCGGGATCCTGATGGTTCTCTATGGCGCCGTTGCTGGGGGGCAGCTTCTGCGGCTCGTGCGCTTGCCCACGCTGCCCCCGCTGCCTGCTCTGCTGGGTAAGTGCTGGACCCTCTCCTGTCTCCTTTGCAGGGAATCGGAGCTTTCGAAATGCTCGTGAGGCCGTCAAGACAGTACAGCAGGGAGGGCACCTGTCTGCATGCGGTCGACCCTGTTTCAATCCCTGGCACCCCTAAAGTTCCCCAGCATCCCCAGATGTGATCCTTGAGCACAGGGCCAGGAGTAAGCCTGGAGCTCAGCTGCGTATGGCCACAAAACAAGCAAAAAATTGTCTATTTCCTTATTTCCCAAACAATTCCTTTTCTCCATAATAATTTTCTTTGAGATCACTTGAGAGTTGATGACTAAGACTGGCGCCGAGTGACAGCTCTCACCCGGTGCCTGCAGTTTCTGTAGTGCCAGCAGAGAAGAACGAGTTCTCCTCAAGGAAGGGGTTCTGGTGCTTCACTGAGAGCTACAAAAAGGGGCTTCCTTGTGGCCTGGGGTCAGGTTTCCCCTCCAGACTAAAGCCTGTGTGCACCTGCGCACATCTGCATAAACCTGCACATGACTGCATACGTCTGTGCACACCTGCATACACATGTGCAAACCTGCACACACCTGCACATGACTGCATCCACCTGCGTACACCTGAGCACACCTGCACACACTTGCACATAACTGCACACATCAGTGCACACCTGCATACACCTGCACACACCTGCACATGGGTGCATACGTCTGTGCACACTCACGTACACCTGCGCACACCTGCATACACCTGTGCACACCTGCACACACCTACGCACACCTGCACACACTTGTATATGCTTGCTTACACCAGTGCACACCTCCATACACTGCATATACCTGCTCACACTGGGCCCTCCGCAGGTTGCCAGACTTCCTGGGTGCCACAGGGCCTGAGGGGGCCGCATAGGCAGTTTGCTGGGGGAGTATTTGGTGTGTGAACCATCTCCCTCCAGCTCTGCCTGGAAAGAAAAACTTTGAAAGTCTGTTAATGGTCCGAAAATGACAGCCCTTCCAACCTGTGAGATCCAGCAGTGACGATGAAAGAGCAAAGGCAGAGAGGCACAGGCCCAGTGGGAAGGTGTCCAGATGTTCTCTGTCAAGCAGACAGACCCCGGTACCGTGGCAGGTGTCTTCCCATCTGTGTTCCCTGCGAGAAAGTTCTTGCACACACGTGCAAAAGTTTATGCTGAATTAAGTGTGGAATCTCTCTTCCTCTCCTATGTCTCTGTCTCTCTCTCTCCCTCCCTCTCTCCCTTTCTCTCTCTCACACACATACATACATACAGTGTGTGTGTGTGTGTGAGAGAGAGAGAGAGAGAGAGAGAAAGAAATGGGTGTAGAATCTCACACACACTGAAATAGGTATTGTTGGATCTCTCTCCTTCTCTCCCTCCCTCCCTTCCTCCCTCTCTCTCTTTCTCTCTCTCACACACATACATACACACACACACATACACACGCATGCACACACAGAAACAGGTGTGGGGTCTCCCTAGAATGGCCTGGGAAAGCCCAGGGGGAGGGTGGCAGCGAGTGGAGCAGACAGATGCCCTTGACGCTCAGAACCCGACCCTTTTCCCAGCACGTCCAGCCTGGCTCAGCCTGTCTGGGACAAGTACCAGAGAATCATGTCGTGCAGCCCTTGAGGACCGGGTGTCAGCACACCTGCGGGAGCCTCGGCCATCCTCTGCCCTCTCAGCCCGAGGCCCCAGTGCCCTCAGAGGAGCTGTGGCTCTGGGAAGGGAGATTGGCTGCTCTGAGAGGCCTGCAGTGCCATCCCTCTGTGCTCGCAGGAACAGTCGTCTCTGCCGGGGCCTCTTGCCTCCTGCTGCTGTGCCCAACACGCTGTCCCATCTCACTGCCCGGCCTGGGCGTGATGGAGGGGAGGCTGCTCGGCCCGCTCCCCCGGGGAGCCTGTGGCGTTGTCCCTGCAACCCCGGCTGGCTTAGGCCCCCGACGCTCCGCGGGCGACTGTCAGCCTCTGCCCAGCAGGCGAGGGCCGGCGTGAGGAGCAGGAGCGCAGGAGCTGACGCTCTCGCACGCTGCAGGCTTGGCACTGGGCTCACTGCCGCCGTCCCTGCCTGGCCAGCACCAGGACACCCAGTGCCTTCCTCCCACCTGAGCCCCTCTGGGGTCCTCTCCAAATAGCACATCGAAGTTGACGTCATTTCCCTTCAGGCCTGATGCCTAGTGGCCGCAGCTCCCGGAGAGGCCGCTGGCCAGCCTCAGTTCCCTGTGGGACACTCACTGCCCGCCCCCCCCCCCCAGGCATGCTGCTGGCTGGCTTCCTGCTCAGGAACATCCCTGTGCTGAGTGACAACATCCGCGTGGTGCCCAGGTGGTCCTCGGCACTCCGAAGCGTGGCCCTGGCCGTCATCCTGGTCCGCGCGGGCCTCGGGCTGGACTCCAAGGTAGGAGCCCCTGCCAGCGTCCGGTCGACTCCCAGGCAGTGAATGGATGTGCTTCTGGCCCGCCGTGGGGACAAGGCGAAGGTGTGTCTCTCGGGCCAGTGGAGCAGAGCGCCCCCCCTTTCCAGAAGAGGGTGGACAGGGCAGCTCTTCGGGGAGGCGGGGTGCACAGGTGCCTCATTCGAGCAGCAGGTGCCAAGGGCAGTGGGAGGGGTCTGCGGAGCTTCACGGCTCCCTGGGCGCCCACCAGACACAGCTCTGCATCCAGGCCACCGGCACTGTGGCAGGGGTAGCGGCAGGTGACAGAGCCCCGGGCCCAGTGGCTGCGAGCCTGCAGTGAGTGGACAGTGTTTGCCTCACGGAGACTTCTCCCGCCCCAGGTCCCAGAATTCCCCGAGACTGGCCACCAATCGCCGCCAGGCACCTGTGTGCCGGTGACATCCGAGTATAGGCGCTGTCTACCCCGCAATGAGCCAGGACTTTTCCAGCTTTTCCCACTGCCGTGCCCCCCACCACCACCGCCTGGTGTCTTTCCTGTGCCCCTGCCCTCCAGGTCGACCCCTGGTGTCATGCGGGCCCCTGTGTATGATTCCCCGTCTTTGCCCCTTGGAGTACCTGAGGGTGTACTGAGGACTCGATGGGCCTGGCTGAGACTCACTGTGAGCGGGACACCCAGGCCCTGGGTGCAGGGAAAGTTATCCCCGATGCCTTGTCTCAGTGTCCCCTGGAATGAGGGAGATGTCTGTGGGGGTGAAGGGCAGTGCAGCAGGCAAGGCACCTTGCACACAGCCAGCCCCAAGTCAATTTCCAACACTACGCAGGATCCCACAAGCACCACTAGGAGTAAGTCCTGAGCACAGAGTCAGGAGTCAGCTCTGAGCGCGGAATCAGGAGTCAGCCCTGAGTGCTGAATCAGGAGTTCATCCTGATTACCGCTGAGTGCGGCCCCCAAACAAACAAACGAACAAACCCAGCTTCATCACCTGGAGTGTCTGTCTCACCACAGATGTCCCCGAACAGCCCCCGGGCATCTGTCGTTCCAGGCCCTGCGGAAGCTGAAGGGCGTCTGCGTGAGACTGTCCATGGGCCCCTGCCTGGTGGAGGCCTGCACGTCCGCGCTGCTCGCCCACTTCCTGCTGGCTCTGCCGTGGCCATGGGCCTTCCTGCTGGGGTAAGCCGGCTCCGGAACCTCTCTCAGACCACGAGAGGGCCCAGCCTCCTGCCCTAGCACCCACACGACACAATCTCTGTTTGGATTGTCCTGTAGAACGTGGGTCTGCCCTTGGAGACCTGGACAGGCCTGGCCATCGTTGTGTGCGTGTGCGTGTGTGTGTGTGTGTGTGTGTGTGTGTGTGTGTGTGTGTGTGTGTGCAGGTGAGCTATCTTTCAAACCACGGAGGCTGAAGCAGCCCGAGTGTCTCCGCACCTGGACTATCTGTTCTTCAAAGGCAGGTACTGGGTGGAGAGCGTGTACAGCAACAAAGGCCTGGCCTTGCACACAGCAGACCTGGGCATCATCCCTGACATCCCCTATGTTCCCACAAGCCCCACCTGGAGTGATCGCTGAGCACCTGAGGTTCTAGCCCCACCCGAAATCCTAGAGAAAATCAGTCTGAGGCAGCCTTGGGGTTTCTGAGCCACACTGGGAGGTGGGATGGAGCATGATGGCATGAGCAGACTTGCCTCCTGCCTGGCCTCTGGTAGAAGAGGACATCCTCACTCATTACAGTGGCAGTGGCTCTGTGGGAGGGTACTGGGCACCAAGGTACTGGCTCACATGGCCCCTCAGCTTTGTCCTAGGTGCCGTGTCTCCAGCCGTCGTGGTTCCCTCCATGCTCCTCTTGCAGGGAGAGGGCTATGGGGTCGAAAAAGGTGTCCCCACCTTGCTCATGGCTGCCGGCAGCTTTGACGACATCCTGGCCATCACGGGCTTCAACACCTGCCTGGGCATGGCCTTTTCCACAGGTAAGTTGCTCTAGTGGCAGTGCTCCCCTCTGTGCTCTCGAGCATCTCAGGACATGGCATGTTTCCGGGTGCCAGCTCTGCATTAGCCAGCGTATCTGACACTCCCCACTCACGCCCCGCTGTGGCCGACCAGCTGTGCTTAGGGCTTCCTGCTGGCTCTGCAGTGTCCTGGGTCTCGGGGGCCCCGGGCAGCTGCGTGCAGGAGCAGAGCTTCGGGAAGGGGGAGTGGGTGTGCGTGGGGCACTTGGGGCTGGACCTGAGCCCCCGCCAGCTTCCTCACGAGCACAGAAGAGGGCAGGCAGGCTGCGTGGTGGCAGCATTCAGTTTAGGGGGCAGGGTCCCCGAGACTCCCCCTGACGCATCTGCTCAGGCCCCTGGGGCCAGGGATGGTCCGTGCCGCGGGGCAGTGCTCGGGCGGCACCGGGCAGGGGGCCAGTGTCCAGGCCTGACTGCAGCATTCCTGTGTGCACTGCAGGCTCCACGATGCTCAGCGTGCTCCGAGGCGCCCTGGAGATAGTCCTCGGCCTGGCAATTGGCTCCCTCTTGGGGCTTTTCATCCAGTACTTCCCAAGCCGCGACCAGGTAAGGAAAGTGTTCTGTGCGGCCCTGGCGTCTGTGAAATGCTCTCCATGTTGCAAATCATGTGGGGCCGTTCCCTTGGGGTCAGGAGCGGCCAAGGCACCTCAGCCACTTCCACTCGAGACCTCTCCACCGGGGTCTTGGGGCAGCATTGGGTCACACCTACTTGAGGGCTCACTCCTGACTGTGCTCAGGGCTCACTTCCGGCTCTGTGCTCAGGGTTTGCTCCTGGCTCTGTGCTCAGGGATCACTCCTGGCTCTGTGCTCAGGGATCTCTCCTGTCGGGGTTCATATGTGCACCAGCACCTGAGCCAAGGTCGACGAAACCCCTGCTCCATCTCTGCAGGCCCTGGCCAGGAATTTTTATGTGGGTATTTAAATAGGTATAAAGATCAAGCATTGACTGATAATAAATAATAAGTAACAGCAGGGAAGACTCTTGCTTTGCATGTGGTCGACCCGGGTTGGTCTCTGGCACCATCTGGTCCCCTAAGCCCTGCCACGACTGATCCCTGAGCACAGAGCCAGGAGTAATCTGAGCCCTACTGGGTGTAGCCCAAAAACCAAAAGTAAGAAAGAAAAATAAAAATAAATCATGCGTTTTATTTTAAAACAAGTGTTTGCGACCCACTCACATTTAGTTATACAGCCCCATGAAACTTTATAAAATGGCCCTTTTTATTTTTTCAATATAGTAAAGTTGTTCATTGATTTGCTCGAGCGGGCCCAGTAACGTTGTGAGACTTGGGCTAGAGCGATAGCACAGTCGTAGGGCGTTTGCCTTGCACACGGCCAGCCCGGCCAAGCCGGGTTTGATTTCCCCGCCCCTCTTGGAGATCCTGGCAAGCTACCAAGAGTATCTCGCCCGCACGGCAAAGCCTGGCAAGCTACCTGTGACATGTTCGATATGCCAAACACAGTAACAACAAGTCTCAAAATGGAAACGTTATTGGGCCCGCTCGAGCAAATCGATGAACAATGGGAGGACAGTGCAGTGCAGTAAAGTAGTGTATTATTTAGAAGTATGAGAGAGATAAAGAAAGGAAAGAAGGCCACAAAGTGAAAGAAAGGAATCGCACATCCCAAGCTGGAATGTGGGCGATTCCAAGGTGGAATCCCTAACGGCCTCATTCTAAAACTGTTCCTTGGGGCTCGGGCACAGGTACTTGCCTTGTATGCAGCCGAGCCCGGTCTGAATGCCACCACCATCTGTGGTCCCTGAGGACCCGGGCTCACTCCTGACCACAGATCCAGGGGGGCCCAAATCCCACCCCTGAAACAAATAGAACTTGTTCCCTGGAAAGGCCTTGGGAGACATTTTGGTTGTGGGGCTCCTGCTTTTCATGTGACTCTGCATTCCGCACCACGACCCACTGAGATCCAGAGGTAGGTCTCAGCATCATGAGGGTACGTCCAGCAGAGTGCAGGTGTCGGGGTGCGGGTGCAACAGTTATGGGCATACGTGCCAGCTCACGGCATGGGGACTCTGGTGCGCGGGGCTCAGGACTGGGCTGGGCTGTTGAAGAGATAGAGGCAGAGGGTAGGTGTGAGTCTGGTGTCAGTGTGGGTGTGAAGTGTAAGTGTCTGTCTAGGTGTTCAGTATAGGTGAATGTGTGGGATGTAGGTCTAGGTGTAAGGTGTGAGACATAGGCGGCTTAGGTGTCAGGTGTAGACTTAGATGTCACGTGTCAGTGTGCCTGTGGGTTTAGGTGTCAGCTATGGGTTTAGGTGAAAGGTGCGGGTTTAGGTGTGGGTATACACGTGGGTAAGGTATGGGTGTGCATGTACGCATAGGTAAGATGTAGGTGTGAGTGTACGCGCAGGTAGGGTGTAGGTGTGCGTGTCCGTGTAGGTGAGATGTAGGTGCGCGTGTACGCATAGGTGAGGTGTAGGTGTCCGTGTATGTGTAGATAAGGTACAGGCATGCGTGTATGTGTAGATAAGGTGTGGGTGTGCGTGTACACATAGGTAAGGCGTGGGTGTGCGTGTATGCGTATGTGAGGTGTAGGTGTGCATGCACGCATCGGTAGGGGTGCAGGGATCTCTGTCCCATGCCTGACCCTCTGACCCTGCCCCATCCCCCAGGGCCGACTGGCATGGAAGCGTGCCTCCCTAGCGCTGGGACTGTCTGTGTTCGCCATATTCAGCAGCGTGCGTTTCGGCTTTCCCGGCTCCGGGGGCCTCTGCACCCTCGTCCTGGCTTTCCTTGCAGGCAGAGGGTGGGCCGACCAAAAGGTGAGTTTCTTTCTTTTCTTTTCTTATTTCCTTTTTTTTCTTTCCAGTTAGCCAGGTTCGATTCCTCCACCCCTCTCAGAGAGCCCAGCAAGCTACCGAGAGTATCTCGCCCGCACAGCAAAGCCTGGCAGGCTACCCGTGATGTATTCGATATGCCAAACACAGTAACAAGAAGTCTCAAAATGGAGATGTTACTGGGCCCGCTCGAGCAAATCGATGAACAATGGAAGGACAGTGCTTTTCTCTGATGCTCAGGGTTTACTCCTGGCTTTGCGCTTAGGAATTACTCCTGGTGGTACTGGGGGATCTTCTGCGGTGCCGGGGATCAACCTAAGATGACTGTGTGCAAGGCAAGCCCCCTACCTGCTGTAAAAAATGCCTGACGCAAGCCGTGCCCTGGCTAGCTCTGGGGTCCTGCGTGAGGGAACCGCTGCCCGGGGCTGTGTGGGGAGCTCCCCACGCTGTGTTCCCCTGAGCCTAGGGCCCTCCTGCTGGTCAGCTGCTGCTTCACACACTTGCCCAACTACACACTGAAGCCAGTGCTGCATTGGTGTCGCTCGCCACCTGGTGGCCTCATTCATGTTCCAGTCAGATGGAACCAAACGAAACATTTCCTGTGAACTGTGCATCCCAGTGACCGTGTCTGTTGGTGCTGTCTGTGTGCCAGGGCGTGCCAGGGTTGATGTGCGGCTTCTGGCGACCTCTCCTGCTATAGGTGGCTCTCTCGAAATCTCTTGTTTGTTTGTTTGTTTCCTTTTTGGGTCACACCAGCAATGCTCAGGGGTTACTCCTGGCTCTGCACTCAGGAATTACTCCTGGCGGTGCTTGGAGGACCATATGGGATGCTGGGAATTGAACCCGGGTCAGCCGCGTGCAAGGCAAATGCCCTACCGGCTGTGCTATTGCTCCAGCTCCACGAAAGCTCTTTCTGTGCCTCTTCTGTGCTCCCAGGGCAGGAACAGATATGGTTCCCCACGCTCTCCTCAACACACTCATAGAAGTCGCAAGGGGCCCCACTCCGTTTCCTGCAGAGCCGCCAGGAAGGAGCATTTGTCGCCATGGGCAGGAATGAGTAACTGACACAGCCTGGTACCAAACAGGAATTTCACTTTAGCGCATGGGCTGCTATAAGCGTGTCGAGTTGCACTGGCCCGAACCACTGGTGGCTGACTCACACTGGAGCGTGGTGGAATCAGCACAAATGGTATCGTGCGAGGCAGCGTGTTAGATTGATTTAGTTTTTCAGGGTTTTCTTTTTCTAATGTTTTTGGCTGCACCCAGCAGTGCTCACCCCCAGACCCTGCACTCGGGAATCACTGCTGGTGGTGCTCGGGGACCATGTGGGATGCAGAGGTCTTACCAAGTTTCACACAAGGCAAGTGTCCACCTACTGTACTATCTCTCCAGCCCTAAAGAGTCATTTTAATAAAATTAAAGAAAAATCAACTTGAAGGCCCATCAATTAAAAAAATGATTGAATAAACTTTGGTATTTTCTTACTGCAGATTATCACTCAGTGAAAATGAAGTGCATGCATCCAGATACACACTAATATTATAAGATCTATATATTGTGTTGTTGAATGAAAATGAGAAGTCTTAAACTGTGCGGTATGGCAAGTTATTAGCTACACACACACATACACACACACACACACACACACACACACACACACACACACCCCAAGACCATTTTTTCAGAAATGGAAGGTCTCCAAAGGCTACATCATAATCATCTTTTTGTTTTTTTGTTTGGGGCCACACTTGGTGGTACTTATAACTTACTCCTGGCTATTTGCTCAGGAATCACTCCTGGGAGCTTGGGAGATCATATGGAGTGCCAGGAATCAAATCTTGGTCAACTGCATGCAAGGCTAGTGCCTTACCTGCTGTACTATATTCAGGCTCTGATAATAAGTATGATTAGTATTCAGTTTTGCTAACCCATATTGAAGCACCTCTTAACTGTGATATCTTTATTCAGTTTTTGTTTTCCTAGTCTAAACAAACTTTTGTTATAGATGCCTTAGAGTAAAGTCAATGTCAAGTCAATCCAAATTAGTAAAAGTAATTGAAGTGTGTGTATTTCTTTGTCTTTTAGGCAGAGGTTGAGAAAATCATAGGAGTTGCCTGGGAAGTCTTTCAACCACTTCTCTTTGGACTGATCGGATCGGAAGTCTCCATTGCATCTCTCAGACCAGAAACTGTAGGTAAGTTTACTGTAAATGGCAAAGTTTACTTTTGCTAAAATCAGCTCTTTTCATGTGCAGCTGAAATGTCCTTAGTAGGTAAATATTCAAAGGTTTCTCATCGTCGTGGTTTTAGACACAGTTAACTGTGAACGAAGTCTTTTAGAGAAGTTGGTTGGGAAATAATTGCTGATCTAAGGGAAGATTTCACACCTTTAATATCCCTTGTAGGAGCCGGGAGTGGGGCTCAGTACACAGCACTTGCCTTGCCTGCGTGAGGCCAGCAAATGTACTGACATATGTACGTGCAGGTGTGTGTCATGTGTGTGTCATCCCTGGTAAGGTGATAGTGCTGAGTACCTTTCTTGCGTCTAGCAGTCTTCAGCAGACACAGTCCCAGTCCTTTATTCGAAAGTCAGATGGACGCTTAACCCTTGCAGCACAAGGTTCTAAAGGCCTGTTTCCTGCCTCTTTCCTTCCCCAGCCTCCTTCCAGCCTCACATCCTCCGTGTCACCCTGCTCAATGGGTTGGCCCCTTTCTCTGCCATGCCCCCACTCACATAATTTTCACCTGTGGCCCCTTGACTCTTCTGAGGTCTCCTGCGGGTCACATGGACTCCAGGTGAGAAGCGCTCTACAGAACACAATGAAACCTGGCCTGGTCAATCAGCATGACGGAGACATGGTGGGCTGCCCTCAAATCCCTACTGGTCAGTGCCCAGCCAACTCTGCTTCGGTTGACTTATTGTCCTCATACTGGCTAAGAAATACCTTGAATATTACCTCTAATCTTATGTTTGATAAAGAATGATCACCCATTTAGATGAAATGACTCATTTCTCTGTCCTGTGACCAGTGTGTTTCTGTTGAACTTTTCTGATAATACACAAATTGGCTGTTAATGTTTCCCTCTCTAACTCTGGAGTTCACCGAGTGCCAGTACCTGGCTCAGACCTTGCCATGCATCATTATAACTCAACAAACTTCTCGTTAGAGAAAATATAAAAGTACACAAAAAAATAACATCTCAATCTAGTCTTAGAGAAAACTATAAAAGCATAAGAAAAATAACACCCCAGTCTCACTTATGGAAAACTCAGCTCTTTAATTTTTGGTTTTAACCTAAGGAAAAAACTTTCTTTTTCTTTTCGGGTCACACCTGGCGATGCACAGCGGTTACTCCTGGCTCTGCACTCAGGAATTACTCCTGGCGGTGCTCGGGGGACCATATGGGATGCTGGGAATCGAACCTGGGTCGGCCGCGTGCAAGGCAAGCGCCCTACCTGCTGTGCTATCGCTCCAGCCCCAGGAAAAAAACTTTTAAACAGATTATCTGGCTGATTTTTAACACTGTTTGGATCAATTCTGCCTAAGCATTTTGCCTTCATAGTCTCCTTAGTGTTTTTGGATTTTTCCTGTTGGGAGAACTTTGGCTCAATAGCCTTGAGATGCTGTTTTCTCCATCAGTATCATACCAAGTCCCAAGCTGAACATTTCTTGCAGGCTTTTGTGTTGCCATCCTGAGCAGTGCTGCACTGGTCCGGATTCTGACGACATTCCTGATGGTGTGCTTTGCTGGTTTCAACCTGAAAGAAAAAATCTTCATTTCTTTTGCCTGGCTTCCCAAGGCCACCGTGCAGGTAAGCCAGGGGGAGCAGCCTCCCATCCTGACTCCGCTTTCTCCATGATAACTTGGAGTGTTTAAATAAAAAGACTGACTTGCAATTGGCAAAGATAAGTCATTGAAGTTTGACTTGAGAAAAGAGTGTCTTCTAATTTATGCTTCAAAGGAATCAGATAGGACAGGGGTTATGATGCTGACCCCAATTCAATCCCGAACAGTGAATAGGGTTCCCTGAACACCCCCAGGAGTAACTCCTGCGCACACCAGGTGTGTCCCTAAGGCAAAAACAAACTAAAAATCACTCTGGAATCTTTGGTAGGGACATTTTGTTTTTAAACATTAAGATTTGAAAGAAGGGGCTGGAGCGATAGCACAGCGGGTAGGGCTTTTGCCTTGCACGCGGCCGACCCAGGTTCAAAACCCAGCATCCCATATGGTCCCCTGAGCACCGCCAGGAGTAATTCCTGAGTACAGAGCCAGGAACGGCCCCTGTGCAACAAAAGGTGTAACCCAAAAAGCAAAAAAAAAAAAAAAAAAAAAAATATATATATATATATATATATAGAAAGAAAGCACCTTTCTGCCATCAGAACAAATTTTAAAGTAGAAGAAATTATCTACAGTGTGTCGAATGATATATCCTCTAACCAAGTACTGTGCCACATTTTCCTTTTCCTCCTTTTGCTACTGCACAAGACCTACTAGCATTTTTTCAAAACCTGTTTTTTTCCCCATGACCTGCTCTGAGAAATATATCTTAAGTCATGACCCAGGGTACACGCTCCCCAGACGCGGCCCTGCGTGCCGCACACACACGGGAGGACAGTGTCCCGTATCCAGGACAAAGCCCGCGCTTCTCCCTCCAGCAGCACAGCTGTGGGCATCCAGAGCGCAGCACGTGCCGTCCACCCCGGGGTGCAGTGCAGGGAGGAGTAAGGAGCACATGCCCCTTCCTTTATGGGGGGGCCGTTATCAGTCTCTGCTTCTCACTTCTGCAAGAACTTCTGTACCCAGAGTCCTCTCATTGCAGAGAAGGCCAGGGGCAGCTCTGTGTGGGCCATAGGCTGTGCAGCTCAGCTCTGATACTTGGGGGCAGGGCAGCAGGTATCTCTGTCTGCTGTCCCAGGGCTGGTGCTGCTGTCCGCAGAATAGCCAGGCTCATTGGTGTGCTATTTCCCATCAGCATTGAAAGAATAAGAAAATGAATCATGGAACTGGAGTGATAGCACAGCAGGTAGGGTGTTTGCCTTGCACGCGGCCGAGTTCAATTCCCAGCATCCCATATGGTCCCCCAGTACCACCAGGACTGATTCCTGAGTACAGAGCCAGGAGTAACCCCTGTGCATCACCGGGTGTGACCCAGAAAGAAAATAAATAAAAGAAGGGAAAAAAAGAAAATGAATCATTCCAAAGGCCTTTCTAGAAGACACATTATTTGTAGCGGGGAGGGGGGTGTCCCAGGAGATGCTCAGTGACACTGAACACTCCCCGGCGCATCCAGATGATGCTTGCCTGGCTGTATGGACCTGGCAGCGATGTTCAGACACGCCCACGACAAGGCCATCAGGGTCTCTCCTGTAGTGCAGGGATGCTGCGTGGGGCTCTGCACAGCTCCTGCCCTTCAGCCCGTTTCCCCCCAGCCACAGCCCTCGTAAAACCTCTCCCACCAACTCCTGAGGCAACAAATGACCCCAATCCCCAAGAAGATCCGCCTGGGGTTTTGCAGGTTCCATTTACTGCTAGAGCTCACGAGGCTGAGCAGGCAGTTCCGCAATCCATCTTCTTAGGGTTTTTGCTATTTGAAAATTCAGGCTTCCCGTAAGCACGGTGATGTTTTTCGTTCTTGTTCTTGCTAAATTATCATCCAAGAGAAAGGGGGGAGGGCCGTGGCCTTGACTAGGGGAGGTCAGTGCAACAGGGGCCCCTCGCTGCCATCAGTGGCAAGTCTGTGTCTTCTGGGGGCTTGAAGCTATTTGCCAGGTGCCTTTGTGACTCTGCTTATGGGGGTTCCTCTGGTTTGTCTTCCTTGCCCCTTGCAAAGTTCGTGGGGGGCACTGATCCCCGAAAGCTATGGCACCATGTCTGGAAGATGAACAAGGTCTCTGAGGGGCACACACAGCACCAAGATGTGGGCCCCGCTGTCGTCCCTGGTACTTCTGACCCACTCTTGCCCTTCCCTAGGCGGCCATCGGCTCCGTGGCACTGGATACTGCCAGGGCCCATGGACAGGCACAGCTAGAGGAGTACGGGATGGACGTGCTGACCGCCGCATTCCTGGCCATTCTCCTCACCGCGCCCCTTGGAAGCCTCCTCATCGGCCTGCTCGGCCCCCGATTCCTCCAGAAAGCGAAACTTCAAGAAGATGAACAGCGCCCAGGAGGGGCTTCTCCACACACGTAGAAGCGCAGGGTGCAGGGTCCAAGCTGGGAAGCTGCTCACAGAGGCTGCCTGGCTGGGGGGATGGTTTGGGGTGGGGGGTGGGGGGTGAGTGAAATGGGGCATGTTCAAGCTACAGCTGCACAGGACTCAGAAGCTGCTGCTCCATCGTGCACTCTCGCGTCTCATTCCAAACCCTTCTCCCACTGCCACTGCCACTGCCCTCCCGTTGTTCATCGATTTGCTCGAGCGGGCCCAGTAACGTCTCCATTGGAGACTTTGTTGTTACTGTGTTTGGCATATCCAATACGTCATGGGGAGCTTCTCCCACGGCAGACAAACAGGCTTCGCTGTGCTCTAACAAATGTTTGTCCGAACCCAGCCAATCTGCCAGCCCCAGCCGGCTACTGGGTCTCTTGTCTGGCTCTGTGAATTGGCACGGACTGCTGCCACTGGAAGTGCGGGTACTTCCTATGTCCACTGCTGCCTGCCCAGTGCCTGTGCAAGGGCCAGAAGCCCCCTGGCAGTCCCCTGGCCGGTTCTTCAGTGGCTGAGCAGGCGAGACCTTTGGCTCTCATTGTCACATCTCTTCCCGCTCCCCAGATATCCTCAGAGTGCTCTGAGCACAAGGACGAGGAGTCCCCTCCAGGAGCACAAGTGTGTGTCCAGTCCCAGGAAGGGAGGGGAGTCTCTTCCATAGCCTTTCTTTTTTTAAATAGGAGTCCCTGCCAACCCAGAGCAGAGACTCGCATCTGCACCCGCTAGCCCCACTGTGTGCTCCCAGTCAGCGAGGGGAGTGGGGGCAGTGGGCCCCACCTTCTCTTGCCTTGTGCTGGGGTCCCCATTTCCAGAAGCACAGGGGGCCAGGCTTGGGGCAGAGGGTCTCCGTGGGGGGGTGCCTGCAGAGAGGGTTCCCGGGAGAGGCCGGTGGTCCCGGTCCGATGTCTCCCCCTGGCTCAGCAGACCTGCCAGCCCTTGGGTGCCACTCAGTTCCTGTTTCCCAGCTCACCCCTGCCTCGTTGTCCTATATGCGTGTTTCTTTGATTATCTTTGTGGGTTTTGCTTGGGGGCCACAGGCAGTGGTGGTCAGGGTTTGGGGGGCCGCGTGTGGTGCTGGGACTGGGGCCTGAGCCGCCTCGTGCGAGCGCGAGCGCGCTAAGCCCCCTCCTAGGCTGCGGGTCCAGGCGGGGCTTTCTCTGACCCCGTGGCTTGGGGTCTTACTGGGGGGACCGTGAGGACCGGGAATCCGGGACTTCTGGGCCACCGTCCCGCAGAGCGGCTGTTGACGCGGGGTCCCGTGAAGGGTTCGGACAGCAGAGCCCGGGGTGACCGCTGACCGCACCGGGCCGGCCGGACAGCCCGCGTCGGCCCGTGCCCGAGAGGCCGCGCCGGGCTGACGGGGGGGGGGGGGTCCAGAGCGGGTGACGGGGCTGACCCGGGGGTTGCCCAGCGTGGCCGAGCTGACCGGGGGCTGACCCCGGGGCCTCCTCCAGGCGCGGCCCCCCGCGGCGCATGGGCCAACGCGGCCGTGACGCCAACGCCGCGCCGGCGTCACAGCCGCGCTCCGTCACCGACAGCAGCGGAAAGGGCCGGCCCGACCCAGGAAGCGCACGGGCGGCGCGAGGAGGCCCACTTCCGGGCCCGCCCCGCGAAGACCACTTCCGGGCCCGCCCCGCGAGGCCCACTTCCGGCCCCCGCCCCGCGCCTCGGCTCAGCCCTGCCCCGCCCAGCGCCCTCAGCCCCGCCCCGCCCAGCGCCTCGGCCCCGCCCCCGCGGTGAGCCCTGGCGGCGTTTCCGGGCGCGCGCGGTCTTGGCGGTTGTCTTGGCAGGCAGTGAGGATGCTGACGAGGTCGTAGGTACGGTCAGTCTTTCTCCGCCCTCCGCCTGCCCTCGGCCTTCAGAGGCCCGCCGCCGGCGCGGGAGCGCTCCCCTGCGGCCAGGGAGCCCCCCCCCCCTCCTCGCTCCCCTGCAGCCAGGAAGCTTCCCCCCTCCCCGCCCCCCTGCAGCCACGTAGCCTACCCCCTCCCCACGCCCCACGCCCCACTCCCCTGCAGCCAAAAAGCCTGCCCCCTCCCCACTCCCCTACAGCCCTAGGAGCCTCCCCCCTCCTCACTCCCATGCAGCAGGGAGCCTCCCTCCTCCCCACTCCCCTGCAGCCAGGAAGCCTTCTCCCTCCCCCCCTCCCTACTCCCCTGCAACCCTGGGAGCCTCCCCCTCCTCACTTGGATGCTGCAAGGAGCCTCTCCCCTCCCCTGCGGCCAGGGAGCCCCCCCCCCTCCTCGCTCCCCTGCAGCCAGGAAGCTTCCCTCCTCCCCGCCCCCCTGCAGCCACGTAGCCTACCCCCTCCCCACGCCCCACTCCCCTGCAGCCAAAAAGCCTGCCCCCTCTCCCCTCCCCTGCAGCCAGGGAGCCTCCCCTCTCCCCACTCCCCTGCAGCCAGGAAGCCTTCTCCCTCCCCCCCCCCACTCCCCTGCAGCCCTGGGAGCCTCCCCCTCCTCACTTGGATGCAGCAAGGAGCCTCTCCCCTCCCCTGCAGCCAGTGAGCCTCCCCCTCCTCCCTCCCCAGCAGCCAGTGAGCCTCCCCCTCTCCACTCCCCTGCCCAGACCCTCCCCAGCTCATCAATCTGCTGGCCATCTGTAAGTGTTTTGCACCTGTGGGCTGCTGGTCTGCAGGCAGGCCCTACCCTAGCGCAGACCTCCCAGGTCCTGTAGAGTGCCACCCGCAAGTGTGGAATTGCCACCAAGCCCCATGCAGGGGCAGGGGGAGGGCTCTGCCAAGTGCACTTGCTTTGCTGCACGTTGGAGGCCTGGTTCCGTCCTGGGCACATATCCACCCCACACCGCGTGTCCCCAGCCCCTCACCTCCAAAAAGTAAAATAAAGACCAACACAAACAACACTGCTGTCGCCAAATGAGAGGCTGAGAGAAGCCGAGCTTAGTGGGTGGGCTGCGTACCTCGCAGCTCCAAGGAGGCTGGGGGCCCGCCTCGGAATGAGCCTGCGGGTTCAAGCGTGATGAAAGGGCAGGTGAGGCAGCCTGGGGTCCTCCCAGGATGCCCCATGAGCAGAAACAGCGTTGCTCCAGGAAGGGGTGGGCGTTGCCGCAGTGAGACAGACTTGGGGCCATGTGGGGTCAGCCCAAGAGCCCGCCCAGGAGAGGAAGTGTTGGGAGTGGCGTTCTGTGCTGTAGGGTGGGATTTTGAGTCTGGAGTTTGTGGACAGAATGGAGGGTCATGTGTGTGTGGGCCGGTGGGCAGGGAGGGAACAGGAGGGAGGGGCCCGTCTGCTTTGTGTGGGAATTATCTTCACCATTGCCGGGCTGCAGGGCCTGCCAGGTCACGCCAACTAGGAACCTTCTGGATGGGAAGGAGGCCAAGTCTGAGCACGGCAGAGGGGTGGGTGCTGTGCTCTGAGTGGGGTGTGCAGGGATGGAGGCAGAGCTCGAGCCCTGACTCTGGAGTCGCTTTAACCTGAGGCATCACCAGGAGCAGCTGAGGGGAAGGGTGCTAGCGTAGAGGGACTTGGCCTAGCCCACCCGGCTGCTGCCACAAATTGCCATGGGCAGCAGACAGGGCGGAGGGGCCTAGGGCCAAGGGGAGTGAGGGGAGGGAGAGGCCGGGGGTGTGGGCTGAGAGCAGCCTCAAGTGCAGGGCCTGGCCCTCACCTTCCGTGGCCCCGGGGCCTGAACTTCCAGGGACACCCCCCCCCATCCCTGGAGCTCACGCTTGTCACCTGTCCTCTCGCTCTGCCTGGGTGCACCCTTTCCTCTCCACCAGACCTGGCTCAGGGCTGCCTCCTCGAGGCCCCAGGAAGTGTGGTGATGTTTGGTCATGACGAAGAGTGGGGACACCCATGCTAGCGAAGGGAACCGACCCCTTAGGGACTAGCAATTGGAGGCAGCTGGCAGTGCCAGCTGTGTCTCCAATCCCGTGACCTGGATGAGCTGGTCAGGCGCCTGCTACTGTCCGGGGTTGGTCCCAGGGGACTCAGACAGGTGTAGTTGGCGGGGCTGAATCCCAGGAAGCCTCTCCTTCCCCCCCCCCCCCCAAGGAGCACATGTGTCCCCTGGGCATGGCTCCCACTCTGGGAGCACAGCCTGGTGAGACAGGGGTCTCTGGGCGGAGAGGGAAGCCACAGCTGCGGGGGCTGTGGTACTGGGCACAGCTTCTGCCATAGGGATGCCTTAGTGTCAGGGACGTGTCTGGCCAGTGTGGCGACAGGCATCTAAGTGCTGCCAGTGCATTGTGTCCAGTCCCCCCCACACCGGCTGCCCGGCTGTGCTGCCCACTCAGGTCCCTCTGCAGATAGAGACTACCGGGCTGGGGGTCAGTGGAAGCGTTTCTGGCTGCTCGGGAGAGAAGCTCCAGGTCTCCGTCTTCGTCCCCGGGAGCGCTGAAGGGATGTTGGGCACCTGCTGGGATGGACTTTCTCTGGAGGTGCTTTGGGGGGCAGGGCGGACAGCGAGTTTCCTCGTGCCCCTGGGAGGCCTGTGGAGACCTCTGAGAAGGAAAAGAGTGAAATGGTTGGGCTGGTCTGTCAGGAGGCCTTCCTAGCCCGCACTCAACAGATTGTCGGTCATTCTTGGAGTCATGGTAGTAAAATAGACAAGGCACGAATTGGAAGGAGGGGCTGGAGCAATAGCACAGTGGGGAGGGCGTTGCTTGGCACGCAGCTGACCCGGATTCAATCCCCAGCATCCCATATGGTCTCCTGAGCACTGCCAGGAGTGATCCCCGGGTGCAGAGCCAGGAGTCAGCCCTGAGCATCACCAGGTATGACCCAAAAAGGTAGAGAGAAAGAGAACAGAAGAGGGTTCAGGGCAGAAGCCTGCAGAACCCCAGTAGTCAGGAGAGAGGCCAGGGGCCTGTCAGGCAGACAGAGGCTGGGAGTGAACTGGAGGAGTTTGGAGTGGTTTGGAGTGAGCCCTGAGCACCGAGGCAGGAGCAGTCCCTCACACAGCATGCGTGACCCCAGAATCAGCAGCAACAGAGGTCTGGGGGCCAGCGGGGAAGGTGCAGGCCTTCCACAATGCCAGCTGGGGTCTAAGCCACAGACCCCGGGCACAGCCAGGACACCCGCACACCATTCAAATGTGCCCATGGTGGACAAAATAAAATTGTGTCGACCAAATAGCCACCTGGTCGTTCTTTACATTAAAAAGAAATGACTGAGCTACTTTGGATGCCCTGTATCAAAGATACTCCCTCTGTGGGTCTAGCTCTCAGGGCCCTGGGCTCAGAAAGACTTGGACTGTAGTTGTTTTTACTTGATAATCTGTGATGTCAGTTCCCAAAGTAACCTCTGGGAGATGGGGTAGTTGCAGAGATTCTAGAGTAAGGCATACCGCCGAGCACGGATGTGGATTATCATGCTTTGTCTAACATTTTAAGATGTCACGCTAAATCCCCCCAACGTGGAGGCATGGAGGGCCCGTGGCGGCGGGAAAAAACCGTACAGGCTCCGCTGAAGTCTTGGATGACGTGGCTGAGTGCTGGGTTGCTAAGGGGTGTTGAACCCGCTAAGGCCGCAGAGGACCCACGCAGGATGGCTGCTCCGTGAATGTTGGCTGCATGCTGGCAGGGGCCACCGGGTGGCGCTGTGGCACAGCGTGAGTGGATGGAGCCCAGCCGCCTGCGGAGCTCACCTGCCCCTCCCTTTCCCAGTTTCCCACTGAGGCCCGCTTGAAACGGAGCAGGGCCCCTTTAAAAGGTTTGGAACTCGGAGGAGCATGGTGGGGAAGTGACCAGAGATATGGAGCAAATTAAAATCAGGGCACTTAGCTTGCCTGATCCTTTTAGTGGGTTTGTTATTAATATGTACAAGCAAAAAGACTTAAAAGAAAAAAAAAAGCCAGGTGAGTTAGAGAACCTCTAAAACCATCAGAATCCACTCTGCTTTAAAATTCAGGCGGGGGGGGGGGGGGCTGGAGAGATAGCACAGCGGGTAGGGTGTTTGCCTTGCACACGCCCGACCCCGACCCGGGTTCGATTCCCAGCATCCCATATGGTCCCCTGAGCACTGCCAGGAGTGATTCCTGAGTGCAGAGCCAGGAGTAACCCCTGTGCATCGCCAGGTGTGACCCAAAAAGCAAAATAAATAAAATAAAATTCAGGCGTAGCTGGCTGGAGAGATAGTACAGCAAGTAATACCAGTACCAAGTAACCCAAGGGCCGTAGTGACAACATAGCAGGTAGGGCCTTGCCTTGCGTGTAGCCAGCCGGGTTCGTCTTGACTGCCGTAGCTTTTACTGTAAACGTCACTCTAGGCCGTGACGGCATCTGTGTATGTGTGTTCCCATGCTCTACGTCCCAGACTCTCCAGCCTCTGGACTTGCTCTCACTCCTGCGACGTCTGTCCTGGCCTGTTGTTCATCGCTTCCACTCCTGAGAGCTTCCATCCTTTATGCTGTCTGTCCTTGCAGCATGATCGTTAGGTTCCTGTTTCCTAGTTTGCTCTCTCCTGAGTCAACCTGGAAAATGGGTTCGCGTCCGGGACTCTCTGCGTCTGCCGAGGTGCTTTCCTGGGCCAAGTAACCGCGTCTGTGCTATGCTGTCCTCGGGGTGTCTGGCTCACCCAGTCGGCGCCCTGTGCTGGCCCTGCGGTGTGAGGAGCCCTGAGCCCCTGCCCCATCTCTCTCCGCTGCCCATGACCACACCCCAGCAGGCCAGCAGAAAGCCCTGGGAGGGCAGAGCAGGTGGGCCGGGCAGGACTTGGCTGCCTGGAGTCGACCTTTAACTGCATCTGGGGACAGAGCCAGTCTGTGGGTTGCACGCTTCCTGCCTCAGTGTATGCTGTCTGTGGGACAGCCCCTTGTCATTCCTCGAGGACACAAGGGGTCTGTGCAGATGTTTCTGTTAGTCTGAAATAAGTTACTTGAATATTTATGTTGCAATTTTATTTTATTTTTTGTTTTATTTTTTTTCTCTTTGGGTCACACCCAGTGATGCACAGGGGTTACTCCTGGCTCACACACTCAGGAATTACTCCTGGCGGTTCTCAGGGGGCCATATGGGATCCTGGGAATCGAACCCGGGTCGGCCGCGTGCAAGGCAAACGCCCTACCAGCTGTGCTATCACTCCAGCCCCTTGCATTGCAATTTTAAAACGAAAGTGCATGTTTCAGTTTGTTACTGCATTTGGCAGATCCGGAGGCCTGGGCAGGCCTGCGTGCCTTTCCCCTGCCCTTCCTATGGCAGAGACGCTGTGGGAAACTGAGGCACAGGCAGCGGCCGGCTTCACCGCTTCAGATCGCCAAGACACTCCTTCTGGGTTGTTCCTCTGTGCTGACCCAGGGAAGGGCCTCTCCTTCACACCTGCAATACACTCCTTGACCCCCACTGGGCTACAGGAACCCCTGCAACACGGCTCGACCCATGTGTTCGGCTGGGTCAGCCTCGCTGCCCCACCACTGAAGGCCGGGCCCTGTCTCGGCCACTGGCCGCCAGCCCTGGCTCCCCAGTGCTAGCCACCGCTGCCGCGTCTATGCGGGTCACATGCCATCTACCGTAGTCCTGGTCACTCTAGGCTGCCTGCCGCGTGGTCCTGGTCACTCTGGGCCACCTGCCAGTGGTTCTGGTCACTCTCAGCTGCCTGCTGTGTCATCCAGGTCACTCGACCATCTACTGTGGCCTGGTCACTCTGGGCTCTCTGCCGCATGGTCCTGGTCACTCTCGGCCACCTGCCGCGTGGTCCTGGTCACTCTGAGCCACCTGCCGTGGTCCTGGTCACTCTCGGCCGCCTGACGGTTGCCCTGATCTTTCCAGATTTTCTGCGTGATTTTGATTGATGGTTTTCAGATGGTGTTTGGGGCTTTTTGACTATAGAGATAGAAGAGTGTGACATGCCCAGCCTGACACCTGTCAACAGTCGCTGGCACGTAAGCGGGTTCCCGGGCGTTCACTGTTTTCTCTATCTTTCCCGGTTCTCCTGACAGCATGATCAGCGAAGCGCCCAGGAACGACGACGTGGAGAGTGAGAGTAGGAGATCGACTCCAGCTTCCAAGGTGAACACTTCCTGTTATGTGCAGTGTCCACACCCCCACCAGGGGCCGGGGTGGGGCCCCGCCAGCGCTCTGGGTGACCCGGGCCCTGTAAAAATTATTCAGGACCTAAATACTGTTTTTCTAGTTTACTTAGTAGATTTGGGCTGGAGCAATAGCACAGCGGTAGGGCGTTTGCCTTGCACGCAGCCAGCCCAGCCGAGCCGGGTTCGATTCCTCTGCCCCTCTCGGAGAGCCTGGCAAGCTACCGAGAGTATCTCACCCGCACGGCAAAGCCTGGCAAGCTACCCGTGACGTATTTGATATACCAAACACAGTAACAACAAGTCTCACAATGAAGACATTACTGGGTCCGCTCAAAACAAATCGATGAATAACGGGAGGACTGTGACCGTGACCGTGACTTCGTAGATTTACTTTATATGTCCAGTGGAAAAGTGAGACGTGGTCATTTTAACTACGCCAGTTTTATTATTGACTAGGTCCAGTGGCGTGAACCAAGGAATGAAAAGTTGGGAAGGGGTGGGCCTGGCGGTTATTTTGAAGCCAGACTTAAGAGATTTTAGGGAGCTGGAGCACGAGCTGGGTGTTTCGCACCATGCTGGAAGCAGTGTCTGAGGCCACGTGAGGCGTTCCTCCTTCCTGCTGATATGGAAGGCAAAAAACATATGGAAGGCAGCCATTGGCTTGGTTTCATTGAAACCAAGCAGGTGTAAGTGAGCAGTGGTCGAAACTTTCATTCATATTTCATAAGGGCCTCAAGGAGGTGCTCAAGGCCCAGGGTTGGTGAGAACCCCCCCAACGAGCCATCACCCCCACCCAGTCATGTTTTAAAATAGAGTTGTGGGGTTCCCCCAAGTAATTCTTAAGAGGTCAGAAGGTGCTTTTATAAAATTTCATCAGGGATTGAAATCACTTTGTCTACCTGAAAATATTTTGTCCTGGTCTGTCAAATGGTTGGAAACTTGTAAAGTACAAAACATAAAATAATAGAGCGTGGCTGTACATGGGTAATAGAGTGTGGCTGTACTCGCATAAGATAGCATGGCTGTATGTGGGTGATAGAGTTTGGCTGTACGTGGGTAATAGAACGTGACTTACGTGGGTAATAGACATGGCTGTACGTGGGTAATAGAGCATGGCAGTACATGGGTAATAGCCGTGGCTGTACGTGAGTAATAGACATGGCTGTACGTGGGTAATAGCCGTGGCTGTACGTGAGTAATAGACATGGCTGTACGTGGGTAATAGACGTGGCTGTACGTGAGTAATAGACGTGGCTGTATGTGGCCCATCACCCCCAGATAGAATTCGCCTTTGAGTCCCTCCGAGGCCTTTCTCCTACCAAAGGCAATTCGGAAAGTCAGCCTGGGATCATCCATAGTCTGGCACCAAGAACTTGTATGCTAGACAGAGGGGCCTTCCCGTCCCCCCACCCAGACCTCAGGGGCCTTCCCGTCCCCCCTTTGGGACTCTCTCTCTGGGTCATTGGGGCTTCTGGCTGTCAGAGTGGTTTGGTGGTCAGCTAGTGTCCCCCCTGCACTCCAATTCTCTCGGTGAGTTAACCTCCCTGGGCTGCCCAGCTCCGAGCACCCCTTGGCTCTTCTGACTTGGTTTTTAATTTTGTTTTTGTGCTTTTTTGGGGGGATGTTTGGGCCATACCCAGTGATTCCTAGGAGTAACTCCTGGCTCAACACTCAGGAATCACTCCTGGTGGTGCTTGGGGGACCGGATGGGATGCCGAAGATGGAACCCGGGTAGGGTCTGCGGCGTTCAAAGCTAGCACCAACCGGCTGTGCTGTCTCTCTGCCCTATCTTGGTTTCAGCCTTGGTGGGGGCTGCAGTCTTCTTACAGACTACGTAGGCCCTGCCCCAGGCCGGCTTCCTGCTTAGACCGACTACTACTCAGAGCCTCACTGGACCCAGCCTTATGGACCCTTATGGACCCACCCTTATTTTTTCACGTGCTGTCACCCAGTTTTCCCAGCACATTTGTTGAAGAGGCTGCCTCCACTCCACTCCATAGCCCCAGGTCCTTGGTTAGAGTTGAGGTGACCCTAGACCTGGGATTTGTCTTAGATGCTCAGCCCTAACCCATGATCTGAGTCCAGCCCAAGTCCTGCCCCAGGCCACTGTGATGCTACAGCATCAGCATCAGGTCGGTTCACAAGATGTCTTCTAGCTTTTTATTTCTTGGTATGAGGCTGGCTATTCTGGGTATTCTATGATTTTATACAAACTTTTAGCATTGACTGTTCTACATCCTCAAAAAATGTTATTAGGATTTGGGCGGGGACTGCCTTGAGTTGCTACAGTAATTTAGGTGGATGGTCATTTTTTTTTTTTTTCGCTTTTTGGGTCGCACCTGGCGATGCACAGGGGTTACTCCTGGCTCTGCACTCAGGAGTTACTCCTGGCGGTGCTCAGGGGACCATATGGGATGCTGGGAATCGAACCCGGGTCGGCCACATGCAAGGCAAATGCCCTACCCGCTGTGCTATCTCTCCAGTCCCTGGATGGTCATTTTAATAATATCGATTCTTCTGATCCATGAACATGGACAGGTTTTCCATTCCTCAGGTCTTCCTCTGGTCTTCCTATGGTGACATCTTTTATTGCAAAGATCGCTCGCCGATTCTGTTAGCTTAATTTCTATGTACTTAGGGAACGATTTTGAATTAAACAGACTCTGATATTTCTTAATCTTCTGGTTCATTATTGCATATAGGAATGTGTTGGAGTACACGGATCTTAGGTTTATCAGGTTGCATCTATCACAGTGCTCCCGAGTCACTCCTATTACTTTGTTTGTCTGTAACCACTTCTATGCTCTCTTCCCCAACCAATTTGTAAGGTCTCATCCTTCTTAGACACTGAAGCTGTACTGTAAGTTAATATTGCCTTTCTCCTCTCCTTATGTCTTTTGAGCAGTTTACTTTAATGCAATGTCCTTTTGTATAGATACAGGAAGACAATTAATATCATTCTTTATAACTTAGGAATTAATTGGCTTTGGATATTATTCACTCCTGGGCATCTGCCTTCTCAACTTAAGCCTCAGTTGCCCTCACTTCCTAGCACCCCAAGGGCAGGGTCCCGACATGGGACTGGATGGAACCAGGGAAAGCCAGTAAGTTATGTGCTACCCTGGCATCGAGATGGGCCAGGCCAAGGTGCCACAATTCTTAACTATAAGTTAAGAAGAGTTTGATCATAGGCAAATGCTGTCATGATCTAAAAGTAATGATAAGACTAGGACCCCGCTGCTAGGAACAGGAAAGATATCTGGCCTGAGCACTGCAGTCTGAGATCGAGATGGCCCTAGGAGAGCAATTCTATAAGCTCAAAGTATTTCTTACTGTGTCCATACAAAATGATTAATATTATGTATGCTTATGTTGGTTGGACAAGGAGAGGAGAAACACGTCCTAGAAGCAGTTTTCCTGTGTGTCCTGACTAGCTGGGATGAGACTGAACTTTCTCCCCTTCAAACTGCCTTCAGTAAATGATTTCAGTATATTGAGGCAGTTTCTCTTATCTCACAGGAACCTAGCTGGCCTTAGGTATGCAGATCCCAGGTGCTAAGCCAGGCCTGATATTTGGGATGTAGATGCCTGGCTCCAAGCTGGCTGATTTTGGAGATGTAGATTCCAAGCTCTAGCAGATTGGTCTTTGTTGTGCTAATCCAAGTGTTTGTAGTTTGTAAAAGGATTACTGGCCTGCAGATGTATAGAAACAATGTATGTTTTGCCTCAATGTTCTTTCTGTAACTCCTTTTGATGACATCACTATATTGCACCCCAAGAGAGAGCCCTGAAATCTCCCTTATATAGATCAGAGTACCTCTAAAGGGCGCAATATAGCTGATTTTAGTGTGTTGGCTTTGTACCAGCCACTTTGATGGACTGACTTATTGTTTCTCAGAGCTTTGTAATGAACTCCTCAGGGCCTTCTCTGTATGTTTTCATTTCAGCAGAAGATGCCGATAATCCGACTTCCTCTTTTCTAATTTGGATCCCATTGATTTCTTTTTCTTGCCTGATTGCTATTGCTAGGACTTCTATAGTATACTGAATAAAAGTAGAGACAGTGGACATCCTTGCCCTGTGTCTGGTCAGTCTTTCACCATTGAGAATGATATTGGCAGTGGGTCTGCCACAGATGGCCATTATTACCTTGAGAAAGCTTCCTTCCACCCCTATTGTATTGAAGATTTTTAAAATCCTGAATAGATAGATGTTGGGTCTTGTCCAAAACTTTCTCTGCAGTGACTGACATAATACGATTTTCACCTTTGCTTTTGCGGATGTGTTGTGTCATGTTCCTTGGTTTGCACTTATTTCTTTAAATGTCTGTTTTGCCTCAGGCCTCCTACCCTGATAAAGTTAAACACCATAGGAAAGATTCTCCTGCTTCAACAAGCAAAAATGTAAGAAGGTCGCAGGGGGAAAAGGAGCCTGATTATGGGGGAGGAAGACTGAATGAGATCATCACAAACGGTACGTGGCGCTGGACGTGAGGGGTGGGAGGGGTCACAGCAAAGCCCCCACTTCCCACCGTCCGTCCCATCCAGGTGAACAGCAGGAGGACAAGCACGGCAGGGATGAGGAGGTGACGTTTCCATGACTGTCAGAGTAACAACAGTTGCTTAGCAAATAGTTATTCATGCTTTTTCATGATTTTTTTGTGTAAAATTCTAGCAACAGCATTGATTGAAGTTTTTGTTTTGTTTGGGGTTTTGTTTTCTGTTTGGGGGCCACACCCAGTGTTTTTCAGGGTTTACTTCTGACTGTGTGCTCAGGGATCACTCCTAGAAAGCTTTGGGAACTCTGTGGGATACCAGGGAGAGAACCCAGGTCAGCTACATGCAAGGCAAATGCTCTGCCCACTTTACTATCTCTCTGACTCCTAACAATTTTTTTTTTCTTTTTGGGTCACACCCGGCGATGCACAGAAGTTACTCCTGGCTCTGCACTCAGGAATCACCCTTGGCAGTGCTCAGGGGACCATATGGGATGCTGGGAATAGAACCTGGGTTGGCCACGTACAAGGCAAACACCCTACCCGCTGTGCTATTGCTCCAGCCTCCCTAATGAGTTTTTAAAATCTTACTTTGGCATTTAATTTTAAACTACTTAGAAAGTACTTTATACATCTGGTTCTCAATAAAATTAGTTCCTAAATTTTAAAACACATGTACACTTGTAAGTGTTGGTAGAAAGCTTAGTTTACCACTAACATTTTAAACCATCTCATTGCCACCCAATATTTATAAAAGAATTCTTTAAAAAATAAATAAATAAATCTGACCTCCTTTCAACAACAAAAAAAACAAACACTGTCCTTCTGTTGTTCATTGATTTGCTCGAGCGGGCCCAGTAACATCTCCATTGTGAGACTTGTTGTTACTGTGTTTGGCATATCGAATACGTCATGGGGAGCTTGCCAGGCTTTGCTGTGCGGGCAAGATACTCTCGGTAGCTTGCCAGGCTCTCCGCGAGGGCCGGAGGAATCGAACCCGGCTCCGCCGGGCTGGCTGCGCGCAAGGCCTGAGGCAAAACGCCCTATCGCTGTATTATCGCTCCTGCCCTTCTTTCACTTATTATTATTCTTTGTTTTGTTTGAGGGCCATGCCTGGTGCTGCTCCTGACTTGCTCCCGGCTCTGTGTTCAGGTCTCACTCCTGGTGGGCTCTGGGAACTGTCTGGGGTTCCAGGGTTAGAGCCCAGGTTGACCACAGGCAAGGCAAGTGCCCTGCCAGCCGCACAGTCGCTCCACCCCACTTCTCTCTCTTATCCATGATGCTTCTCTTTGTAATTATTTTGGGGATACCTTAGAATTTGCAGTTTGCACTTACAGCTAATTCAGTTCCACTCTCAGATAACACTACCTGCCTCAGGGCAGGACAGATGTTTGCAATAACAGGTACTCCTGGGTCCTTCCTCCTGATTTTCACGTCACGGCTGTTGCGTTATTCATCCCTGAGCTATAGCCAGTGAATATGTTTTGCCATCACTTTGTGTAACAAACTGTTGTTTGTTCAGTCAAAAGACGGAAGGGCGGGCTGGGCACAAAGCAAGTGGCAACGCCCGCTGGGTGGGTTCTTGCTTTGTGTGCAGAGGCCCAGGATCAGGCACCTCACAGGGCCCAGCTACCACTGACAGTAGCCTCTGAGCACCAAGCCAGGAGTCGTCCCTTGCTCAGCTGGGTAGGACCACAAAACTAAACCAAATCAACAACAAAACTGTTACTCAGGGGCTCATCCTGTATGTGAGTTCCCAGAAGTCTGTTTCACCACTCAGTCGTCGGCAGGATAGACGGCTTTGCCTCTCCCTTGTCTAGTAGAGTGACATCTTCTCATTCCTGCGGGGCGGGGACACGTCAGCTGTGCTAGGACTTATTCCCTGCTCTGTGCTCAGGGCTACTCCTGGCTCTGTGCTCAGGGCTACTCCCAAATCTGTGCTCACGGCTCACTCCCGGCTCTGTGCTCAGGCCTCACTCCCGTCTCTGTGCTCAGGGCTCACTCTCGACTCTGTGCTCAGGGCTCACTCCTGGCTCTGTGCTCAGGGCTACTCCCAGCTCTGTGCTCAGGGCTGACTCCTGGCTCTGTGCTCAGGGTTACTCCTAGCTCTGTGCTCAGGGCTCACTCCTGGCTCTGTGCTCAGGGCTGACTCCTGACTCTGTGCTCAGGGCTGACTCCTGGCTCTGTGCTCAGGGCTGACTCCTGACTCTGTGCTCAGGGCTGACTCCTGGCTCTGTGCTCAGGGCTGACTCCTAGCTCTGTGCTCAGGGCTCACTCCTGGCTGTGTGCTCAGGCTCATTCCTGGCTCTGTACTTAGGGCTCACTCCTGGCTCTGTGCTTAGGGCTCACTCCTGGCTCTGTGCTTAGGGCTCACTTCTGGCTCTGTGCTCAGGGCTAACTCCTGGCTCTGTGCTCAGGGTCACTCCTGGCTCTGTGCTCAGGGCTGACTTCTGGCTCTGTGCTCAGGACTCACTCTTGGCTCTGCTCAGGGCTTATTCTTGGCACTGTACTCAGGGACCCCTCTTGGCGGTTCCCAGGGAACCATAGATGGTACTAGGGATTGCTTGGGGTGACTGCAAGGCCAGCACCTTAACTTCTGTAGCTGTTTCTCTTCTCGTGCGTTCTTTCAGTGGGAAGTTTTTTTCCTGGAGGATGGGCAGGGTGGTACTTGCTTTATATTCTGCTGACCCTGGTTTAGGCCCTGGCACCACATAGGTCCCCTAGCACTGCCACAGGTCACTCCTGGGCACAAAATCAGGATAGCCCTGGAGCACTGCTGGGTCTGGCCCCAAAACCTAACCAAACCAAACCAAACTAAACCAAACCATGCCAAAGCAAACCATTTAGTGCTGCAAGTCGTCCAGTTCTGTGGAGGAACAGTCACTGGAGCATGTGGGAGGAGATGGAATAGGAATCTTGGTCCTAATTTCCTGCTGTGAGTCTGGTGAAGTCTGGGCAGCCACTAAGAGGGTCGGGGATAAGGAACACCCTGGAACTGCACTCAGATTCCGAACCGCCCCAGGAACTGGCCTGGCAGGAGATGAGGGAGCGGCTCGCTCTCGGGAGGCCATGGGTCTCCCCGAGGTCTGAGAGTTGGGCCTCTCCTGCCACACAAGGCGGCGTCTCCCCTGTCCTGCCTCCGCCTCTCCTTGCTCTCTGTCTCTCTGCTCCCCGCAGGTGATGAAGAGGTTTCCCCGGGCGGCTCTGCCTGTGGCCGCTGACCAGACCAGGGCTAGCAGGGGCAGCTGGCGCCATGGCTGGGAGTCAGTTTTCCTGGTGGAAAAGCTACTGGAAAACACAACGGCCATGGGGTGGGGGGTGGAGAAAGGGCCCGGGACAGAGGTGGGTCAGTGACACTAGTGGCAGGGTGCTTAGCCAGTGACAGGGATGAAACAGCAATTAGGAGACAGTGCAGAAGCATGTGACCACCACAGGAACAGACGATAAAATACAAAACAGAGTACACCCCATCCTGTTAGCCTGAGAAATGTTTACTGCTTTAAAGGGTTTGCTATTGGGGCTGGAGCGATAGCACAGCGGGTAGGGCGTTTGCCTTGCGCGCAACCAACATGGCCAACACAGGTTCGATTCCCGGCATCCCATATGGTCCCCTGAGCACCGCCAGGAGCAATTCCTGAGTGCATGAGCCAGGAGTAACCACCCCTGAGCATCGCCGGGTGTGACCCAGAAAGCAAAAAAAAAAAAAAAAAATGGGGGGTTTTAGTCAAGATTTTTTTTTTCTTTTTGGGTCACACCGGCAATGCACAGGAGTTACTCCTGGCTCTGCGCTCAGGAATTACCCCTGGCGGTGCTCAGGGGACCATATGGGATGCTGGGAATCAAACCCGGGTTGGCTGCGTGCAAGGCAAATGCCCTACCCACTGTGCTATTGCTCCAGCCCCTAGTCAAGATTTTTAAATAAAAATATAGCACAGCGGGTAGGGCGTTTGCCTTGCAAGCAGCCAACATGGCCAACCCGAGTTTGATTCCTCCACCCCTCTCGGAGAGCTCAGCAAGCTACTGAGAGTATCTCGCCCCCACAGCAAAACCTGGCAAGCTACCCATGATGTATTGGATATGCCAAACACAGCAACAGTTGTCACAATGGAGACGTTACTGGGCCCACTCAAGCAAACAGATGAACAACAGGAGGACAGTGACAGTGATACAGTATTTAAACTGTGACTCATAAAATGAGATCTATGTTAAACAGATTCCCTTGACCACATATTGTAACCTTTTATTTTATTAATATTTATTTTATCTTTTTTTTTGTCACACCCAGCGATGCACAGGGGTTACTCCTGGTTCTTGCACTGAGGAATTACTCCTGGCGGTGCTTGGGGGACCATATGGGATGCTGGGAATCGAACCTGGGTCGGGCCGTGTGCAAGGCAAACGCCCTACCTGCTGTGCTATCACTCCAGCCCCCCTATTTTATCTTATTGACATTTTATTTTAATGCTAATTTGAGTACAACGGGCAGATTGGAGCGAATGAGCTCTGTGGCGCGAGTGTGGACGTGTGTGTTTCCTCTGTTCCAGCCGTCATTCTCCTGCTGGGGTGGTGTGCAGCCTGGGCCATCGCGGGCCCCGAAGTCCTCCCCGGCGGGAGCCTGTTCGGCCTGATCATCATCTTCTACAGCGCCATCCTCGGGGGGAAGCTGCTGGAATGCATCTCCATCCCTTCAGTGCCGCCTCTCCCGCCTCTCCTCGGTGCGTGCGTGCGTCCGCGTCCGTCAGCCGTGTGCTCCGGCCGGGCTGGAGAGGGCAGCAGCGGCAGCGGAGTGCCCGGCAGTGTCTCTCGTGCAGTCAGCTGTCTGCTCGCTCTCGCTCTGGGGGGGTTTATTCTACACCCACAGAAACGTGCTTCCCAGAAACAGGAGTTCTGAATCATTCACATGTGATGCCTGTTGGTTTGTCGCAGGCATCTCTGATTGTTTGGGGGCGGTTCTTTATTTGGGGGTCATCCCCAGCCGGACTTGGGGGCTGCTCCGACAGTGCTCAGGCGTCCGGGCTGCAGCTGGGCCTGTCCCCTGCAGATGCCCCGCCCCCTCCACAGCCCCGGGCCTTTGAGATTTAACTTAAAGTGTGTTATCAGTGAGGAAAACTTTGTCGTAAATCCCCGGATTTCCTGGCAGATAATGCAGCTCCAAGGAGAGTCATCAGATGAGATGATTGCTGTGACCAAGCCACAGACATGCCCTGGGGTCAGAGCTGGTGTCCTCTGTGCGGACTCCTGATCTGTGTGATGAGAGATAGTGTGTCATCAGTGTGATGGGAGGAGAGTTAGGGAAGGAATTCTGCCCGAGTGAGGCTGGAGCGACAGGAGGCAGGACAGTGAGGAGGGCACTTGCCTTGCACACGGTCAGCCTGGTCCCTGGGCCAGCGGGGAGCAATCCCTGAGTGCAGAGCCAGGAGTAAGACCTGAGCACTGCTGGGTGTGACCCAAAACAAACAGAAAGAGATTCTACCAGATGGTCATTGGTCAGTCTTCGAGTATCCGGAACTTATAGCTGAGAGAACAATGCTTGTGGGGATGGTCTGTGTGTGTGTGTGTGCATGTGTCTGCATGTGTATCTCCGTGTGTGTACATGTGTGTGCATGTATCTGTGTGAGTGTTTGTGTGTGTGCATGTTATGTGCATGTGTCTGCATGTGTGCACGTAAGTGTGTCTGCGTGTGTGTGCGTGTGTGTGCGCATGCGTGTGCATGCATGTGTGTGCATGTGTGCCTGCACATGTCTGCATGTGTCTGCATGTGTGCATGTACGTGTGTGTGCATACATGTGCACGTGCATGTGTGTGCGTGGGTGTGTACATGTGTGTACCTGTGTGTGCGTGCGTGTGTGTGTGTGTGTGTGTGTGTGTGTGTGTAGATTGGGGTGGACTCTCAGATGGTGCTCCAGGGATGCAGGGGGCACTCGTGGAGAAACCCAGCCAGCCTGTGGAGGCCAACAGCCCAGCACCCGGGCTTGGTGATGCCCTCTGTGCCTCTCGGCCCCAGCCATGGGTCTGTGGGCGGGGCACGGGGGTGGGAGCCATGCTATCTGGGCACCAAACCGGGGGCATGTCTCTGGCCACTGAGCCCCGTGTCCTCCCTGACACCATCTGAGCCGTGGCCCTCACACAGCCGGCTCGCTCATGACCCCATCCTCTGCATCCTGTCTCCCTCAGTCCACAGAGGATCTCCTGGTTGGAGTCCTGTAGAGGTTTTATTCTTTTGGGGGGCAGGGAAATCACCCCACGATGCTCAGGGGTTCTCCTGGCTCTGTACTCAGGAATCACTCCTGGTGGTGTTCAGGGACCCTATGGGATGCTGAGAATCAAACTGGGTCGGCCATGTGTGAAGCAAACGGTTCCCCGCCCTCCCCCGCTGTACTGTTGCTCTGGCCCCTCCTGTGTCGCTTTAAGCCTGTCTAATCCCCCAGAACACGCACAGTACAACACTCATGGTGAGGTTTCCATGACGTCCACCTCCCCTGAGCCAGGCAGGGGTGCGAGTGCCATGCACCCTCTCCCCCTGCCCAGCCCCCAGAGCTCACACTTCTGGCCCCTACTGCAGAGCCAAGCCCCGTGGTGTGTGTGAGGAGACATCTCTGCTTGTGTTCTTGGGGGAAATGATCTGATTCAGGCGTGTTTTGTATTCTTTCCATTAAGGGATGTTGCTGGCTGGTTTTGCTATCAGAAATATCCCATTCCTCAACAAAATCGTCTCTGTCAACTCCGCGTGGTCTTCGACGTTAAGAAACATGGCCCTCACTGTCATCCTCGTACGAGCTGGACTTGGTCTTGACCCTCAGGTACGTTTCCAGTCATATGTGAATAAGATTGTTATTTGAAGGTGGTGGCGGAGAGAAGGGGATGATGAGCCTGTCCGAGCTCTTCCTGTGGGGCCCGTGGGCCAGACGCAGATCAGGAGCGCAGGTTTGGGGGCCAGAGAGACGGTGCAGCAGGAAAGGCTAAGACTACACAGTAGAGCGATGAAAGAAGACAGATTTTGCAGAAATATTGTCACTTGATTTCTGCTTTGGGTCATCACCATGGCTTCCGGAAGAGAGAGACTCCCCCAGTGTCAGATTTCTGTGGGAGATTGTTGTCAGGGGCTGGAGTCGGGGCTCGGGAGTGGTGTGCTCGGGCCAGGGAGAGGCTCAGGGCCTGAGTGTCCAGGCCAGGGCCCTCCAGCATGACCGGGGAGGCCCAGAGAAGCAAAGGGACTCGCGCTTCTGTTGCATACGCCAAGCCCCGGCTCCGCTGAGGCTGCAACCCTCCCCACCACCACCACCCCAGTCTCCAGCGTGGCCGGCTGTGCTGCTCCGAGCAGGGAAGGGCCACGGGCCTCTCTGCAGGCTCAGCGGAAGCTTCTGCTGTCTTCGTTTCCTGTCACCGAGACTCAGAGTCTCAGTTCGAGTTCACTGCTTGCCCCACACCAAGCTTGTTCCTGATTTTCTGATTATCTTATGATAAAACAGTAGCTGTAATTTTAATGTTTCCCTTGAGGTAATATTGGCTTAAAGACTGTACGCTTTGGGCTCTAGTTTCACATGCCTGTAAGACCCGCCACATGCCCACCACCAGCTCAGCCCTCCCCCACTGTCCGGCCCCAACCCAGCCCTCCTGCTCCTCCTTCCCCTCAGCCCCGCCCTAGACACACACACACACACACACACACACACACACACACCCGTTCCTCTGGGCTTGCAGACCTTCACTCCGAGAGTCCAAGGAACTGCTTTCTTCCTTCTGTGCCTGATGTTTGAACATGCTCCCTAAAAGGTTACTGATCTAAGGGCCAGGAATCTATTCGGGCTTTAAAAGATGACTGTTCATTAACATAACAGTCTCATGACGCTCAAATGAGTGCTCAAGTTTAGAGAAAATGAATAACTTCACTGATGATTTATTATACTTCCCAGTAGAAATTTGAACCAATGAGAAATAGGGTTTTTGTTGTTGTTGTTTGCTTTTTGTTTTTCCTTTTTACCTGCTTAAGTGATTTTTTGGCACGTTGATATTTTTCTATTTATAGTTGTTACAACTATAGTTGGCTGGAGCGATAGCACAGTGGTAGGGCATTTGCCTTGCATGCAGCCAACATGGCCGACCCGAGTTCGATTCCTCCGCCCCTCTCGGAGAGCCTGGCAAGCAGCGGAGAGTATCTCACCCCCATGGCAGAGCCTTGCAAGCTACCGTGATGTATTCCATATGCTAAACACAGTAACAACAAAGTCTCCAATGGAGACTTTACTGGGCCCTGCTGGAGCAAATGGAGGACTGTGACTGTGACCTTGACAACTATAATTGTTACATGTCGTATTTGATATGCCAAAAACAGTAACAAATCTCACAATGGAGAAGTTACTGGTGCCTGCAACTGGGAGGACAGTGCTACAGTGCTGTTGCTGTTACATTTTTCAAGTAGTTTGTCTCTAAAAGTTAAGTTCAGTGGTGGGGGCGTGGAAATCTGTGAAGATTTAATTGTATTATTTACAAGGAAGATAAAGGAAGGTAGAAATCATTGTTTAACTATAGAGCTATGAATCCTTTCTAATCTTTCAGGCGTAGCATTTTGTCCATGGGAACCAGCTCTGAATCCAGTTGATGCTGACACAGAGCGAGTTGCGTCCATGTGTGTCCCAAGGGACACGTGGGGCCGGAGCTCAGCTCGGCCGCTTGCCGTCCCTCCACTCTGCCCAGCCGCCCACGGTGCCTCTCCTTGTGTTTCAGGTTCTGAAGACCATGAAGGGGGTGTGCCTGAGGCTGTCCATCGGGCCCTGCCTGACTGAGTCCTTGTCTGCTGCCATCATCTCCCACTACCTCCTGGGCTTTCCCTGGGAGTGGGGCTTTCTAGTAGGGTAACGTGCCCATCTCTCCCCAGTGTGCAGTGACGGGTGCCTGCTCTTGTTGGTGTGCAGTGACGGGTGCCTGCTCTGTATGGTGTGCAGTGACAGGTGTCTGCTGTGTCAGGTGTACCGTGACAGGTGCCTGCTCTTGTTAGGTGTGCAGTGACGGGTGCCTGCTGTGTCAGGTGTGCAGTGACAGGTGCCTGCTCTTGTCAGGTGTGCAGTGATGGGTGCCTGCTCTTGTTAGGTGTGCAGTGACGGGTGCCTGCTGTGTCAGGTGTGCAGTGACAGGTGCCTGCTCTTGTTGGTGTGCAGTGATGGATGCCTGCTCTGTGTCGGGTATGCAGTGACAGGTGCCTGCTGTGTCAGGTGTGCAGTGACAGGTGCCTGCTCGTCTCATGTGTACAGCGACAGGTGCCTGCTGTGTCAGTGTGCAGTGACGGGTGCCTGCTATGTCGGTGTGCAGTGATGGGTGCCTGCTCTTGTCAGTGTACAGTGACGGGTGCCTGCTGTGTCAGGTGTGCAGTGACAGGTGCCTGCTCTGCATGTGTATCTAGACAAGCTGCTGCTGATTTTTTTATTTGCTTTTTTTTTTAATTGAATCACCGTGAGATACACAGTTACCAAGTTGCTCAGAATACAGTGTTTCAACACCCGTCCCTTCTCACATTTCCCCGTAGGGAAGCCTCTGTTCCCCTCCAGTTACCAGTCCTGCCTGGTAGTGCTGTGCTAACTCTCTCCTCCCCTCCCCTCCCCTCCCCTCCCGCACTGTGCCCCTCCATTTTTCACTCTTTCTCTCAGCCTGTCAACCAACTAGCTCTGCTTACTGTATATGTTTTGTATTGTTTATGCTTGAATGGTTTTATACATTATGTAGAGAAATAGTAAAAACAAGCAAGTATCTTTTCTTGGACCCAGTGTCTGCCTATTTCATCCACCTCTATTTCTCCTCGCACCCAAGCTCTTCACACTCTTGGTCTCTAGTTGCTATGCTAGGCCCTGCACTCTGTGCAACTTTTATGCTTAGTTGGTTTGTTTTTTGTTTTTGTTTTTGTTTTTTGAGGGGGGGTCTCCCAAGTACGGCCATGGAGCTGGAGGAACACTCCTGGCGATTCTTGGCCCAAAGTGTGAGACCCAAGTACACGGTGCAATGGGGGCCCCGGGACCGCACCCGGTAGTCCTGCAGGACTGGGACCTGGGCCCTTGACCCTCACTCTAGTTCCAACCCACTTAGCTGCTTCTCCGTTTCTCCATTTCAGTTATAGAACCCTTCACCCATTTCATGGGCAGTTGGGATTTATGTGTGTGTGTGTATGTATGTGTGTGGGTGCCATGCCTGGGAGTGGCCACACAGTGTTGGGGTGGAACCTGGGTCCTCCAACACACACAGAGAGCCTGCGCTCCGCAGTTTAAACACCTCCTGGCCAAACTCATGGATCTTTAAGTGATTTTTATCTTAAAATACCTGAATGCCTCATGCGTGTGTCAGTGCGTAGAATCTGACAGAGTGTGTGCCTCATGTGTGTGTCAGTGTGTAGAGTCGGTGAGAGTATGTGCCTCGTGTGTGTTTCAGTGTGTAGAATCTGTGAGAGTGTGTGCCTCATGTGTGTGTCACTGTCTAGAGTCTGTCAGAGTGTGTGTGCCTCATGCGTGTGTCAGTGTGAGAGCGTTTGCCTCATGTGTGTGTCAGTGTGCAGAATCTGTGAAAGTGTGTGCCTCATGTGTGTGTCACCGTCTAGAGTCTGACAGTGTGCCTCGTGTGTGTCAGTGTGTAGAGTCTGACAGAGGTCTCATTTGCTAATTTCTCTTTTCACTCAACAGGACTCCTGAGGGAGGGTGGGAGAGAACTCAAGGGGAAATTCATTCTTGTTAAAAAATGTTGGTTAAGGGCCGGAGCGATAGTATAGTGGCCGGTGGCAGATGCTTCTTATTAAGGAAAGTCTCCTGTATATTTTGTTTCTTAAGAGGTTATCTTTTAACAGAGGACATTTTATATGTTTCCTTAATTTGACACTGTGAATTACATCGAGTTTCCTGATAGAGAACCATCCTGCACTCACCGTTACTGCTACTTCCAGAACTTTTACCTCGGCGCCCCTTCAACATTATTTATGTTATGTGTCCTCTGCTTGTCCGTTTGCAGTACACACTGGACATTTTCCTCTGTCCTACTCATTCTTCGCCTAAGATCGTAGCATCTTTTTGTTTTTCGGGCAGTCGATGGTTGGTTTCTGTAGTTAGATGTGATGGTTGAGTACAGTCTACTTCCGAGATTATAATTCTAGGGTGCCCTCAGTGCACACTCGGCCGTGTCGGTCCTGACTGGGCTCCCGGGACAGGCTCAGTTTCCCCTGCTTTCCACACCGAGTGAGCTTTCCCCATCTCTCTAGCTCTCACTTCAGAGGACGCAGGGCGGGTTGCCATCTGGGCGCCGGCTGGACATTGCTGTGAGAGGTCCCATGGCTGTGGTGGGTCCCTTGTGCTGCCTGCCTGCTCCCAGACATGCCCGTCGGTTTGAGGGTGTTCCTTTCAGTTTTGTAGTGGGCGCCGTCTCGCCCGCGGTGGTCGTGCCGTCCATGATCATGCTGCAGGAGAAGGGCTACGGCATCCAGAAAGGCATCCCCACCTTGCTGATGGCCGCCAGCAGCCTGGACGACATCCTGGCCATCACCGGCTTCAACATCTGCATCAGCCTGATCTTCTCCACAGGTACATGGCTGCCCACCCCTGCCGCCTGGGCTCCTTCTTATTTCTTTTTGCTGTAGCAAGACAGTTTTTGTTAAATGAGACCTACTGTGAGCATGGGCTTCTCTGGAGTGGAAAAGGCGGAGCCAAGAGACCAGAGACAAGCAAGAGAGAGACGAGCTCAGGGGGGAGCACGGGCTTGAAGAGCAGGCCCGGGTGGAGGGGGCTGGGCACCGTTCCTCCAGCTGGTTTTCTCCCGGGGTTCTCTGCAGACCTCGAGTGAACCTGGGCATGGTCACAGGGCAGCTTTGCCCTGCTAACGGCCTCCTCACCACCCACTGGGGTCTTTGATGGGGCCCAGCTGACTTCGTGCACTCTCCAAGAACAGGCCGAACAGCTGGATCTGTGCAGAAAGCTCGTTCTGGGCCAGAAGAGACATGTCGGCTGGCTGAGGAACCTCCCTCCGACCCACAGTATTTCATCTCCATGACCGGGTCTGCCAATGAGCTTCTGAGCCCATCCCGTGGCTGTGTCTGCTCACAGTGCTCTGGCTTTGTGTCCCATGGCTGTGTGTCTGCTCACAGTGCCTGGACTGTATGTCCATGGCTTTGTATCGGCTCACGGTGGTCCGGCTGTGTGTCCCATGGCTGTGTCTGCTCACAGTGCTCTGGCTGTATGTCCCTTGGCTGTTTGTCTGCTCGTGGTGTTCCGGCTGTATGTCTGTGACTGTGTGTCTGCTCACAGGCTCTGGCTGTGTGTCCCATGGCTGCGTGTCTGCTCACGGTATTCCGGCTGTGTGTCTGGCTGTGTGTCTGCTCATGGTGCTCTGGCTATATGTCCTGTGGCTGTCTGTCTGCTCACAGGCTCTGGCTGTATGTCCCGTGGCTGTAGCAGAGCGGCTTGGAGCAGCAGCATCACTGATGTCTTGGACATGTGGCGTTTCTGGCCGTCACCATAGAGCGCTGTGTGCTGACCGTTGTCCAGACAGCTGTGCACACTCTCTGCCGTGACACGGCAGACACGCCTGCACCAGCTCTGACCCCAGGGAGTACTTGACACGTTATGTTGGTTCAGGTATGCGGTTGCATGAGTCACTGTTTATAGAAACTGCAGCTCGGCCCGGTGAGCCGGCTCGTTCTCTGCCCGCACCAGGTTTGCAGAGACTGTTGTTTGCCTCGGACGGGGCCGTGTCTGGTTCGTCTCGGCAGCTGTGCACTGGGGGCCCCAGCCCCAAGCCAGGACTGATGTTCGTGACTGGAAGTTTTCACCGCACTGCCCGCTGCATCGCCAGCCCCCGATTCCCACCCCCGCCTGGCCTCCGTGTAACGGAGCTGGTTCAGGTTTGGGGTTTGTTTATCCTTCGCTGTTTCATTTATGCGAGCCCACGTGTAAACAAGATTCCCCCCCTATTTCTCTTTGCCGTATTTCACTTAGTATATGTGAATCCCCATCTCCCTCTGTAGCCCATGACTTCTCAGTCCCCTGCCCACCTGGGGCACTTGGGGAGCTTGCCCACCTGGGGCACTTGGGGAGCTTGCAGGTGCCCTTATCTGTTCAGATAAGGCCTTTGTGCCCTTTGGGTGAATACCCAGAAGAGGAATCTCATCACTCTGCAGAAATTGTAAAAGTCGATATTGAACCTTCTTTAAATATGTTTTAATTATCAGCAAGGTTTGGAATTCAATAGTCTATATTCTTGAAGCTCCAAAGTATTTTGAAGTTGAAAAGTAATAGAATATATACATATACATATATACACATATAGGGCGTTTGCCTTGCACGCAGCCAACATGGCCGACCCGAGTTCGATTCCTCCGCCCCTCTCGGAGAGCCCGGCAAGCTACCGAGAGGATCTCGCCCGCACGGCAGAGCCTGGCAAGCTACCCGTGATGTATTCGATATGCCAAAAACAGTAACCACAAAGTCTCTAATGCAGACATCACTGGGCCCACTCGAGCAAATCGATGAGCAACGGGAGGACAGTGAACAGTGAATAGTTCTTTTAAAAGTCACAATATTGGGGCAGCCAGGGGTCACCCTGTGGTCACATGCGAGCCTGAGTCGCCACCGCCACGCACAGAACCATATTCTGTGTTAGATGCGATGTATATTACATATCATATAAAGCACAGGCAAATAGGAAAGAGTCACATTCCCAAGAATAATGACTCTGAATCTTTTGGTGTGAACCCCCCATTCCTATTCTGCCTTCTCTCTCCTGACTTTCGTTCAGCCATACAGAATTTTTGAGCATCTCCCGGACTTTCTTCTAATCGGAGTTGTCTCACTCTTGCCAAGGGGAAACATGCCAGCAAGTTCGCATGTCCGCTTCTCTGGTCAATAACTATGGTGTTCTCCAGCCTCCTGGGGGTCTGTGTAGTCCTGGGGACCAGAGGCCCCACTAAGGCCTCCCGGGCCAGTTACTGCCTCAGCCCTTGACCCTGTTCCGAGCCCCTTGCAGTATTTTCGACATGGCCTGGTCCTCTGCGTTTGCTGGTGTCCAATGAGCTGCGTCATAACCTATTGAAAATCGCTGTCGATGCCAGTGCCCGCTATTAGGATAACACGTGGGTTGCACATCTTACGGCTGAAGAATCAAAGCTGATTTTAATGCCGGGCCTCTCCCAGACGTGGCTCAGGAGTCCTGGGAACTAGTGCTTGCCGGGCTGTGCTCACCTGAGGACATAGGGCCTGTGGGTTTCCCGGTGCTGGGGCCAGCAGGGTGCTCCTGGCAGTGCCAGGGATCAGCTCGGGCCCTTGGAGCTCTCTTGCTGGGCTTCTAAGACATTTCTTCATCTGGAAAGTGAAATCTTTCTTTCTTCTTCTTTTTTTTTTTTTTTTAGTGAAGGGACTGATTTACAGCCCTGCCTGGACGGGTTCCCTGTCCTCGGAGCCCTCCACATGTGCCTGCACACAAGGCTAAGGCCGTCACTGCGGGAGGCCCAACACCAGAGAACTGGGCTGAGCCCACCAGGGCATGGCTCCTCTGGGTGAAGGGGCACAGGGGAGATGCTCAGAGGGCCAGGGCATGTCCCTCCCGGGAGAGGCCCCGGGTTTGGTCCCCGGGCCATGGGCCTTCTACTCTGTTCAGTGGGACTTGGGCGTTTGGGAAAGTACTCCCTAGGGAAGTGGCCTTGGCCACCAGCCTGGCTGGAGACTCGGGTCCTGGCCGGCCTTTTTGGGCCGCCCCTGGAACTGGCCCCTGTCCACCCCGTGCCTCCCTGAGTTTGCCCCTCACCCCACGGGCTCCGGTGCCCGTGCTCCTGTCTTCAGCCCGGTCCTGGGAGCCCCCCACAGCCAACACTCCCGGGACGCTGTTGCTCCTGACGCAAGGACAGTGCTGCCATCTAAGTGCTCTGCTCCTGGACCCTGGCCCACGGTGCTGCTCCCTCTCCAGTGCTCTCTGGAGCTGGGTGGAAGCTTCTAGGCTCCTGAGCTGGTGTCTGCAGGGCAGGATTGTCTCGGTTCTCATTCCAGCATCTTGCTGTGGTCTCTCTTCGTTTTTGTTATGTTTCATGCCAAAATATTTATAAAACATATATTTACATTCCTGATTGACCTAAATACACAGGGGATCACCGTTCTTTTTGTGATTTCAGATCATTTTTTAACTTACCACCAGGAGCTACAGACTATCACTGTAGCACTGTCCTACTATTGTTCACCGATTTGCTCGAGCGGGCCCAGCAACCTCTCCATTGTGAGACTTGTTGTTACTGTGTTTGGCATATCGAATACGTCACGGGGAGCTTGTCAGGCTCTGTGGGTGAATTGCTCTTGGTAGCTTGCTGGGCTCTCTGAGAGGGGCAGAACCTGGTCCGCTGGGTTGGCTGCGTGCAAGGCAAACACCCCACCTGCTGTGCTATTGTTGCAGATTAGATAGTATTAAAAAAAAAAAAGAAGAAGAACACTAGAAACACAACTGAGTAGTCCTAGGATTGACTCCCGAATAAAACTTTTGATGAGATTTCTATTAGGCTGGGCTGGAGCGATAGCACAGCGGGTAGGGCGTTTGCCTTACAAGCGGCCAACATGGCCGACCCGAGTTCGATTCCTCCGCCCCCCTCGGAGAGCCCAGCAAGCTACCGAGAGTATTTGATATGCCAGACACAGTAACAACAAAGTCTCCAATGGAGACGTTACTGGGCCCGCTCGAACAAATCGACGATCAACGGGAGGGCCTTTACCTTACCTTACCTTCTATTAGGCTGCTTTTTAAAAACAGTTTGTTTCTGGGGTGCTGGAGCAATAGCACAGCGGGTAGGGCGTTTGCCTTGCATGCGGCCAACCCAGGTTCGATTCCCAGCATCCCATATGGTCCCCTAAGCACCACCAGGAGTGATTCCTGAGTACAAAACCAGGAGTAATCCCTGAGCATCACCGGGTGTGACCCAAAAAGAAAAAAAAATAGTTTGTTTCTTTGTCATAAAATTACATCATCAGAGGGGCAAGAGAAATAGGACAGTGGGGAGGGCATTTGTTGCACATTGTGGACCTGGGTTTGATCCCCGGCATCCCATAGGGTCCTCCAAGCACTGCCAGCAGTGCAGAGCCAGAAGAAAGCCCTGAGCATTGCTGGGTGTGACCCTCAAAAAGGCCAAACATTAAAAAAAATAATATAATAATATTACATCAGAGAAGATGCATCGCAGGCCCTGTGCCCCTCCAGCATCCCTGCTCCGACCTCCCCCGCCTCTCCCTGCCTCAGAGGACACAGAGGGCCCCTGGCTGCTTTGGTTTCCGGTCTCCTTGTCCGAGATGTGTGATAATTATCGCTTTTAAGTACGTATTTTTACATCTGCAGATTTTTTTCTATTTCTAATTGCTCCAGGTCCACGTTCACCTATTTATTTGATTAAATATGCCCCCCCCCAAACAATGATTGTCCTCATACCTCTGACCTTGAAAGAGCCCACAATATGCCATCGGGCTACATTAGCACGTGGCAGGGATGATTGGAGGCATTACTGGTGCCCACTCGAGCAAATCGATGAACAGCAGTATGACAGTGATACAGTGAAATATGTTCCTTTCTCTGTGAGCCACCAGGATGTCAAAGGTGTTCCCCGTCTGCCCCGCAGGTACCGTCATGCATAACATCCTGGGTTCTGTCCGGGACATAATTATTGGTGTGCTGATAGGAGCTGCCTTGGGAATTTTTGTTCGATATTTTCCAAGTAGAGACCAGGTAAATAAAAAAATTAACCCGTATCTACTGGTATAGTCATAAGCATTTCTGAAATGGTACACTTCATGTTCGATTCCCCTTCCCCAAAATTAGTTGCCCCCACACCTGTTCTCGGCTTCAGACTGAGCCCAAACGTGCTGGAAGCCAAACCGGGCCTCAGTGCCCACCTCCTCATAGGGAGAATAAAGAACTGTCAGAGAAGTCAGCTGGGCTCAGAGCCAAGCAGAGCTGGTCCTGGGTGGAGGAGCGGGCCCAGGGACGAGTGTGTTAGTGTGCGTGGTGACCCGGCACCAAGCCCGGTGGGGCCCCAAACCAGTATTTTAAGCTGCTGAAGTGTGGTAACATCTCCCTGGCACTGGCAGCAGAGAGGTGTAAAATCAAACGTGGCAATGGCCAGCCTGGCCAGCCACGGGTTTGCTGGAAGGTTCTCCAGATAGGCAGGCATCATCCAAGCAGGGGTGAGGCGGCGAGCTCCCTGCACCCCCCCGCACACTCCTTCCCTCCGCTCTCCTCCAGGAGCATGTCCACCTGAAGAGAGCCTTCCTGATCCTCGGCCTGTGCATCTCGGCCGTCCTGGGCAGCATCCGTGTGGGCCTGCATGCCGCGGGGGGCCTCTGCACGCTGGTGCTCACCTTCATGGCCGGGCTGAGCTGGGCCGCAGAGAAGGTGAGTGCGTCCACGGCCCTATAGGAAGAGATTCCGACGCTGGCGTCTCGGAGAGCAGAGCCCGCCAGGTGTGGCGCCGTCCCCGTCGGGCCTTGTTCTTCCCAAGCCTGACTGGTGCCTGCATTGTTCATTGGCTGAAAGTTTAATTCTGAAATGCATGAGGACACGCTCAGGGACAGGGATGAGAGTAAGGCCACAGGAAGGTCTGCTGAGGAATCAGATGTGCAGGGTCAGGGCTCAAGAGAGGGCCGTGGTCAGGGCTGTGGTCAGGACTGTGGGAGCAGCCTTGGGGCCTTGCACTGACCGCCCCCGCCCCGGGCCTGCTGAGCCACTTATTGCTGGTAATGGTCCCCAGGACCCCTCCATCAGCCGCTGGCCTCGCTAGTGTCCCTGCTGGCCACTGCGGGCAGCATCTCTGTGGCCGTGCTGCTCGCATCTGTGCCTCCTCCGTGTCCTGCTGGGGAAAGTGCTCTGAGGAACTTCTGTCTTGAATGACTGTCACCCAGTTGTCCCTTTAAATTGCACAGTGGGGGTGAAGGGTGGTTTGTGGGTCCCACCTGGAGGTGCTCAGGAACTACTCATGGTGTCTGGGGGTCCGTGTGGTGCCGGGTATGAAGCCGGGGCCTTGTCACGCGGAGCCCTCAGCCTTCTCCCTGGCCCCCAAATGTGTTTCTTTTTTTTTTTCTTTTTGTGTTTTTCGTTTTTGTTTTTGGACCACACCTGGTGGTGCTAAAGGCTTACTCCTGGTTCTGGACTCAAGAATTACTCCTAGTGACCTCGGGACCTTGTGGGATGCGGGGGATCAAACCCAGGTCCACTGCATGAAATCAAACACGCTTCTTATTTGTTCTCTGCCAGCTGTTTAGGTGAGTCCTACGTAGTTCTAGAAGAGTATTTCAAGTTAGTATTGTGCAAATGCTACGTAGTGGTTGCTCATCCACAGTGAACCTTGATGATATCACTGAGGAACTCTCTGGGCGAGGAACTGTGACCCTCTGTCATTATTTACATTTATACTTCTCTGGTAGGGATAGTTTTTCTTTTACTACCAGCTCACATTCCTTGCCCAGTTTTAATTGATTTATTTGCCCTTTTTGTTTCTGATTTCTAGAGTTTCACTATGTTAGGACCAGTATTCTTGTTATGTATGTATTACATATAAAATTTACTCATCATCAGCTTTATGATATCTCTCATGTGGAAATAAAATTTTGCATAGTCGAACCATCAAGGTTATTTTATTTATTTTTTTTTACTTTATTTAAATACCGTGGTTTACAAAGCTATTCATGATATCATTGTTTTGGGCATTCCATGTTCCAACCCCAGTCCCACTGCCCAGAGTGGCCTTCCCTCCACCACTGTCCCCAGTTTCCCACCCACCCTTGAGCCTGCGCCCCCTAGCTAGGCACACAATAATTTATTTTATATTGCTTGTTACAACATAGTGACCAACGGAATTGTAAAAAGTAGCTCAGTAAGAGAAAACTTGTAAAAATGGTTCTATCTCCCCTTGGGTCCTGAGGTCCTGGACCGAGGTCACCGGGCCGTTTGTTGCTAGCTGAGCCTTCCGAGGGTCACCGGGCCATTTGTTGCTAGCTGAGCCTTCCGAGGGTCACCGGGCCATTTGTTGCTAGCTGAGCCTTCCGAGGGTCACTGGGCCATTTGTTGCTAGCTGAGCCTTCCGAGGGTCACTGGGCTGTTTGTTGCTAGCTGAGCCTCCATGGTACTGTTTCTGTCTGTTGAGTTGAGTTGGCTCCTGTGCTGCTTTCCCGCCTGACGTGCTGTGATCCTCTAGGGGAGTCAGTCTTGTGGGAACTCGAGGTGTGAGAAAGGTCGGGGTCTGTGGAGCTGAGCGTGGCCGCTGGGTGGAAGGAGCCCCCCGCTCCACTCCGAGAGGACCCCAGAGTTCCCAGCCTGAAAACCCATGTGCCTAGAATGTTTGCGGTTGGGCATCTCCACAGAGATGAGTCTTGAATCAGTGGAGTTGGGCCACAGTCACCGTTGCTGCGGCTGGCAAGGGGGTGGTGGATAAGGGGGGGTCTCCCTCCCTTGGACACCCCAGAGTTCTCAGCTGGAGTTTCCAGGCTGTGGGGCAGGGGCGGAACCATCCGGGAGATTTTTGATATGTTTTAAAAATTACTTCTTCCCCCGAGATAATAAAACGATGAATAATTTCCCCACATAATTATCAAACACTCGGTAGTTTTTTGCCGATTTGGTTTTCTCTCGTGTGTGTGCAGCTCCTTTTGTGCGTGACAGTGTGACCAGCTCAGTGGCAGAGGCTTTCCCTGCACGTGTGTGGTCCCGGGTCCCACCCCCAACACCTCACACAAAACGAGACAAAGATCCAGACGCGCGTGTGCGTTTATGCTCAGGCGCGTGGCACGACCTGGGCTAGCGGGGTCTGCTCTTCCCTTCCTCCACAGCCTCCTTGGAGTGTCAGTGAGTGTTCTCTGACGCCTCGACTAGCACACAGCTTCCCCGACTGTAGGAGGCTGAGTGTGGGGGCACTCCTCACCATAATCTCTAGTAGATGAATTTTAGAATCAGCGCAAGAAGGTCCCGGCCCCAAAAATCTCATCCGTATTTTGTTTAGTGGCCAGTGAAATAATAATTGTAAAGTAAGTATAAAAACAAGCATTGCCAAGTAGGTAAAGAAGAGAGAAACCAATGAAACCAAACAGTAAGCAGAAGTGTTTTCTTTTCTTTTCTTTTCTTTTTTTTATTAAAAATGTGGTATGATGTGCTCTGAAGATCAGGCAGCATTACCATTTTTTCCTTTTTCAATCTTGTATCTGTCAAGTAGCGGCCAAGCAGGTAGCCACCTTGAGGGCAGTGTGGCTTCCACACGGAGAGCTGGGCGTGCAGTGGCCGGGACGGTCAGCCACAGGCCTCCTCACTCCCAGGGATGGCCTGGTGGGGCAGAGGGGCTCATTCGCAGGGGTGAGGCTGCTGGCACTTCAGGGTGAAGCCCTACGCCCTGTACTGTCTCTGGCCCGCGGTTCAGTTTTCCTTAATAGACAGTAACGGGAGCCACCTGTTCCCTCAGACCTGCCAGGAGTGATCCCTGAGTGCAGAGCCAGGAGGAAGCCCTGAGTACCACCAGGTGTAGCCCCAAGAAACAAAACAAAAATAATAGGAGATTGTTAGAAAAGATGAAGTCATGAAATTTACATACAAGTGGTACTACATGGAAAGTATCATGCTAAGCGAAATGAGTCAGAAAGAGAGGGACAGACATAGAATCTAGATTGCATTCATCTGGGGAACATAAAGTAGCAAAATAGGAGACCAACACCCAAGAATAGCTGAGATTAGTACCAGGAGGTTCACTCAATGGTTTGGAGGCCAGCCACACATGCTAGGGGAAAAGGCAGCTCAGATAGAGAAGGGAGCACCAAATAAAGGGTGTTGGGAGGATCCTCCCAGGATGGGAGAAGCATGCTGAAAGTAGACTATAGACCGAACATGATTGCCACTCAATGCCTCTTTTGCGAACCACAGCACCCAAAAGGAGAAAGAGAACAAAAGGGAATGTCCTGCCACAGAGGCAGGGTGGGATGGGAGGATGGGGGGTGGGAGGGATACTGGGATCAGTGGTGGTGGGAAATGGGCACTGGTGGAGGAATGGGGAAAAAAGAAAAGAAAAGAATGGCAGATATTCCCCAGAGTTCCTTCAGGAGCAAGTGCGACACTCTCATCAGAACTTCTTCCTGGGAGCTTTGGAACCCTGAGGCTGTGCTGGGGGGGGGGGGGGGAGGAAGCCATCATTAGTAGAGGCCTTCCCATGGCCCCTGAGAGCTGGGGGGCGGGGGGAGGGGGCTGGAGTCTCTGCCTAGCCCAACCCCTTACGCAAGCACAACCAAGTGGGCCAGTGCCGCTTGACTGTGTAGCCATGTCAGTTTCTCCCCATCCAAATCTAGGAACCGTCTTCGAGTGACGTCGTCCACCTACTGCATCACCCACCTCGGCTTCGCTTTTTCCCTGCGAGTCAGACGCCTTTGGGTTCCGACTGAGTTTCCGAGGGCCCGGCCCCGTGTGCTGCGGTAACTGAGAACGGCTCTCTCCCGCAGGTCAGCGTCCAGCACGTGATCGCTGTTGCCTGGGATGTTTTCCAACCCCTTCTCTTTGGCTTGGTTGGATCAGAAATCAATGTTTCAGCTCTAGAGACAAATGCTCTTGGTAAGAATAATTAGAGCCATAAGAATGCAACCTTTTTGAAAATTTGAGAAGAGACGAATGGTTTTCATTTTTATCTGCGGCATGCCTGAGGAACTCGGCTTGCTCCGGGAACATCTGTTTGCTCGTAACCAAAGACGTCCCCGAATAGTTCCTCCTCAGGCCCCAGGAAGTTGGGAAATGTTAGCTGCATCAGCACCTTTTCAATATTCCCACGTACAGTTCAGAGCTCAAAGCTGATTAGCCTAGAATTGAATAAATGCCGTATGTCCTGTTTTTCATGATTGCCACCACCATCAGATAATCTCCTATTTAGTGACTTGGTCACATTTACATTTTTATGAATGTTATTTTTATTTACTGAAGACTCCGTTTCAAAGTAAATATACAAAGAAGTATGGGGCTGGAGAGAGTACAGCGGGTAGGACTCTTGCCGTGCACGTGACTGCCCTGGGTCCGATCCCCGGCATCCCACATGGTCCCCTGAGCACCGCCAGGAGTAACTCCTGAGTGCACAGTCAGGAGTAAGCCTTGAGCAATGTCAGGTGTGGCCCAAAAACAAAGCAAAAAGACATAAATAGGTAATGGCCTTGAAATGCTTTGAATGCTTCTACAAACCCTGTCTGGAGGCATAAGGAGCCATTTCCTCCCAAATATTTGGTCATATGAATATGTGTTTATTCCACTGTAGGCACAGCTGTTGCTACTGTAATTTTGGCAGTATCGGCTCGAGTTTTCTTCACATTTTTATTGATGAGTTTTGCTGGTTTTAATATTAAGGAGAAATTATTCATTGCTTTAGCATGGCTTCCGAAAGCTACAGTCCAGGTAAGAACATACCAAGTCATTCTAAACAGCTTTAACGTTGATGGTTTTAAAAAATCTAATGGGGAGGCGGAGCATTAATACAGCGGGGAGGGTGCTTGCCTTGCATGCAGCTGACTCAGCTTCCTACAGTGGCATCTTGTATGGTCCCCTGAGCCCCGCTAGTGATCCCTGAGCACAGAGCCAGGAGTAAGTCCTAAGCACCACTGATGTGGCCCCAAAACAAAGAAAAAAAATTTTTTTGCTTTTTGGGTCACACCTGGAAATGCACAGGGGTTTCTCCTGGCTCTGAACTCAGGAATCACTCCTGGCGGTGCTCGGGAGACCATATGGGATGCTGGGAATCGAACCCAGGTCGGCTGTGTGCAAGGCAAATGCCCTACCCACTGTGCTATTGCCCTAGCCCCAAACAAAGAAAAATTCTAAATGAAAAATGTTATTCCTATCACAGGATTTTAGCTAATGCTTGTTAAGACGGTGATTAATCATAACAACTTTATAACTTAGGTAGTCACTCAGAAATCTATTTTAAAACATTCTGTGATTGAAAGTATAATTTTAATGACAAATACTACCTAAATTTATTTTTTTTAATTTCTTTTGCATAAAATATTAAAAAGTATACACCTGCAAATTTTAATTACTTAATTTTGCAAAATATTATACAACTAAATCTTACAACTTAAAGTAGAAACACAGGAACCAGAGGTAGCGCAGCAGCCCGGACATTTGCCTCACGTAGAGCCTGCCCACGTTGGCCTGCGGCATCCCACAGCATCCTCCAGACCCAGCCAGCAGTGCTCCTTGAGTACAGAGGCAGGACTGAGCTCTGAGCACCACCAGGAGGGGCCCCAAAAAAGCAAACCAAAGCAAACAAGTCAATAAATAAAAGTAGAAGCACATTGATCTTGATAAAATATATCTTCACCCTCTACCACCCACTGCCACCAGGAGTGCTCGCAGGCTGGTCCCTGGCCCTGACGGTCGATGTCCACCTGGGCTGTCTGGGGGTACAGTACCAGCTGCAGGACAGGCCCTGGCATTGGGTAAGTGCCGGAGCCTTATAAGGACTTTGGGACGATGGAGCGAGTGAGTGGACAGTGATTGGCCCTCTGGGTCAGTCGCATTCTTCAACCGAAAGGTCTTGGCAGGCCCCAGGGTGCGGCCACTCCAGAGAGCACACAGTGCTCCGTGAGGTGCTGCTCTCAGGTTCAGCCCCAGAAAAGGAAAGAAATGACCGATGATTTCCACAGGCTGGAGAGATAACCCAAGGGCTGGAGCAAATGTCTGGCAGAGACTCCGGGTTTTATTCCTGGAACCACAGGGTGTAACCCTGGTAAAAATAGTTGTTGTTCTTCTTCTTCTTGAATTTAATTTTTTGAATGGAAGCAAAGGTTCGGGGCTGTATCTCAGCAGTGGACATCTGCCGTGTGTGTGTGTGTGGCTCTGGGTTCCACCCCAGAACCACACACACAAAGAAAAAGAAGGTTGTTTTAATACTTAAAACTGCTTAATCGGGGCTGGAGTGAGAGCACAGCAGGTAGGGCGTTTGCCTTGCACGTGGCCGACCCAGGTTCGATTCCCAGCATCCCATATGGTCCCCTGAGCACCTCCAGGAGAAATTCCTGAGTGCATGAGCCAGGAATAGCCCCTGTGCATCCTGGGTGTGACCCCCCCCCCAAAAAAAAGAAAAAAAAAACTGCTTAATCTGGTTCTGATTCCCTGAAATTCTTTTCTCTGTTGTTATTGTGAGTTTCCATGCAACAAAATTTCTGCAGCATCAGGGCCGGAGAGTCATAGAACAGGGAGGGCGCTTTGCCTCACGTGCATGCAGCCCAGGCTCGGACCCCGCATCCCATTCAGTCCCCCGAGCGCTGCCAGGAGTCAGTCCTGAGCATCTCCAGGTGTGGCCCAAAAACCGTGACCGTGTGTGTGTGTGTATGTGTGTGTGTGTGTGTGTGTGTGTGTGTGTCCCGCAGCTTATTTCTGGGTTGTTCTCACGAATAGTTAATATAGTTGGGAGAGCAGGGCCCCAGGCGGCTCTTCCTTGAAGCCACAGGCTGGTCACCCTGAATTGCTGGGCTGCATGGACACTCCACTTGCCAGTGTGTTTTTTCTCTGCTGCCTGTGTTGGTGGCCGTGGGGCATGTCCTGGTCTCCCCTCCCCTGACCCCGTGGCACCCACTGGGCTCACTGTGGTGTTCTCCGTCTGATTCACGGAGTGGCGGCCACCCTTTGCTCCGCCTCCGGTCAGTGGTCAGCGTGGTGGGTCACAGCGTCTGTGCTCGTGGCCCCTGTCCCCTGGACCGGCCGAGGCGCATCATTCACTACTGACACAGATGGAGCCACACCACTGCCAGCGGCCAGGGCGTGGCAGAAACCGCTTAGACCCACAAATGATTTTAAAGTGCCAATCCAGCCAGGATGCTGTGGCTTCATCTACTCCTCCTTTCCTGCCTGCTGAAGCGGTGCTGGTTTTGCTTCAGTCCTTTCTCCTCTTCCTCTGTATAACAGTTCTGATGAAAATTAAGACGGAACAGAGAAGATAGAAAGAGGAGAACTAAAGAATTCAGTTCACAAATATTTTAAGGCCCGTTTGCTGACTGGCTTTTCCTAAAGGAAGAGTCACAGGAGCTGCAGAGCTCGGACAAAGACAAAGGTGCTGTGCTGGGGGTGTGCTCCTGGCTTGACCTCCAGCACCATGTGTGGTCCCCCAAGCACCACCGAGTGTGGCCACGCCCCCCAAAGAAAATGAATCATCAATTCGTTAGGTGGAAGTTCTTTGTCACCTATTAAGAGTGCCCAGGGGCTGGAGCAATAGCACAGCAGGTAGGGCGTTTGCCTTACACACAGCCAACGTGGCCGATCCAGGTTCGATTCCCAGCATCCCATATGGTCCGCCGAGCACTGCCAGGAGTAATTCCTGAGTGCATGAGCCAGGAGTAACCCCTGAGCATCACCGGGTGTGACCCAAAAAGAAAGAAAAAAAAAAAGAGTGCCCACATAACATCATGGGCTTGCCCTGAGTAGTTATTGAGTTAAGGACTAGTCCTTATTAAAATTTCCAGGAAGGTGCTTGCCATAGGACAAATGCTATCAAAGTATATAAATATTATTGTTGTGAGCGTCCTTGTTATCACATGAGCATCTGTTACAAGTCCTTGTGCTTTGGGTTTGGTTTTGTTCTGTTTTTATAGTTTTTTAGGCTTGTTGGAGTTGGTTTTCTGCCTGGCGTCTTTTCCTCCCCAGCCTCTAGTGTATTATTAGTTTGTGCTCACAAAAAGTTGTCCACATAAGAACTACACCAGTTTTAATCTCTGATTACCTTAAATTGAGGAATTCCTGGGTCAGAATGTCACTTGTCAGAAGTAATATTTCCACCCCTTGTGCCATTATTCTTCAACCCCTTAGACGATAAAGCATTTTTGTTGTTGTGTTGTTGTTGTTGTTTAATTGCTAAACAACTAAATTTCATGCTTGGATTTACTAAATACAAGGAACGAAGATCAGCGTGAAATTTCCCTTACGAAATCAGCAATAAAAACCTGCTAGGAGGTCCCTAGAGGGAAATGCAACCGCTAGGGCTTTCCTGGGGGTCCCTTCCCTGGCAGCCAGGGGTCTGCAGGAAGCAGGGAGCCCTCGACCCCCTCCCAACGGGTCTGGCCTGTTGTGTCCTGGTCTTCAGGGGAGTCACTAGGAACCTGGAGGCTTGAGTGGGTCGAGGGGCTCCCACACAAAGGCACCAAGAGCTTGCCGGTGGCCAGGGCTGTCACCAGCCTTGCAGCCTCTTCCCTCAGATCCGCGGAAGCGCCATTGTTAGTGCTGGCGGGTCATAGCCAGCCCATCGGGGCCTCCCCAGCTCAGGCTCCTCGCTCGGTGCTCATCTGGTGCTAGTGTTGGCTGAGTTGGTCAGAGCCTGGCGTGTTCACTCCCTTCCTGATGGCTCGTCCTTCCCCCCACTTGCAGGCTGTGCTGGGTCCCCTGGCCTACGAGACCGTGAGGGCCATCAACAAGTTCGAGCTGGAGCAGTACTCCAAGGACGTAATGACCGTGGCCTTCCTGGCCATCCTGATCACGGCTCCCAACGGGGCACTCATCATCGGCATCCTGGGGCCCAAAGTGCTCACACGCCATGACCCACGCGACTTCAAGGGAGAGCTGATGACCGTATTGCACCATTAAAATGTTTATTTTCTATCACCTGGCTGCTGCTTTTAATGAGTTATCCTACGGGAGAAAACACCAGAGGGCCAGGCCGTGAGGCGCCTGCCTGAGGACCCAGGACTGAGTAGCTGCTTGAGCTCCCGGGGGTCCCCGGGCCATGACACCCCAATGTTGGCTCAGTAGGAACTGCAGCATGCCCAGCGTCTCCCTGGTCAGGAGCACAGCGGAGCTGCAAGTCCCCGCCAGACCTCACAGCCATTCAGCCAGAGCATGAACGGGCCAGGTGAGTGCGTGCAGAGGGCAGAGGTTGCCTTCTCGTGGGACGCCCTGGCTGCGGGGTGATTTGCTGGGAAGTGAAGGGGGTTCAGCACTAGCTTGCAGCATTCAGCTAGCACAACGCTAGGCTCTGGGTGGAGGGACCATCTGAACAGGCTCCGTGCTCAGCAACTAAATGTGGGCTCCTTCTGGCACAGCTCAGCCTAGGAGGCTGTCCATGCAGTGTCTGTCGTTTCATTAATGTGGTTACAGCGGCATTAATGTTTATGGGGTGTTTTTAGCACTCATGCCTAGTTTTGAAGTATATTTTCTGCACCTTCACCACCTCCATTGCCCCAGACCCTCCCACCCCTCACCATCCTGTCACTTGTAGTCTGTCTCCCTACCTGCTTTTAGTAGCACTGTAGCACTGTCCTCCTGTTGTTCATCGATTTGCTCTAGCAGGCACCAGTAACATCTCCATTGTGAGAATTGTTGTTACTGTGTTTGGCATATCGAATACGCCACAGGGAGCTTGCCAGGCTCTGTCATGTGGGCGAGATACTCTCGGTAGCTTGCCGGGCTCTCCGAGAGGGGCGGAGGAATCGAACCCCGGTTGGCCACATGCAAGGCCCTAACCACTGTGCTATCGCTCTTTCTCCCCCGGGCCCTCTTCCCCATTTTAGTAGTTTTGAGTGAAATGCTCTCTGTTGTATTTATTTGCAGAAACAGAGTTAAATCAGAAATGGAAAGAAGCTCATTATAAATTAGTATAAATTAGGTACGACTTATGCCAACATGCAGAAATGCAGGATTGAGGAGTTCTTTTCCTTAGTAATAGAGTCTGTCACTGTCCTCCCGTTGTTCATCGATTTGCTCGAGCGGGCCCAGTAACGTCTTCATTGTGACAATTGTTATTGTGTTTGGCGTATCAAATATGTCACGGTTAGCTGGCCAGGCTTTCCCCTGCAGGCAAGATACTCTCAGTAGCTTGCCGGGCTCTCCGAGAGGGGCGAAGGAATCGAACTCAGGTCAGCGATGTTGGCCGCTTGCAAGGCAAACACCCTACTGCTATGCTATCGCTCCAGCCCAATAACAGAGTAATATCTGACAATAGAATCTGCCATTAGCAGTGCAGTTTCGGTTGATGTATTGATTGCAAGTCCCTTGAATAGCATTGGTCAACGGCCTCTTAGAAACCATTTGAACTTCTTCAGCAAAGTCCAAATATGGGAACTGGACATGAGTCTGATCTCACAGCTTCCCTCTTCTGCACAAGCCAGGTATGAAAATACAAGGCAGGAGAAAATTTATCCACGGTTGTACAAAGTCAAACAGTATGCTTCAGAGTCCTCTATTCCACTCAGATTGGGCCCTCGGCAACACCGAACCATGCAGGGACTGGAACTGTCTCACAGTGGGGAGGGCGGGCATTTGCCTCATACCCGGCAGATGCAAGTTCCATCCCAAGTGTCCAGTGTGGTCCCCAGAGCCTGCCAGGAGTAATTCGCAAGCGCAGATGCAGGAGCAAGCCCTGAGCATCACCGGGTAAGAATGGCCCTACAAACGAACGAACAAAAATAAAACCACACACATGGTCCCAACTGCCGGCACCCAGGGAGGGGGTAAGATCTGTCACGGCAGCACTTCTTGCCTCAGCACTAGGGTCCCCCTGTTTTAGACCACACCAATGTGTTCCTAAGTCATGAGGACTTGCCATTTTCACTGACAAGGAGATGAAAACATACATTTGCAAAACAGTAGTCTATACTTACAAGAGCGTAGGTTTTTGAATAGAAGTTGATCTTCGGTGGCTGGAGCAATAGCACAGTGGGTAAGGCGTTTGCCTTGCACGCGGCCGACCCAGGTTTGATTCCCAGCATCCCATGTGGTCCCCCAAGCACCGCCAGGAGTCATTCCTGAGTGCATGAGCCAGGAGTGACACACACACACACACACACACACACACACACACACACACACACACACACGTTGATCTTCATTTTCAAAAAAATAATAAATAATTTGAGAAATTTTGGAGGCCAAAGATGTAGTCCAACAGGCAGCGGCCATCGCGCCCATGGCCAGCCTGGGGTCATCCCCGCACCCCATGTGGTCTGTGCCAGGAGTGAGCCCTGACCCTGATCGCCATCAGTGTGGCCTTGGAGCTAGATCACAGGGTGTCCCCAGTGTCCCCCACCTGCAGAGGCTACTGGGAACTCTCAGGAGGGGCTGCAGATCACGGGGTCCCGGCTTGTCCCTTTTCCAGGGCACCAAAGTGGGGCAGCTGCACACTACTGCTCACTCAACATGCTCCTCTGAGTCAGCTCTGTATGTGTGTGTGTGTGTGTATAGATGTGTGCGTATAGATGTGTGTGTATGTGAGTGTAAATGTGTGAGTGTATATGTGTGAATGTGTGTATAAGTATGTGTATATGTGTGTGGATGTAAATATGTGTGTGGGGAGGGGGCCCTTTCCACCAGCTGGAAGGGTTCCGTGCTGCACGGGGGCCGCCTGCATCTGAGCCCAGGCTCGGATCTCTTTCCTTGCTCTTGTCTGCTGTTTCTTTCCCTGTCCCAGTTCTCCTTAAAACTGTACCACCCGAGGAAGCTGGATCGATAGCACAGCGGGGGGGGGGGGGGGGGGGGGGGGGGGACACATTTGCCTTGCACGCAGCCGACCCGGGTTCAATTCCCAGCATCCCATATGGTCTCCGAGCACCACCCGTAGTAATTCCTGAGTGCATGAGTCAGGAGTGACCCCTTGTGCATTGCCGGGTGTGACCCAAAGAGAAAAAGAAAAAAACTACTACCACCCGAAATGACTTTGCTTTTCAGTTTGGACCCTGGATGGCTCATGGTGGTGCTGGGGTGGAAGGTGCCGCACACAGAGCGTGTTGGGTCTCCTGAGCCATCTCCCCGGCAGTTTGTCCTTAAAGACTCTCAGGCTTTGCTGAGTAACCTCAGGGATGCGTAAACAGCCTCTTTCAACTACTTTCACCGTGAGCCGTCTTAGGAGACACCTACCCTAGCATCTATTGACACAGGCTTGCTCTTCTCGGATTCATTTACGTAATGAGTCGTGGTAGTGGATTTGCTGGAGCAGACACGTGACTTCCTCTTTGGTTCCTGCCCAGGGTCCTGGTGCTGTTTTGCTTTTAGAAATTTTCTGCAGGCAGTATGAGGTTGGTGTGTGATTGGTTGACTTGTACTTCTCAGAGTCACAGTCATATTGTACTGGTGTATATGATGGATTGGGGAGCATTTCTTACATTTAAAAAGAAGAAATAACTTCAGTATCATTACAATTATCTTTCTCGCAGCCCTAGTAATTTTAAAGTTACTTAAAAAAAAAAATAGACTTTTCCAGGCCAGAGAGGCAGCTCAGTGGGTTGAATGCATGCTTTGCATGTGGAGGCCCAGGTCTGATCATCAACACATGTGGTTCCCTGAGCACAGAACTGGGAGTAGCCTCAGGCACTGTACATGTGGCCCCAAAATAAAAACAAGAAATTCACATCTTATGGAGGAGGGAGCTCACCTTGCATCCTGCTGACCCGTGTTCAATCCCCAGCACCCCTCAAGGTCCCCAAGCACCACCAGGAGTAATTCCTGAGTGCAGAGCCAGGGATGACCCCTGAGCATTGCCAGGTTTTGCCCCAAAACAAAAAGAAATTCACTTTTCTATTCTTGATAATTGGTCTGCTAACATTTACGATTTCATCTTGAATCACTTTTGGTGTTCTATGCTCTTACAGGGAATTATACATTTCCTCTATATTTTCCTATCAACTGTTGACCCATAGCTGCATAAATATTTCGAAGTCAACATTGGTTTCATCCCTTTTCACTTCTCATCAGTGTTCATCATAAGTTGAAGCTGGGTCCGGGCTTTGAGTTTCTTAAGTACACTGATGGAGTGCTCTCAAGTCACTCGTGAGTGTGAGACGCAGAAGAATATATAATGGACACAAATGAGAATTTATAGGGAATTTCAGCAGTGGCGAATTAGTCATTGACATTTGAGTTTCCTCAGTAGTATAGGGTTCATCTCTGTAATCATGGTTACGTAACTGTGCCCTTTCTCCCTCTCCATTAGTCTGAAATCTCCTCTCTACTCATAGGGATGAGGGTCACTGACTGTTGGTGCTGCATTCAACACACGGGAATAGTTGAGAGGCTCAAGCACTCAAGATTCACGAAAAGGGGAGGGGATGCGTGTCCTTGGAAGGCTCTGGAAGTCTGTCCGTGTCCCTGAGACCCACACTAACGGGGAACTGCCCCATCACTGCTGGTGAACACGGTTTCTCTGCTCTCCCATGGAAAGAGCATTTGCCACCCCACAGCCGGCCTACATTCCTGCAAAAGATCAGAGCAGTCGACTTCGGACGTCATCAATATGCTGCTTGTTCACAGTGTGAGAGCCTTAGGCACTGCAGCGAGGCAGCCTCCGGGGCCCAGCAGGCACTGCCCTGGCTCCGGGTTGCAGCACACAGCCTCCGGCCCGCCCACCTGACCTTGCGGCGTCTTAGCTGCCATCAGGAGGCAAGTCACTGCCGTTCAACCTTAGAAACATCCAACTGAGCAGAACCTGCTGGGATCAGCCTCTGCCTGGGCCAGCAGGGGAGCCAGACTCAGGGCTGACTCTGGTCCGGTCACCGGCCCTCCAAGATACTAAACTGTCAGGCGGGACCCTTGAGCCATCCTGAGGCCACATGAACTAAGTGCTGCACCACGGTGTCTGGCTATCGGCACTAAGCCTCGACCTGCCCAGAACATGCCCTAGGGATAGCAGCCGCCTGTCCAGTCCTGACGAAGAGTCGGCTCAGCCTCGCAGTCCACCTGCTTGCCAGCCCCCGGCTGCTGTCTGCCCGTGTGCCCCGGCCATGCCGAAGTGCCTAAGCATCACCCCGGGAGCGTCTCCTCCCAGGTTGTCACAGCCCCAGTGAGAGCAGCTGGGGTGTCGCTGTGAGAGGCCATGAGAGGCCGGCCCGCCTGTCAGCTTTCCCAGACCAGTTCACGCATGCGGAAGTCAGAGCATGGAACTGCACAGCACCTGCTCCAGGGAACTGTGATGGGCCCGGCCTGGCTGAGCACCTGGAGGCATCGGGGCCAGGACCCTGCAGTTGATGCAGTGCTGGGAGAATGGGTCACACCCCGCATCAGCACCTGGCAGTTAGACTCCACCTATGTGTTTTAGGGAAAGACAGGGCTGTGTGAGGTGAGGGAGAGTCACAGGCACAGGCAGCCGAGCACTGAGGGGGGAGCACACCGGAGGACACGTGGGCCCTGGGGTGTCAGGGCTCTCCTGGGCGGCCTGCGGCTTGGCTAGGCTGTGCTGGTGACGACCCTGGTGGTGTCGCTGGTCCCCTCCCCTAGGGCCAGTGCCAGGCATTCCCCTCCCCTCCCGGCCCCCCTGTGCCTGTACTGGCAGAGCAGCTGCTGGCCTGAAGCACCCGCACACCCCGTGTCTAACCGCCAGGAACTACCATGACAGTCAGTGAGGCGGAAAGTACTCTGGGGTGTTAAAGTGACTTTCTGTAACTGATCTTCAAACTTAGCCTCCAAAGCTCACCCACCTGAGCCTCCACAGAGGGAAACGTTTCCCTTTCAAGGCCCGAGAGCACTGCAGAGCCCGGCATGGCACTGGCCCCGGCCACACAGCACTCACCCCTCCGGGGGTCTGTACAGAAAACTGGAAACGTGGATGACCTGACGACCTCAAAGCTGGACAAAGGACATCGAAGAAGGAGGAGTGCCACCATCTGCGCTGGCCACGAGGAAGCCGGGGGCAACGTTTGGACCCAACCGAGTCTGATTCGGCGGGAGCGCACATGTGGCCTGGGGGACTCGGGACCATGTAGGGGCCGGGACCCATCTCTGTGTACGCAAGGTGAGTCTTCAGCTGCTGCACGGTGGCTCCAGCCCCAGGGCCTTCACCTTCAAATCCCACCACAGAAGGTCAGGCCCCAGTCTGAGAGGTTGGTCGGGCCGTGCCCCTTGCAAGGGCCAGTCCCCCAGCACACCTGGGGGAGGGAGTCAGGTGACACCGCAGACCCCCCTTCTGTACTCTGCACTGTTTTTCTGCACAGGCGCACCCCTGAACGCTGAGCAGTGTCCCCAGCAGTCACAGCTCCATGATGCAGGTGGCTTCCCGCCCCCAGCCGGCGTCAGGGAGCTCAGGACCCCACACACAGGCCAGCCCTGAGCAACATCAACAACTGTTTCTGTGGGGGACTTTCATAACCTGTTCACATTTCCTCTGAAATCAGGATATCCATTTTATGGGATATTCGTCTCTGCTAGTGCAGAGTGTATTTCTCTGAGAACTCATGTAATTCTTGAGGGCAGTATTTCCCTTACTGGAAGGCCAAAAGAGGAAACATCCCTTCGGAATGATCACGTCGGGTGAGAGCCAGAGCACAGCAGGTGGAGCGCTTGCCTTGCATGCAGGCGACCTGGGTTCGAGCCCCGACATCCCATAGGGTTCCCCCAGCTTGCCAGAAAGGGATCCCTGAAGACAGAGCCAGGAGTAAGCCCTGAGCACCACTGGATGTGAGTCCCCCCCACCATAAAAGAAAAAGAAAGAAAAAGATTACACCTGAACTCAAAGATGCTGTATCTGAGAGCGTAGGGAGAACAACATGAGGTTCTGTCCAAAAGCCCGGTACTCAGACTGCTTTGGATCTGTTGGTTTTATTGCAGGAAGGTCTACTAATTCTTTGACGGGAGAATAAAAGAGTGCACAATTCAATTTCTATATAAAGGACTAGTTGAATATACAAATTATCAAATATAAACAGTAGTGTAGCAAGAAAATAAACGGGCAGAATTAACTATTACCCAGTAGCAATAATTAAGACGGCCTCGGGAAAGCCCACGGGAAAGCTCTGGTGCTCGGAAGGGGCGGCCGGGGGTGTGGGCGCTCCCCAGCACCCCGCTCAGCGAGGCCTCCTCTTCTTCCAGGATACGCAGGCCCACTTGGTGCCTGCTCGTCGGCTATACCTCCTTCTTCTTCAGGATCAGCGGGCCCACGTTGTCGCCCGTCAGCTCATTGTGCTTGTTGTGTGACCCATCACAGGCAGGAAACTGGGGACGAAGAAGCATCACAGTGTCATTTTACAAACCGTTTCCGCGAGGGGCTTAGCACTCCCCACCCAACAAAATTCCCTCTTAGGTGATGACAGTTGAATCTCAGCATCTTAGTTTCCTCTGCATTTTGCTCTGCATATCACTTTTATTAGCCAAATTTGGATCATCCTTTAAAATGCTTTCCTTTTATTACATTACATCATACTCTCGTGTGCTGAACTCGTTCTTAGAAACATGAAGTCAGGGTTGTCCGTGGGAGGTGTTCAGCCCCACGGCTGTGCCCAGGTGGGCCTCGCACGGTGTGCTGGAGTCAAACCCGGGGCCTCCCCCATGAAGGCTCACTCTCCAGCCCTTCGGGCCATCTTCCCGGCCCCTCAGAATATGGTCTGGACCGGCACCCTGTACCTTACCACACTCAGTAGCCCTGCCAGAAGCCTTGGCTGTCTCTTAGATCTGCGGTAACAAAAGGCATGTCGAACTGTGCAGCACTGAGAACCCAAGCAACCTAGCCTAAAGAAAGCAGGTTTCGGGGCAGGAGCTATAGCACACTGGGGGAAGGGCATCTGCCTTGCACACGGCCGACCTGGGTTCGATCACCAGCATCCCATAGGGTACCCCCCAACACCGCCAGGAGTAACTCCTGAGCACAGAGCCAAGAGTAACCCCTGAGCATCGCCGGGTGTGACACAAAAAACAAAAGAAGGGCTGGAGCGATAGCACAGTGGGCAGAGCGTTTGCCTCGCATGCGGCCGACCCAGGTTCAATACCCAGCATCCCATATGGTCCCCTGAGCTCTGCCAGGAGTAATTCCTGAGGGCACGAGCCAGGAGTAACCCCTGTGCATTGCTGGGTGTGACCCAGAATGCAGAAGAAAAAAGCAGATTTCGTCAGTAATTTAGCATAGTTGTCACTTCAAAGTCCTCCTTTTTAGCTAGCCACATTAAGAGCCATTCACAGGAGCTGGAGAGTACAGAGGGAAGGGCCCTTGCCTCGCATGCAGCTGGGCTGGGTCTGACCCCCAAAACCCACACCTAGTGTTACACAGGGATTTTCCCCCAAGCCTGTCAGGAAAATCCCTGTGTAACACTAGGTGTGGCCCCCAAATTGAAAACCCCAAAAGTCTTAATTATAGTTGCCACGTACTGGCTCATACCTACATTCTGTGCAAACCTCACTTCACCAAATCCTCAAAACTGTCTGGCTACTGGTGGCTGCTGGTACATTATCTGCTTTCTAAAAACTCATCTCAGAGACTGAAAATTAGGTAAATTACTCCCCAAGTCATTGTAGGTGTCAGATTTGAACAGTTGATCTTTTTTTCTTTTTAATTGCATCACTGTGTGGTCCACAGTTAGGAAGAAGTGCACATAGCTGATTCTCACTCAGAAGCTTCGGCAGCTTTCCACGGAGCTGGACACCCTGTCTCGAAACAGGAATGCCCGAGACATGCCCCTCACTGCCCTCTCGGGCCAGCAGCAGGTGGGGACGTGGGCGGGCGGGCGCCACCTTACCGTCTTGGATCGCCAGCACCGGCAGTACGCAGCCTTGGCGAGACACAGGTCCTCGATGTTGATCTCGTTCACCACTTTAGGGTTTTCCTTCTGAATCTTGAGATTGATCAAGCTGTCCTTCTGCTGCTTCTTCTTGGAGAGGAACGGCCGGACGGCCAGGTAGCCGAGCAGCGCCAGCACGCCGAGGAACGGCAGCAGCCGGAGCCATTCTGCAACTGAGCGTGGACAGGTCAGTCGGCTGAGTGAAACGCCACGGACATCACCCCGCTGGGGCTGAGGACTGTGTTCAAGAGGAACACAGTAAAACTCATGGGGGCCATGACAGCAGACTCGGGGGTAGCTGGTGAGTCAGGGACCACAGGAAGGCAGTGAAGTCAGAAAGGGGGCAGAGACCGGCTCTAGTGTGGGAACTGCAGCACCCTGACCCTCCTTTGTCCCACCACATCCCCGAGACCCCCAACAAGCGGCCTGGATCTGCGACCCCCACGACTGGCACGCACCTGTGCCCTGAGTGTGGCGAGGTCAGAGGCACTGCTGGCAGACCACCGGGCTTCAGGGCATGGCCCCAAGCACCCTCTGCAACACTCGAATCTCGGTCCCAAACCGCGCGTCAACAGCCCCCACGGGGCATCGCCCCTCTCTGGAGCCCGGGGACCTGACACCTCCTGATCCTGCCACGAGACCCCAGGGCAGCTTCCCCCGGGAGCCCCGAGAGCACGGGCGGGTGGCACTGGACCCCTCTGGCCGGCTCTCTGGTAGCTGCGAGGGCGCACCTGACCCCCCTCCCCCTGTCACAACTGCCCTCAGTGGGGTGACAGCACAGTGCCCCCGGGGCACTCAGCAGAAGTTCTGCTGGTTCTGGGGTGGGCCTGCCTGACCCCTGACGGGCAGCAGAACACACCGGAGCTGTTCTCAGGGCCCTGTTCCTGAGGCCCAAGGGCTCCACTCCAAGGCCACGGAGCCCCCTCGGCTGCCCAAGAAATGCAGCGTCATCCTGAGCCCAAAAGGGGGAAGGAGAAGCAGGCCCCAGTGCGGCCGCAGCCCTCGTTCTCATAAGCAGAAAAAGAAAATGTTTCTGAGCCCCGCTTCAAACTGCCACTGAAGTTCCCGCCCAGGTTTTGTTTCAGCAAGTCTGATGTCTCCTGACCCCAGCCTGTCCAACGGGGGAAATGCATGTACAGGGAGGGTCTTCCAAAGGAAGACTCAGGAGAAACTCAGCCTCTGAGGGCACCCTCCAAGTGCTTCGAAATAGCTCCTGTCCCCCAGCACCTGAGGAACGTGGGTGCCCGCTGTTGTCAGGTGTTGGTGCGTCTCCAGGGTACCCATGAGAGCTGCAGGCTGAGCTGGGACCAAGGCCAGCCGTGTGTGGGGACAGAAGGACTCCACAGTGTGCACAGACACCGGACACCACTGACGTAAAGAAAGGGACAGATGGGGTCTCCTGAACGCCCGTGGTCATCATCTGTTCCCGGCAAGGACCTCCAAGGGGGAGATGCATTTTCTAACCCCCACTGTACCCCCTCACCGAAACAAACGAAGTCACGCCAGCATGTGTCAGGCAGCACCGTTCAGTCAGGAGGGGCTGGGGCAGGATGGAATGTTTCCCTTTCTCGACACTTAACTCGCCTGGGCCATTAGTGTCACAGAAGCAACCCCAGCCTTCTGACCTGGAATCACCATGTCCAGGAATGAGTTCAGGGTAATTCTAAGGAGAAAAAGCACCACAAGGCGGGGGTCGTGTGGCAGCTGACCCACTGAACACCAAACACTACAGTTGCCCCTGCAGCTCTGTGGAAGGACTGGGCCGACAGTAACAGATGCTAGAGCAAGATGAAACTGCACTGGTCTGGGGATTAAGGAGAGAGCTGATAAGGGTGAAGGACAACTTCCCTAAGTGCCGCAGTTCATAGGGTTCTGAGAAGTCAGAGAAGTCCAGATCAGGTGACCATAAGCACCTGATCCCGACAGATCTTGTGTCCATGGTGCTTTTCTGTTGCTTGTGTCTCAGGAGTGAAATCCGCAGGGTGGGCAGAGGGGTGCTTCACCCCGCCACCCCCCGCCAAAGGAGGGAATGTGCCAGAATATGCCTCCGGCCTCTGCAGGCCTGAGATGGGGCCGGCCGTGGACGCAGGGTCTCTCTCCCCTCTCTGCTCTGATGCCCGGAGCCCACCCCGACCTTTCCCCCTGGGCAACCCCCACCCCACCCCCGTGTCCTGGCATCAGCTCCCGTGCAAGTGCCCGTGCGCGGGGTCCCGCGGATGCCCTGGCCGGCGCGGTCTGCGCTGACCCCCACTCCTCCCTGCCCTGCTCGGGCCGTCTCCCTAGGCTGCTGCGGGCTCCTCCCCGCGAAGCTCGCACCCAAGGGTGTCCTGCGAAGGGCAGCGGTGGGGAGTGGACCTCGGGGAGGGGCTCTGAGAAACAGCCCCGGGTGGACCCGGGCCCGACCCTAGCCCGCCAGGCGCGGCTCCCGCGGGCGCTCTGGGCCCTGAGTCCCCTGACCCGGTTCGACCCGGTCAGGGTGGCCGCGGTCCGGCGGGCCCGGAGGTCACGCGGGCAGCCCCCGGCCGGGCCCGCGACCCCCGCGCCGCGCCGCCAGCCTCGGCTGCAGGCGAAGGTTACCCGTGAGGCGGGCGAAGCCGGCGACGCTCTCGGGCACGGGCAGCCGCTTCAGGTAGGCGGGGAGCTGCACCTTGACGATGCGGGCCACGCTGTCCAGCACCATCCCGGCCCCAGTCCGCGCTCGCCGGCCCGGTGTTGCGCCTGCGCCCGCGCTCCCGGCGGAAGCGGCGGCGGGGGCGGGGCCTGGGGAGGGGAAGGCGGGGCTGGAGGTCGGAGGGCGGGGCCTGGATAGGGAGGGCGGGGCCTTGTGGGGCGGGGCTACGGGGCGGGGCCTGGCGGCGGGATGGGGCAGGACCTGGTGGGGAGACAGGGCGGGGCCTGGCGGTCGAAAGGGGAGGGACCTGGCGGTGGAAGGCGGGGCTTGAGCGGCGGGGCGGGGCCGGAGGCAGGGCGAGACCTGGCGGTGACGCGAAGCAGTGAGTGGGCCTGGAAGGGGGGCGGGGCGGGGCCTGGCGGCGGGAGTGGGGCGGGGCCTGGCGACGAGGGCGGGGCCTGGCTGGAGCAGCGGTGACGTGCCAGGCGCCCATTGGCCGCCAGCGGGGCGCCGGCGGATGACGCACGGGGGCGCCGGCGGATGACGCGGTGGCGCGGCCCGAGGAGGCGCGTGCTGGCGGCCGGCGGTGCGCAGTGCGCGACTGTCCGTGGCGTGGGTCCAGCGGGGCGCTGGGCCCAGCCTCGGGGTCCCGCCCTGCCCGTGGTCTCGGGGCCGCGGCACGGCCCGGAGGGAGGGCGAGGCGGCTCCACGTGTCCCTTTTCGAGGGTCTCGTTCCAGAGGGACGGGCAGAGCGCGTGCGCGTGCGTTGTTGGCGCGGCCGGCCTGTCCAAGCCCGGGTGACCGTCCCGTAGCGAGACGAGAGCCGGGGCCTGCCGGGCGCGGGCTTGGGTTGGGGGGCGGCCAGGGGCCTGGGTTCGGGTGGGCGCTGCCCGGCCCGGCTGCAGCGCGGGAGAGAGACGCGGTGCAGGTGCTCGACTCTGCTCGGGGCTCTGGCTTCTGACCTGTCCAGCTTGTTTGTCTCAAACACCCCGGGCCGGAGCTGGAGACATAGCACAGCCGGTAGGGCGTTTGCCTTGCACGCGGCCAACCCGGGTCCGAGTCCCAGCATCCCATATGGTCCCCTGAGCACTGCCAGGAGTAACCCCTGTGCATCGCCAGGTGTGACCCAAAAAGCAAAAAAAAAAAAAACCGGGCCACTGTTTCACCTGTCTGCCGGGCCGATGCAGAGGCCAGCGGCGGTCTTGCCCCTGACTGCAACCAGGGACCCTCCTGGTAGGCTCAGGGACCCCCTCGGGATGACTGCAACCAGGGACCCTCCTGGTAGGCTCAGGGACCCCCTCGGGATGACTGCAACCAGGGACCCTCCTGGTAGGCTCAGGGACCCCCTCGGGATGCCAGGGATCCAGCTGGGCTGGCCGCCGCGTTACCGCGTCGGCCCCGTACGTGAAATTCTTACACTCTACCTCCTTCGTGTTCGTGAGGGACCACATTTTACTGTTGCTGCACCCACCATTTTAAGAGAAAATGCAACTAATTGGGAAGGAAAGCACACTGAGGGGAACTAATCTAGAAACTGTAGATTAGCAACATAGGGTAAAGGCTTTTCAGATAATCACTAAAATAACATGCTTTCTGGTGCTAAGTGTCAGCAGGATATAGAATTGCTCGATTAAAAGAGTATTTCCAGACACGCGGTAGAATAGAGTGGGCGCCAGAAATCCCTTTTATCCTATAATCCCAAGAGTTGTGTGGAAGTCACCAGCGGGAGGAGTGAGTGGGTTGCAGTGCACGTCCCCTGTCTGGGATGGAAGCAGGATGAACAGTGCTCCAGCCGGTGGTGAGACAGGGACCTCCCCAGCCTGCAGCCACGCAGGCTCCAGGATACAGTGCTCCTCGAGTGTGCTGGGCAGTACCTGGCCATGCCAGCAGTACCCGGACCTCCAGGCCTATACCCTGGGATGCTGGGGGGGAGGGTCACTGAGCACCTGGGCTCAGCTGTCTGCAAGGCACCTTAATTCTGGCCCCAAATCCTGATGTGCACAAGATATTACTGAGAGAAAAAATGCACAAAGAGAACAGCGTGTCTAGCATGGTCCCAGCCTATAAAGCAACATCTCCAAAACATACAAATGTTTGCATATCTGTGTGTGAACACAGCATATAAAGCTGCATGTAATTTCATGGAGGAAGTCATGGGAAAAGGCATATTACTTGGGTCATAGGTTTGGTTGCTCTGAGACCAAACTAACAGCAATCTAAAGAGCGTGGAGAGGGGGCCAGGGAGGCAGTACAGTGGGAGGGGCTCTTACCTTGCACGTGGCGGACCCAGGCTGGTCTCTGGCACCCCAGTTGGTCTTCTGAGCCCACTGAGTGATCCCTGAACACCTCGATGTGGCCCCCAAACTAAATTGAGATTAAAAAAAAAAAGTGTGGGGATTGGTCTCTCGCGTTGTTCCCTAGCAGGCCAGGCGGAAGGGGTCAGCGGCCCAGGCGCCTCTGGTTGGTGGATCTGTTGTACTTCATGCCGGGCTTCTAGCCCCCAGCCTGGGGTAGCAGTTTAGCTTCTGCTGTGGGACCCAGGGAACGGGGGTGGGGGGGTCTCCCTTCGCAAGGGCACAGCACAAAAGATGTGACCCTCATGTCCAGTGAGAGCCCCCCAGGCCAGCAGGAAGTCCTGTGCCCACATCCTGGAGGGAGCCACAAGACAGTCCCTCACTGGGTGAAAGTGGCCAAAGGACACAGTGGGGACTTTGGGCCAGGGAGAGGACGGAGCACATGCCTTGCCCGGGCAGGCCCTGACTGATTTCCTGGCACTGCAACTGCCCCACCCAGCGACCTAGTGACACCCCACCCTCTGCAGAGCCTCTGAGGCCCAGGCTCTGCCACAGGTGACCCTGTGAAAGACCAGGGCTTCTGACGTCAAGGGCAGCCAGGAAGGGTACAGCAGGGAAGCCGTGCAAAGGGAAAGCGTGCTTGTTCCCCAGCTGACTGCAGCCAGCCCCACCCGGCTCCCGGCGCCCTTCAGACTTTCCTCCCACTCTGACGTGAACGTGGGATCCAGAAGGTGAAGAAGGAAGCTCCCGCCTCCGCGAGTCAGGGAAGCTGTGCAACTCAGCACTGCTCAGGTCCGAGAGGGGATGCGACACACAGACCCATGTCTGGTGACACTGCTTGGCGGAGGGTCCGGCCCAGCCCTCCTCGTCCTCAGCCTCCAGTGCTTCCTGGAGAGGTGGAGAGATGGGGGCTGTAAGTGGCTTGTTGCTGAGGCAGTGCTTGGCTTCTTGTGAGGTACAGAACGTGTGTGGGCCCTTGCAGGGGCAGCATCAGCTAGCGGCTCCCCATCTTTTTAGGGTCAGTCACCCGCTCAGACATTGAAATCGAGCTGTCCATCAGTTTGCTCGAGCGGGCTCAGTAACGTCTCCATTGTCCATCAGTTTGCTCGAGCGGGCTCAGTAACGTCTCCACTCGTCCCTGTCACGTGCTAGTGTAGCCCAATGACATTTTGGGGACTCTCTCAGGGTCAGGGGAATGAGGACCATCGTTGTTACTGTTCTTGGCATATCGAGTACGCCACGGGTAGCTTGCCAGGCTCTGCCCTGCAGGCGGGATACTCTTGGTAGCTTGCCGGGCTCTCCGAGAGAGATGGAGGCTTTTGGGGCAGCCTCTAATCACTTTTACAGGTGTTCCCAGTCAGGCATATATGCAGGCGTGATACTCTCAGTAGCCTGCCCCGGGTTCTCTGAGAGCGAGAACTAGAGAATAAGAGGTCGCGTGGCTTCGAATAGAGCACACCTGCAAAAATTCAGCGTGCCCTAAGTGGTGTACTACCAGTCACGCAAGCTCTCAGAGGGCACCTCCCAGAACGTCACCCAGCATCTCCCCCAAATGCAGCCCTCTGCCTTCCTGCCAGACACATTGCTGTTTTGTTTGGGGGCCTACCTGGCGATGCTCAGGGCTCACTCCTGGTGGGCTCGGGGGACCGTCTATGGTGCTGGGGATCAAACCCGGGTTGGCCACAGATGAGGCCAGCGCTCTCCCTCCCTGCTGTTCTGTCGAGTCCTAAGCAGACACCGTTCTGCCTGGGGCTGACAGTGACTCACTGAGACTCACTGTGCATTTCAGTGCCTTTGTGAGATGCATTCGTGGTGTTTCCGTGACCTGACTAATCCAAACTTTGTGTCCATTCCATTACTGGCCTTTGCATGCTTCATACCCAAAGTGCCATTGACTGATTTTTTTTTTTATGGGTACAGGTGTGCTCGAAAGACCTTTTCCACATTGAGGTATTTTCAAATTGCGTGAGCCGGGACAGTGTGTCACTCACACCCCCCCCCCCCCCAGATTTAAATGACACTCCTGCTCGCTCACCAGCCGCGCTTGGTGGTGGTCATCTTTCAGCTCAACAGTGGCGACTCACCCGACCTTGTTCTCCTGTTCCCAGGCGCTCTGGAATCTGAGCATCATTTTCTGGGAGTCTTGAGATGCTCTTTGTTTGAGGGCTCGCTCATGTGACTTGCCTGGTGTCTGTTACCTTGTCAGCCTTCATCACACTGACTTACGCTTTATCTGTTCAGGAGAACTCTCAGTCAAGTCTGTGTGCGCCAACTCTCTTCTCCCATTTGATGATTGTCTTTTCTTTCTTCTTGATGGAGTCCCGGGGGGGGGTGGTAGGTGCTAATTTTTAACTGCACCCATCTTTTTATTTCTTACATTGTTTTAAGTGTGGCTTACATTTTTCCTAGTAATGCTGAGAGCCATCAATACCAGGACTTGGCGCAGGAAATAGTTCCTCAAACGGAAATTGTTGGGGCCGGAGTGATAGCACAGCGGGTAAGGCGTTTGCCTTGCACGCGGCCGACCGGGGTTCGATTCCCAGCATCCCATATGTTCCCCTGAGCACCGCCAGGAGTGGTTCCTGAGTGCAAAGCCAGGAGTAACCCCTGAGCACCGCCAGGTGTGACCCGAAAAGCAAAAAAAAAAAACCAAAAAACAGAGATTGTTGGTTCGAATAAGCTTCTGTACCTTCATGTAGTGCCCGTCCTAGGGGACAGGGATCCACAGGAGATCGGGGCTCAGCACCATCATGGCCCCCTCCCAAGCAGGAGGCGGAGGGAAGCTGGGGAGAGGATCACCATGGGAACAGAGCCAAGACAGAGACTGTTCAGCAGATG